ATAATCCAGAATTGTCAAGCAGAAAAGAGAAGATGGAGCAACTATCAAAGGCTCTGTTACAACTTCCTGCTTCACATTATGAAACACTAAAGTTCCTTTTGGGACACTTGTACAGGTTAGTGTTTGTAATTACATGTCAAAGTGGGCTCAATATGAGTAGTTAGTCAGATGTTTCACTGTGTCCTGATGAAGATCAAGACAGAGTTTGTGTTACCTTGCCACATAAATAGCCAATGAAGAACACGAATGCACACAAACAAGTCCGCCATGTGCTTTTTTATTTTGTCTCCCCTTAACCCTTTAACTCCCATGAGTGACCAAGACAGAATTTCTCCTCACAACATCAATACAATATCAACCAGATAAGTGATGAGATTAAAGAAACTATCAATTTGGGGATAATTAGTTAATCCAATACTAAATTCTCTGAACTAACATTGTAAAAATTGTATGGTTGACATTTAGGAGAATTACAAATTTGATCTGGGAGTTAAAAGGTTAAAACCTCTTGGTCATTGTTACCTAATACATGACAGCAGTGATATTCTCACAGTTTTTGTAGAAATGATAAGTAGTGCCTATGAGATGGTGTAACTATCTCCTCAAACCAAACCTTTGGTCTGTGAAAAGAAATTCAGATTGGGAGAGCCATGGTTGTAACAAAATTCAAAACCAGTTTTATTTGGTTTGAGGTTTGCTTGACTCGTGTCTTTTTATAGGAACAAACTGACCCCTAATAATAACTTATATCACATTGCTCTTTTTTTCTCTCCTTTGTACTTTTTACAGAGTAGCCAAAAAGAAAGAAGCTAACATGATGACTGAGGAAAATCTGTCAATTGTTTTTGGACCAACACTCATGAGAGCTCCAGATTCTGATACATCAGATGTTCTTACTGACATGAAATTGCAAAGACTTGTAATAGAGAGCCTCATTACGAATCAAGATATTCTATTTGATAGCTGATTACAACAAGAAGCACAGAAGTTAGGTTAAGTTCATCCTTAGGGCCGGATGGCCATTCTGGGTGAGGAGAAGTTAACTAGTTGCTTTAGATCTATTTAAACATGGAGTTTTATTATTTGCTTTCTTACTGTAAATCAAAGTGCTTTGGTATCATATGCCAGTGGTAAAAGAAGACTTACATAGGGAATAACTCTCAGTATGTGATAAAAAAAAATACCAATTTGTGTTGTTTCCAAGTGTGTTTCATGTTATTGTTTTTTTTTTGTTTTTTTTTTCAAGGTTGATATCTTAATGATAGAAGTAGTTTCCAATTTAATCAAAGAACCATTTTGGCATTCACATAGAACTGATGTTATAAGGCTGACCCAGGAGTGGGTAAAATAAAGTACATTCTGGGATCTGATTGGCTACCTGGCTGAAGATTTGAATTTTTTTTCTATGAAACTTATGATAAACTTCCAAGAAATAAAATTTTAAATGGGGAACCTTTACTGAGGAGCCTCAGAATCACAAAAATATATATTGCAATGCACAAATTGTTTTAGGGGTTATAGACATTATATAATATTTTATTTATCATAACCATTACAATTTCCTCAAATGTGATTGGTGCATCAGTTACTATATATTTCATTAATCACTCTGTACAGTAGTAATCCAACAGTGTAATTAGACAGTTGGCTGTTATTGGACACCTGTAATCCCACAGTTGAAGCAGCCAATCATATTAAGTCCACTTAGCTAAATCCACCAATCACTGATTCACAATGACCATAGCTACAACCACCTGCACTGAAAAAAAAAACTGGGAAATTTCCAAATTTTTTACTTTAGACATTGTTCCAACTGGAGATATTCATCCCAAATGTTTTGTTTTGTTTTTTTTTTTCGGAAATTTAATGGTTATGATTAATTAGTAAAAGGACTTCCTGTGTTCCAATTCTGTCTGTATTCATACTCATGATTAACAAATCAGACTCACTTGTATGATTACAGACCGGATTGGACTCCACTTGGTCCTATTACCATTATTAATAATTTACTTGTTTAAAAAGATGTTGGGTCATTTTAGACATTAAATTAATTAGTTATTTTTTATTAAGCCAAATTACGCATAGATTTTGATTGGGTCTTATGATCTATTGGAGTACAGACAGATAGATGATTTCACTTTTAACAACTTTTTTCTTTGTTATGTAAAACACAAAAATTCCATGTTGGGATGGGTCAGTTCAGTAATAGATCACAGAAGACATCACAATTTTGTTTTACCAAAAATGTGATCTGTGTGATCTGTGATCTGTCTGATCTGTGTGATCTGTGTGATCTGTGATCTATAACGGAACAGATGCATGGAAACATGGAATATACTCTTTCAGAAGATATTAGGTTTTTTTTTTTTGCCTCCTTTGAGCTCATCATGATTTTTTTTTTGCATGAATAAATGCTTTTGATTTAATTCAAGGCATGTAAACTTTGTCACGAGAGATGTGTCGATCAATTCAAAGCTTCAACACACACCCCTGTGAAATTTCATCAAAGATTTGGGCAAAAATTGGGATCAAATGACCTACCCAAGAGCAGTGACCAAGCTTTAAAATCCATACCTTGTAGACCATTTCTTCTGAGCCAATACTCAGGAAAGTGAACACTACCTCTAAACACCTCCACGTTAAAAGATAAAACACTTGTATTCCAAAGACGTGACCCTTCTGATTCAAACTACCCACCCTAGCCAGGCAAGGTTCAAATTCCCCACCCCTGGACACAGACAACAGTAAAATGCCAGTAGGTTGACCAGGGGGGTGTTGAAGCTTCAAATTCATCGGCCTTTATTTGTTTAAGGACACAGTTGATTATAAGAGCCACTTTGTAAAATGATTTTATTGTTTTGCCACAAGTTAATACTTTTTTTAAATTTGTCCGTAATGTGATGTGTAATCTAGGCTTTAGCTTGATATTTTCTAAGGAAATAATATTAGAATTAAAGAAAATAATCTATTATTGTCTGAAGAATGAAATGGATGAATTAAATCCATAACAATGGATTATGATAAAAGTGAATGTTGTGGTATTGATCTATAATTTGTTGTTAGGCTTAGTTCATTACCGATTTTTGGGTTTGTTTAATCAATCAATGACACTGACATAGCAAAAAAAATTACCTCTTTGAGATATAAATTTTTATGAAAATTATCCATGTCAAACAAACAATCCATTGCAGGATCATTATCAGTATCTGGGCAACTGTTCACCTACCCCTCCCCTAACCCAACATTAACCCTGACTTGTTATCAATTTACTGTTGTTGGGTTAGGGGAGGGGTAGGTGGCATGTTGCAATTGTTCATTCCATCAATGTGTGACACAGCAAATTGTTGTGTGGTGTGCCTGGGCTGTTATTTGACCAACCTATTGCTTACAAAACCTGAAAATGGTTCAGATCATTCTTACTAATTAGGACATAAAGCCTTGCTAGCAATATTGTAGACACAGAAAATCTCTATCAGGAAGATTCTGACAGGTGTCTGAATACCCCTGTCCACCAAAAACATAATGAACTGCTGATAGGGTTAAGTTTCATGACAGGAGAGACACTCAATTTGGTGCCACAATATTGTCAGCTTTGTTGTCTATATTTCTTATAATGTCAAGAAAAACAGCCTTGGATGATGTATTACAAATTTTGTCACATACTAACTGTCTTACTTCACGCCAACAACATAGAAAAATCATCAGGACCATCAGATGTCATCTGATGACCCCACACTTATGGGGTCAATGTGAACTCTGGTGTTCTGTGGTTTTGCAAACGGGAAGCAAGCACTTCAGGTCACTCAAGTGACATCTTCATTAAGTGCCCTATGAGAGTCTGCTTTCTGGATGGTTCCTTATTCAGTGCAGTATTTCAGAAACCCCTCTCCTTTTTTGTTAAATATTGGAGGAATCCATGCACAGGGCTCAACAAAATAATTAACAAGGTGTTGAGGAAATTTTCAATTTCTTGATTTTCTTTCACATTTCTTATGCTTCTCGCACCAATTAATTAATTTTTTTGCCCTTTTACTCAAACAGTAATTCACCATTACTTTTGCCCTTTATGTAAATTACACTGCTGTATATATTCCGCGTGTGTTTTATTCTCATTCTGTTTAAACCCCTTCTGTGCAAGTGTTTCGTATTTCATATAGTTCTCTCAGCATTTGGTAAGGTGTTTGTCTTGTTGTATCTTGTGTTTACTCTTCAGTCTTAACCCTTTAACTCCCAAGATCTGGTTGTTAAATCTCTCCTCCAGCTGCTACACATTTCCAAGTAAATTGGTTATGAGAATTTGGTGTTCAACCAAGATAATATCTTATAGTTTATAAGTTGGGCTAATCTCATTACCTGATTGCTGGATAATGTATAGGTACTATAGGGAGAAGGTACATGTTAATCACTTCTGGGAGGTAAAGGGTTAAGTTTGTTAGTATATTTTGTAAAGGTTGTTTTTCTGCATTTTAGGAATTTACTCTTATTCACATGTTAAAATTAAATAATCTGCCAATTTAGAGTGTTTTCATTAAAGCAGGCCCTTACCTCTTCATTGATTGATTTTTTAACTCAAAACCAAATGAAACTTGTAAACAATAACAACAGTTAACCATTTTAAAGGCTAAAATATAAATTTTATTATCTTAATCAAAAATTTTTTTCTCAACAATTTGCTGATTCAAGATAGTCACTGTAATAGAAATAACATTTTTAGATCATTAGGTCAGCTACACACAAACAAAAAATCATTTAAATCTTCAATTGCATAATGAAAAAGCTAGAAAGTTAAGTTATCACTTAGTGAACTGGTTGTAGCCATCAGGCGCTGCGGAATTGGCATTAAAGCCAATTAAGAATTAAATATTCACAATGATAAACATTTTATATACAAAGTATTGTACATTGTTATACTCTTAAAGGCTAGAACAAAAAATCTTGTCAGTTTTCTTCTAAATTTACCAAACATTTCTAACTTTTCCATTGATTCTGTGCATTGAATGCTTCATTTCTTCCATAACTTGACTCCATGACTTTGAGGCATTCTATACACAAGGTAAAAGAACTTCTGTTTCTTAACCCTTAACCCAATAACAATTGTTCCTCTTAAGTCCATCAAATACAAAGTGGCACTGCTATCACTCCTTCTTTTCTGCAGCCTTTGCTTCAAGTTTTTCTTGTAATGCTGTTACACCAATACCAGCAATAATTGAACCCACTACACAACTCTGTGCAATAACTCGTAATCTCATGAGATATCTGCTAGTGGTCATGGCAGGTCCTCTATTCTTGTAAGCGATTGCACCCCATACACATGCAGCCACTGTTCCAGCAATTCCTGCCATAAACAAACATCTATCAGTTCATTTCTGCATAGAGACCTTCCAAAAAATTATTATAAACCTTCCAAAGGTGTTTGAGTGTAAATTCAACCCTATCAGACCTTCATTCAGAGCAGATATAATGGAAGACAAATTATTTTTAGGAGACTGCATGAGGTAAGACACTCTGAAGGAAAAAAACTTGAAAATACCAAAACAAGGGGAAAATAAGGTGACTTAACTAGAAATAAACTAAGAGTAAAATGTTGCTACCTTGATTGTGGAAGACAAAACCCTTGCATCATTTAAATTTTAAATTTCTGTGTTAACTACACGCAAAAGGGGAAATCGGCAGCGCTGGATCCAATTTGTCGAAAATAACGAAGAACGCCGAATAGAACGACACTGACAAATTTAACTGAAGTATTCGAGACAACAATTTTCACCCAAAGCAACAAGTGCGATCCTTCCCTCACTCGTGTACAGTATTTAATTTCAACATGAGCGATGTTACATTAAAAATATATGCTAAAGCCTATCAATATTAATTTTGAAAACTAAATCGAGATATATAGTGTAAAATCCAAAGTCCATAGATTGGTTTCTACGAAAACAAAATTTTTGCAGAAGTTTATAATGCTGCTTCATGTAGATATAAGATCATTAAAACCGCCCCGATATAACAATTAGTTATTCTATTGCATAAGCAAAGTAGAACTTCAGGCGGTGACATTTTCAGCCGGCCGGCGAAATCATTGACACAGAAAAGGCTTGATCGTAAAAGCCATAGAAATCGTTTCAAAAGTGGCAGTTTTAAAAGAGTTAAAATGCGGAAATCTTAATGGAAGACGTAAGGGTAAGAATTCACGATGTTTATTTTACGCTTATTTACGTTTTGAGATGCAAGCTCGATCGCTCAACTCACCGATTGGAATGAAAGGTTGCTGTTTGCTTTTTCTCACAAGTCTATCTGTCTCTGTTTCTTTTTCAGCTTCGGTCATAAACTCCGCACTCAACTTCTGTGCGTCTGAACGAGACATTTCTTCGTTTCTTTGAACAGTTTTCTTCAGCTGAACTATAGTTCGATTTGGGCTCTTCCATTCACCCTCGCGGCTGAAATATACTCGGATTAGGCAATATCGTTATGACGTCACAAGATTGTTCTAAATCCGTGACGTCAAAAGTTCTAGTCACGTCTTTTTACTCCAATAATCTTTGAGCGATTGAAACTCGCTATAACACCAATAGTTTTAGGAAGCGCAAACTATGTTTGGGATAGACACGAAAATTCCTGTTCTTCTCATGGTTTTAATGGGATTGAAGACGACCGATTTCTATTGTGCTTTTTGCAATCACGGAAAATCATAAAGGAACTGGAATGTCACGCAAATTCGAGTTTCTAAAAATTTTTTTAGGCGTCGTAAAAAAATGAAAACCTTGAATCTTGTTATCTAAGCGGGAGAAACACCTCAGAGTGAAGAAAAAAATAAAAAAAGAATAATGATAGCTACAGGCTGAAAACGAAAACCTTTTTTAAACTTTAAAAAAAGGAAGACGTATCAACACAGACGCCCTAAAAATAATCCCAAATTGCAACAGCTGATATTTTGTCTTCTTTCATCTGCCCTTTTCTTCTTTTTTTTGCTTCTTTTTGTCTTATTTGTTTTTGTTTCTGGGATAATGGTGATACTGTAAGAATCACACGCACGCAACATGACAAACCAACCTGACATATGTCACGTTTACTTTCAACGTTTGTTCACGCAGAGCGATGCGTGGGCGGCAATCTATATATGTGACGATATTGCCGGGTATCAATATTGAGACGACTTCTAAACACCTGACAATTATCAAATAAAATCCCAGTTAGATTCAAAGTGATTTTTTGTCTGCTTGCGTGGGAAAATGCTAATTTTGAACAAGTGCGCTAAAAATATTTTGACGTACTGCGGAAGTGTCACGAACACCTGACGCGCGATCACGGATCGAAGATAAAATTTTAAGTCTACGTTCTACAGCGCCGAAAAGTTTTGTCCATTTTAGTTCTTTCGAATTAAAAAATGTGTTTTTGGATCAAAATATTTCTTTTTTTTTTGAGTCATCATCGCCCTGCAGAGTTTCCCCTTTCAAATAAATAATCCGTAAAATATAATTTCTCCTCAACCGAATTTCCTTTACGTATATTCACCGACGATTTAGCAGGACTTTAAATCTTACCTGCTGAATGAACTGTGCGAATTGAAAAGACAATATGCATACCTTTCAAACAACACGTTTCTGTCTGAAATTGTCTTTGTCGGGGTGATTTCCGGTTCAATGTCGTTCTTTCGTTCCAGTGCTTGAAAAGCGTTGAAGAAAATACAAAGAATGCTGTGTCACGGTTGCGAACGTGACACGGAATGTCATTTGACATGCACTTGCGACGTCATTCCACCGGGAAAGGGTCGACGTTCTGTTTCGGCTGTGTCATGAAAGCCTTTTCCTGTATAGGTGGCGGTTTTGAGCGCGCTTTACAGCGTCGAGAAACGAGGTAAGATGCTGCGAATGGCTTGGGGCAGAAAAACGGGTGAAGTTATCACGGCTCGGTTTTCGCTCGTTTTAGCGTTTTTGCGAAAAATAGGCAGTTTAAGATTGCATATGGCTGGTATAGCACAATTTTTATGGCATTAAAAATAACAAGAGGTCAGTTGTATAATGATGCTAAGTTCGCGTAAATTTCTTGCTCCTTTGTTTGAAATTTTAACAAGTTTCAGAGTTTTTATTTCAGCCAAATGTTGTGGTTCATTTACCAAGTTTAAAACATATTTTCCACGGAGTTTGGACTCTAGCCTCCTTTTTCGTAAATGGATTTTTTACATCGCCTCCCATAGGAGGTAGAAGCCACTAAAATTACATGTTCGGGTTCACTGTGCATAATTCGATGATTCAAACGGTGAGATGCACTGCCTTCAAGGACAACATTTTCCTCTTTGTTTTCATGATGCACCAATCTCATTCATTGATATATTTCTGTGAGGAATTTGTTTTTCATCACGTGTCATACAAATGATTGTGAGATACTTATTGTCGTGTGTTACTGCAAGAGCCGAAAAATTACATCTTCGGTTGTGTAGGGCATAATTCGCTGATTCAAACGGTAACCACTGAGAAAATAATATGTTGGGTGTTCTTAAGCACAAAATAAACTTGTTTCAAACGCATTCTTCTCTCTTAGGTGGATGCTGTGCTTAATAATCGCTAACTACGAAGGTACTAGGAAACGAACGATGAGTGACATGGGGTGAAGTCGGGTGAAGTTCGGCTTCTATCGTCATTTACTACCATTCATCTTGATAACGTATGTGGCTTAGCCTCCTTCAAGGAGGCAGTGGCCACAAAAATCCGCCGGAAGAGATGGAGAGAAAGGATGCAAAATGACGCTTACGGAAAGTTTCAAGCCGATAAAATTCGTATCAGTGATGACAAAACAGTAAGAAAAACTGCTCATACGCACAGATTTTTTGATGACTGAGGATCAAGAGGACAAGGGCTAGTATTTTTTTGTCAGAGGTTCAAACAATGACCCCAGTATTGGGAAGGTATACAGTTTCTTAACATCTAGTGCAAAACTACATTTTTCTCAGCTGAAAGTAATAGGGGTTTGAAAAGGTCAATGCGTGAACAATATTGTCGCCAATGAAGGTCCAATCTCATCCGTGCACGTGACCCAAGGGTCATACTCACTTATGACGTCATTTTGTAGGTCTTTCAATTTACAAATTTTGACGCATTGTGGTGTCTCCGTGGTGACACAGTGACGGCAAAACATCCTCTTTAAAACCATACAACTCAGGCTTTGTTTGCCATATACGTTTCACGAGCGACTGAAACAATTTATGAGAATGCGCCAAAATTTTCTTTCAGTTACAGGAGTGGAAAAGAAATTAAATAATATGGTTATCCAATATTTGCCTTGTGTCGATTTGGAACTTTTCTGAGTTCCTGTGGCCATGGAGTCGGTTTATAGCGACTTAAATTTTCCACATTTTATCTTGGTGATTGGCACCAAAGAAGATATCGAAGATAAGGACCAGCTGATCAGGACTGGCTAACTCTGAGATTTCCGTGCCTCAGTTTATGCCATTCGATGCAATCAAATCTGAAGATGCATATTTTGCCATCTGCGATAAGGTCCTTTCTCTAGTAGTAGCAATTTATTTACTCTATAATCGCACTAAGCCTTTATTCTATTTTATGATCGGATTGTTTAAGGTCAAGAGGATCGATAGATCGATAGTCCATTTCATGAGTCTAGTTTCAGGGGCGGATCCAGAAATATCAAGTTAAGGAGGCAAACTTTGATCACGAAAACTGCGATCTTTTTTATCATTTTTCTTCCTCTACACAAGCTTAATTAATGTCTCTTTCATGCTCAAGAGAAGTTATTGAAATACTTCACATTAAGTTAAAAAGTACACGCGATCCTTTCTGCGTCGGCAATATTTTGTTGTGTCAGACAAATAGTGAAAAAAAAAACCGAAAAAAATTAAAAAGAAAAAGAAATGCAGGCACCATAGAGGGGGGAGGGGGAGGTGGGGTGACCTCTTGAACCACCCTGGATTCACCACTGTAATAACCAAAATGAATAACTCTATTTGAGAAAGCAACCGGGATGATTGCCAGGGTGTAGAGAAACAACCTTAAACGTGATAAGGCCAGTAAAAGTCCCTGAACTTAATCATTAGTAGAGTCGATTTTGTTTAACTTGTAAATTTTGGTGGTTCACCTCCCCATCTTAATCAAGCCCTGGTTGTTCAGGTGAACATCTCTGTCCCAGTCCTCTTGTTTGCGACTCTTCTTTCCTCGATCCATTCCATTTCCGCTGTAATCTTCATTCACCATTAATCTAGGCATTGAAATACGGGCTTCAATTTCAGGTTCAAGCCGATCATTACGTGAAGATTATATGACATAGATTGAACCGATGATTGCGGTTAGCTAGGTCATAAACATGATAAATGGTTATAAATTGAACCGATAATAGCGGACATAACTTAAACCGATGATAGCGCTTTGCTGAGACATAAATTGAACCGATGATAGCTTTGCTGGGGCAAAACTTAAACCGATAATGGCGCTTTGCTTGGACAAAAATTGAACCGATGATAGCGCTTTGCTAGCGACAAACTATTTTATTGTCCCAAACAAGATTACTGCGAGAAACATAGAGACTTTTAGCACATGTTAAGCTTTTTAGCCGAACATAGCAACACTCCCTCAGAAATCAACTCAGTAGCATACAACTTGCTACTTTTCCACCCACTCTCTTCCTGGCCCTGGTTGTTCGAAAGGTGAATGACATTATCCACTGGATAAATCTCTATCCGTTTTGTTAACAGTTATCCGCTGGTTAGTGATTTATCCTCAGGATAGTTTTATCCTCCATTTGAATAACTGGACCCTCGGCTTTTCCATTTTAAATGATCTAGTCGCGTCCATGATAAGTTAGTTTTATCAACAGAGTTGATAATGCAAATTGACCAACGCTAAGAGTGTAAATTCTAAAGCTGATGTTCGAGCGTTAGCATGGCCAGTTAGCCCTTCGTTAGACGATGGACTGGTGATCAGGACGAAGGGCTAGCCCTCGAAACGTCAACTTTAAAAAATTGTTCACGGTGGCAATGTGCATTATCAACTCACTCGATGAAATCAAATTATCGACCAACAGACGGAGTACCACATCCTTATTCGTTTGTTGTATCTAAGTTTTTTATGTTGTTATTGTAGTTAGTGGCGATTGTTCTTAAATACATCACTTATGTTTGCTGGATTTAAATTCATGGGTCGATCAGTTATCTTACTTGACTACAGTGTATTTAGCATTTAATCAATTGTGTTGCTATATCGCGATATAGAACTACCTGATCTCAACCCTGGCTTTTTTCCAAGGTAATGCCTGTCTTCGCTTATGTTTTATGTAAAAAAAAAAAATATATATATATATATATACATACAGATTAACCCAACCGTTTTATGATAATGATGGTGAAAAATAAAATAAAATAAAAAGAGCAGTGATGGATGCAAATTTTTTCTCAGTTATGCTAATGTCCACACACTGAATTTTGTTTTTATTTCTTGCCTTCCCCGGTCTGAGTGACACAGTCTTCTTTATGTCAAGACGGATCATGTGAAAGGAGTACTCTTATGTAAATGCAGAAATTCAGGCATTCGTCCGTTGTCAACTCTCTGCGTGTGTGAGGAATGTTGTGAACAAAAGCTTTCAAGAACTTCCTATCGCTGAGAGAAATCACTTCAACGTTTGTGTTCACAATATTTCTCGCAGGGATGAAACAAAATGCGATTGCTTGCTGTGCATGCACTCATAAGCACAATAGTTCTTGGACGGTTGGGAATCTTCAGCGCTTGGTTACGTTTGTTTCCTTTGCCGTTGTTCAAGTTCAATCGATAACTAAGCTTCTTTCTCATTTAGCTCTCATCAAAGTTGTTTAGACTAATTGTCAACGGAAACTGTGTTAAGAGGATTGAATGCTGCGATGCGTTTCAATATAATTGGCTTATCATTATCAACTTAGCAACTTACGTATTTGCTGCTATATCCTTATAATCTTGTTCAAGAGAATCTGGGCTGAGGCTCTCACAAATACCTGTCCGAAAAGCAGTTGTTTACCTCAAATCAGTCTTTACTGACAGTTGACGTTTCATTTTTATCCATTCAACCGATTTGAATGCTTCTTCGACTCTGGAGAGTGAAACATTTTTTTCGCGTGATGGTTGTTAGCGTCAAGATTTAAGTCCACTTGACACTGAAAACAAAACGATCAACGCACAATGGGGCGGAAGTGGTCACTATGTGTATAAAAATAAACTTGCTCGTGCATTGCTGATTGCGTAGCTAATCCGCCTAAAAGTTTTAGTCGGAAGATTAAAACGCGTTCATGAGAGGAGAAGTTCTTTCCGCTAAGATGTATTTCATTCATCAGTTTCAAGTCGGATTTTCCCATTTTGTTCATAAACTTGAAAGTGCAACGTTCGGCGCTACGATGAATTAACGTCGATTCGAGTCCACTGATCCTTATATAGAGTGAAGCATTTTATATTTTCTCTTTTTCTAGATCTACTGTTGTCAAATTTCGTGTTTAGGAACATGAATTTCTTTAAACCGTTTTCGAACATTTTTTTTTCACTTTTTACTCTTTAAGATTCTATTTGCTTTAAGCTTTTGTAAATTGAGTTCTGACTTTGAGAACTCTATTCGATCGAATTCAATGTCAGTCGCCTCTTCATCTTCTGCGGCCGCGAGAGCGTATGCATAACAACTACAAAAACCAAATCTCCGCACCTGAACATCTTTCCTGGGAATCTGGATAGTCAATGGAAGTAAACATACCAGACCAACGCAAAGTTACAGCTGCAATTTCATCAGTTTCAAATTAAATTCTAGACAGACTCAAGACCGCGCGCGTTGGGCTAAAAAAAAAGAAGACACCGATTACGCGATGTTGCAGGTGACGAAACAAAAAAGCCGACAAAATTAAATAAACCGAATAAACATAAGAACGAATCTTTACGCTTCTTTAAGGAAATGCACTTCTTTTAACCTTGCACAAGGAAATTCAAGGGAATTTTGGTGATGATTACGAGTGACAGACGAAAATAATTTTATTGCAGAATTATCGCTTGCTATCTATCTTAGTGCGTGACTCAAATACCAAATGGTAGACGCGACAAAAGAGCGGAGATGGTATCGGTTTTAACCACCTGAAACTTCAAATGACATATTTCTCTGGGGGCTATTTTTGCCAAGTAAACTATTGTCAAACAGCTTGGATAATGTATATTTCACAAATTTGCGATTTGGCGCGAAGTCGTTTTGTTGATTGGTTCTTCTCTCTTCTCACATGACCACAACAACCGCAGCGAAATTGAAATCAGGAGTCTGTTTCATTTTTCCGAAGCGGTCGGCCGATTCATTGTTATTGAAGTAGGGAGATATTAAATACAAATTATCAATATTCTATGCGATATTTTCGTGGGCGTTCGCGATCAGAAGAAACCTTATCATGAGTTACGAATAGACGAATCAAGACGGCAAGCGGATAAAGGCTCACTCGACATCCTGCAGTGGTCTGCGGTTGAACAACTGACTCGTGACATCAGTGTATCGTTGCTCTCTTGCATGCCTTGTTTTATCAACAGATCTGTGTAACACTGCTCAGATATTCTGTTACATGTACAAGAGCCTGATTTAGCAGCATTTGATTTAAGTTGAGGAGTGATAGGCAAATCATCTGTGTGATGCGTGGATAGAATCTTCCATCGCGGCGCAGTTCGAGAATTTTGCATCGTCCAGTGTGGCCAAATTTCAGTTTGTTTACACTCTCTACATAAGTTACATGCGCGATCGACCGAGGTTTATCGCATCCTTGATGACAAAGTGACGGCTTAGCCGCACAGAGCGGGGAAATTTTCAGCTTTTACCATAATGTGTGGCCAGTCAGGATTGAATTGACCTCGAAGTATGGCTAAACAATGACTTTATCGTTCACCCAGGTGGAACAGTGGCTCGATGACCATCCAGAACACGCTGAGGAATATTTTGTGCGTAAAGGTACCGCGCGAATGGTTCAACTATGGAATGAAGCGAGGGAAGAGTGTGCTGATGTCTTTGACACAAATGTTGAACTTATTGAGAACTGCGGTAGAAGAACAATCGGAGAAAAAAACTTTCGTTTCAACGATACTGTAGATATTATAAATGCGAGCGAGGAAGGGGAAAGTGAAACGGGTCAGCCAACAGCTCGGTCATTACCTATAACTCGCAGGTACTCTGAACCGCAGCGTCAGGGGAATCCGAAGCGGCAACTTGGTTTGGGTTATGGAGGCAAGCAGTTTTTTACTAAACCAGTATCTTCCAGTGTTGTTGATTCTCTAGATCTGAGTACTTGTGAAATTCGGGAGGAAAAAACAAGACGAGTGAGAAGTCCCCCTTCACGACTGCTTCGGAAAACGAAATCGCTGCCGAATTGTGGACAACAGCATGTATTGGGGGCACTAATTGAGTCAAAAATTCGTCTACCATCTTCAATCGGCCTGAACGCCGAGACAAAGCTAGATTTAAAGAATAACAATGAAAGGCAATTCTTCTTTGAGATTGTACGGGACATAGCGAACGATCTGGACCTAACGACTCTTAGTTATAAAATATTAGTCAATGTTGGGATTCTAACAAATGCTGATCGGTGCTCATTGTTTCTCGTGGAAGGACCTAAAGGTAAACAGTCACTGGTTTCAAAGGTTTTTGATGTGCAAGTTGGAGGGCCGAACTCGACTTCTATTAAGGATTTCATAGACCAGCAGAAGGAAATTCGAGTGCCTTGGGGCAAAGGACTGGTGGGATACGCGGCTGAAACTGGAGAGACAGTTAACATCCCCGATGCGTATGCGGTTTGTAACGTTTTAAGTATAAATAAATCATTAGGGGTTTTAGGCGTATGTAAACCATATTCGCTCGCTTGAATCGCCGTTGATTAAACGTTTCTTGCAAACGATACCTTCTTGCAAGTCGTGTAAGAAGGCGACATGACCATAAGTTATCGGACCAGTGCATTCGAATCGATGCAATCAAGTGTGTCTTCCTATTTTGATCAGTCGTTCGAATCTCGTACCGCGCGAGACTAATTTTCGAGCTTTCGATTCAAGCAAGCAGATTTGCTTTTTTGTACGCTCACCAGATAGCTTATACCAAACTTGCTGCTTTGTTTGGTCCTGCAACTTTCTTGGAGTTGTATGGACGTGGAAGACCGAATACCATTTGCAGAAATTAAATGGGATGGCCCGGATCAAACGAAGTGGGATGGATACCTATTTTTGTTCGCTATTAATTCAGTTCCATTTTATTTGTATTTTACCAACTGAAGCGCATTCAAAGAAAGGCAAACGAGAATTTAAACGCTTTGTAGGAAATCCGCGCTTTTCGATTTTACAATAGTCCGGAAACTACCCTCGATAAAATCCCGCGAATGCTGAAAGGTATTGTACAAGAAACTAACATTTAGCATGTTAAAAAACAAATGCACCTTTCGTCTTTCCAGCTGATGAATCATGATTTCGCGGTTTTTTAAATTTGCATTAGCTCTTTTGGTCGTATCTAGGGGAAAAATCGTGTCGTCAGCTGAAAACACTTTAAATCTTTCGAGTTATCAAATCTCACTCAAATTCGATATAATGTTATCACTGCGACGTTTCTCCAACCGGTCTGGGATTGTTATGATGGCTTATTAAGCTATAAAGTTGAAATTATGCACAACGAGTTATGCGTTCGCGAAAACAATGTTCACGTTTCGCACTTCAGCGGGCGAATTGATTGTTTTCATTTCTAGGAGCGATCGATTCTCGTCATACTTTTTTTTCTGTACTACACTTTTTCAACTTCTGAGAATTTTAAAAATTTAAGTTACAGCGGAATGAAATCAGCAGTGTTACCGCGCCTCTGCTGCAATTGAAATTTTTCAAGCTCCTCGACATTTATTGTTTGTTGTGGCTTCCACTACAGTAGTTTACAATTTCGTTCTGTCTTCTTATACGTGATTTGGATGATCAGTGAAGCGCAATCAACTTGTATCCAGACATTAAGGACCGTCTGGTAAGCGCTCTGTTTAGCGTGCCTCCGATGACGGATTTACATTGAAGCGGTTGGTTTTAATCTGATCGGGTGCCAGAGCACTTTGTTGACAGGCGAGATCCCCGCGAGTGCTTATTTAAGCAGTGCAGGTTCTCTGTGCGTTAATACGCGATGGGCTTGTCTCAAAACCTATTTGCATACGATTCTTTCAATTTTATTCACCTTTTGAAAAGCCCCTCTGAACCACAAGAACGATGGAAATGACTTCTCTCGTAATTTCCTGAGAAGTACTTCCATGACTGTCACTTGCACTAAAATTGTTCGGATAGATGTGAAAATTTATTTTTTTACAAAAAAAAATCTTTCTTTGTTAATTTTTTATGTTTGTGTTTTGTTTTACCATTTTTAGTTTTTCACCGGATAATTAATCATTCATAACAATATTTCAAATTTCCTTTTTCACAACAACCAAAAAAGCAATGCTTATTGATTTTTTTTTCATTCAGTCCTTTAAAAAAGTATCATATTCTAGCTTTTTTACCGTGCTATACCTTTTTTTTTAACATAAAACAGCATGTCATTATTTAAATCTACCAAGATTCTTGGTCTTGGCCCTGAAGATAATCAAATAACTTTGTACCCACAAAATAACTTGCAAATATAAAATACCTATCAGTGCAAAATTAAAAACCATCAGCAATATAAAGCCCATATTTTTAAAAATTTCTTAGGGTAGAAGCTTCAAAGTAAAATTTAAATTTTGTAGTGAGGTGGAGTGAATCTGGAGCTAGTTATTGGAGCAGGTTTTTGATACAGTAGAATGACATAGAGACCTCTTTCTAATAAAAAGAAAAAGAAAGAGAACAGAAGAATAAAGAAAATTTAATTCATTTTAAGGTCAAAACCATTTTCTCTCAATGAGAAAAGGCCTGTAACTGTAGGCTCCTCAAAGAAGTATGTTAAAGATCTTTCACAACATATTTCAGATACACTTCTCACTTAGCCAGTATAAGATAATGAAGAGTTGATCAAATCCCATTTTGTAGCATTCTTTTAACTGAACTTTTGCCATTTGAATTTATTTCCTTTGAAATGTCAACAACATCAAGTATATCTGTTTGGGTTTGCCTGAAGAGTTAAGTAGAATCCTTATGTGTCTTGTAGTTTTAAATGCATTATCCAAAATGCTTATGATGCAATTGTCCATCAGGTTGTGGGCATGGAAGGCAACATTCCAATGTTTCAGAGGGTGTGTGCATTTTTTTGAAAGATGAAATGAGTCAGAGCGTCACTTTATGATTTTACTAGGACATTTTGAACCAATTTTTTCAAGTCTCTCCTGTTTATAATCAATATTTAATGGGATACAACTGTCCTCTCTGTGTTGTATCAGAAAATTAAGAAAATAGTCTCATTTCTTTATCATCTGGTTGACTGCATCAAGTTATAATTTTGGTCATTTCTTCTCACAGGATCCTCGCTTCAACAAGGAGGTTGATCGCCAGACAGGTTATCATACCAAGAGCTTGCTATGTAAGCCAGTGAAGAACAATGAAGGGGAGGTAAGAAGCTAATGAAAGCAATTTTTTAATTTTTGAATTAACTAGTCAGTGCCTCAAGCTTGCTTCAAGGGGCAGCTTGTAGGACTGCCAGCAGAATGAAACTTTTGAAAACATAACATTTAACTTTTTTTCTAAATATACAGAACAGGTGAGGTAGATGGTACAAAACACTGTGTTTGTTATAAGCACCAGAGATTGCAGAATTCTCTTGTTATGTACTACAACAAATTATGTTTCTATATTTCAACGGCATCAGCTACTTTTATTTAGACGTGTATAGGATTTTTTTGTTATTGTACTCTGTTCTCCTGCTGCTTTTATATGTGAAAATCCAGATTAAACAGCATAAAGAAATAGAGAAAACTAACCATCTTAAATCAGGCTGAAAAATTCTGATCATTTTATTTATCAAATCCATGTGGCTAGCGATAATCTTGAATGGCTCATTTAAAGGGGATCTAGAGACTTTTCTCATGTCTGTCTGCTGATGAAAGAACAGAGGACTGAAAAAGTAGAAAATGGGCTATCTCATCTTTAATTCCTGAAAATATTTGAAAATGCATGTTAATTAGTTTTCTTTAATTTGTGAAGGTTCCTAATTGTTGTTAGAGGGTTAACCACAGGAATTTACTTTGTTTAAATCAGCCTTTTGTGTCTTTAAAGAATATTCAGTCACCCTCTGGACTTTCAACCATACCAAAATAATCATGATTTAAGGATATACAATAATGAGGGAACAGGTATTAATTTTCTAGCAATCTTCTCCTTTAAGTGGCATGACATTTCCCTGACAAACATTATTCTTTTCTGAAATCAATTTAATTTTTTGCTGTAACTGATGCACCCTCTACATATTGGTATTTTCATTTCTCCTTTTTTTTTTTTATTTAGGTGGTGGGTGTGGCTCAGATAATCAACAAAATGCCTGGACCTGTACCATTTACACAAGAAGATGAAGAGGTGCATTAATTTTGTGTTTGCTTTTGTCTGTTCCAATCTTAGACATAAGTCAAATAAAATCATATGAGAAAGATGTATTTGCTTCCAAGTTGCTTGTGGTGAACTCATAACCCTTCACTCCACTGATTGCTTAAGTGCTGCACTCTGCTACATAGTGAAGTTTCCACTGGACAAGGAGGTGGTTGTAACTATTATTCATGGTCTATTACCTTTTTCAGGTCTGTGAAATGTATCTGACGTTCTGTGGAATCGGAATCACCAATGCAAAGCTGTTTGAGCTATCAGCAAAGGAATTCAACAGAAATAGGGTAAATAGGTTAAAACAATTCATTGACCATATTAAAGTTGAATTTTCCTCCCTTAAATATCGCAATAATCATAACGATTACAACTTCCTCAAATGTGATTGGTGCATTAGCTGCTTTATTTTTCACTAATCATTCTGTACAGTTGTAAGGGGACAATGAAATCAGACAGTTGGCAGTAAATGGACACCTGCAATTGGACAGTTGAAGCAGCCAATCATACTAAATCCACTCAGCTAAACAACAGAATTGATCACAGTAACCATAGCAACAACCACTCATCCTGAGAAAAACTGGGGAATTTCCAAAATGGAGGAATTTTTATCTGTAGGCATTGTGTCCATTAGAGATATTTGTTCTAGATTTTTTTTTTTACAGAAATTGTAACAGTTAAGATTAATTGGTAACAGGACTTTGTGATTGACAAATCAGACTCCTGCTTAGTGGTCGTCTGATTTTAATTGCAGATTTCATGGTGAAGAGTTACAGGGTTTTTCAGATTTAAATGGCACTTGTCTAGAAAGTTTTATAGTAAAATAGTGTTCACTGTACAAGTTAGTACAAAGCTTAAGTAAGCAGAGTGGAAGAAATTCAGGTTTTGAGGGGTTATTTTCTCATTTGAGGGCTAATTCCCATAACACCTTGTGGGGTCTCCCAACCTCAAAAATGTCCTCACCTGAAGTCAGTATCAATGAATTGCAACAATTTTTTGATGTTAGCCCATTCAATTAATGGTATTGTGATCCTTGGCATCTGTAGTTCAGGAATAACTAAAAACTTTACATACCAAATGGTAACAATTAGCCTGTGTTCCTTTTGCTTATGAAATTAGGCATTGCTGGAGCTTGTTCATGACATCTTTGAAGAACAGACCTCTCTGGACAAGGTAGTACATAAAATTATGAGACGTGCATTGTCAATGCTGAAATGTGAACGATGTTCAGTTCTTCTGTTGATGCATCCAGTCCTTGGCAACAGTCTGGCAGAGGAAAGATCACAGGTAAATTAATATTATGTTATTATGAACCGTGTGGAAGGGGTGGCAGGGGAAAATATTTGGCCTAAGGTCATGATTTATGAACCAAGCGGAGCAAGTTCTAGCTGTACGTAATGACTTAGTGCCATATGCTTTCCTATGTGATGAGCCCGTACTCAGTCAGTAACTGTATTATCATATGACCCAAAAATCTTCAAAAATTTTGGAATTACATCAGACATGTTAGTACTGGACAACTACTGAGAACAATCTATTGAAAAACTTCTCTGCAGTCATTTCATTGAGTCAGATTGAGAAACCCAAAATTGAAGGAAAAAGGCCACTTTTTTTGTCATTTCTGTTTCATTTTAATTTAAAACCCACAATTGGAACTTATATTCTTGGAAAATGCAACAGAGTTTTGCAAGGGTGGGCCAGAAAGCATATTCTAGTTTGGCTCACTTTAACTCATCGGCCTTACACATGTCAACTTTCATCATGGTTTTCCTCACGATTGCCTGAACCAAGCCATATGGATAGAAAATGAATGAAACACCCATTAGCTGACAGATTGAGACACTGATGTGATACAAATGAAGTCAAGTTTATTCTTCATTTTGATTATTTATTTTTAGGATTTACGAATTACTAAAGTATTCAATCTGCGAGTGTCAGGAGGTCGCAACAGTAATAGCACAATGTAAGTTCCTTTTCACCAAATTATTACCTTAATTTCTGTTACTGTAAACTGTAAGGTATTTGATGCTCTCTGAGAACTGAATTTAAACATCTCAGGTGGTGGCAGGTGCTTGAATTTAAAAATTTGAAGTATTTGATGCTGTCATGTTATTTGAGATGAAAGTAAGAGTTCCAAGGATCTACATGGTTCAACTCAAGTGCTAGCTTTAGTCCTTTAACTCCCATGAGAGACCAAGTCAGAATTTCTCCTTACAACATCAATACAATATCAACCAGATAAGTGATGAGAATAAAAAGAAATATATCAATTTGGGGATAATTAGTTGATCCATACTAAATTTTCTGAACTAACATCATAAGAATTGTATGGTTGACGGTAAGGAGAATTACAAATATGATCTGAGAGTTAAAGGGTTAATCAACCCATTATGCATCTCCACTTTAAAGTGTTTTTCATCCAGGCAAACACAAAAAATTCCCATTGAATTTACCTTATACAATGATTGCATAACACTTAAGTTCTGCTCAACAATCAATATCCTGTCAAGATCTTTTTGCTGAGAGCTCAATTTGATTTTATGTTGGACCTCCTTCTGGGGACAGCCTTGGAACTAGAAAAAGTGTCCCCTGAAAATAAATGTCCATTGATAGATGGTAACAAGAGACATAAGGCATTTTGTTATTTGGCACCAGAGTTTGTCCCTCATTGGAAGTGTCCTAAAAAGGAGGTTCTACTTTGTCTGATTTACTTTAATTTTTAATTCAATCTGTAGTTATAGTGAAGGAAGAGATGATGGTTCTTTTAGTACTAGAATAGCCAAACTTGTTGCATCCACTGGAAAGGTAACAGCAATGACCTGTAATCTGTATTTCCTCTTAGGTTTAGTTTGGTCCAAACAAGATACATTGTAGATAAATTTTGTGCATTTCTTTCCCCGACGAAAACAATTCCTTTGTAATAATCTTGAAATTTTGAAATTGAAATTTTTGTGACATAAGTTCATCTTTTAATAGATGGTCAACTCATGTTGTAGGCCATCACAGTCCCTGAAGAACATATTTTGAAGTAAAGGGGCCCTATGGTGGCACTACTTGTGGTGCCTTTTGAGGTCCAAGCTCAAAATATATCATTTTTTAATTCATTCATTGAATGTCCCGTTGTTAGATTCTAAAGTTAGTGCATATTGATATGAATTGCAAGTTCACCTTTTTGTTCAATCATGTTTTTTAAGACTCTTAATGTTCCTGATGCTGCACAAGATCAGAGGTTGAAGAGAATTGTAAGTCGTTAAATAACGATTGGAGTCATTGTGATTTACAGAGATAAAATTATATTGGCTTAAAAGTTAGTGTAAAGGGTAGTCTACCATCTGGAGATTTATTCATGTGGACAGTCAAATTTCACACAAGTGCGTGCACAAGAAAGAGTTCTTTATATCCCTCAGTCGGTATGGCACTATGATTGGACAACTTAGTAGGCCAAAGTTTGTTTGAATTGAAATCTTTTTCCCTCTATTTGAACCCACAGATAAAATTTTCACCTTACTAACCGTTTTTTTTTCAGTCCATACTGTAAGTTACAGAACCTTGTTTTCCCAACTTGGATTTATGGCCTGTAGGCTTCGCACTTGAGCCATAACTCCGAGTGGAAAAAACTTGGTCCCTCTCTTACAGTACGGACTGAGAAAACAAGATTATTTAGTAAGGAGTATTATGGCTGTAATGATTTGAAAGTATGTTTTGAAACTTGGGTGACTTTAGTTCCACTGAAAATTTTGCTCGGAAATAACAAACCAGTATGAATTACTCACTTATACCGCGCTTGGCGGTTAGCTCACGTTTTAGAGCGTCGCACAGCCGCAAGGGAGCTCGAGGTTTCAATCCCCAGACCTAACAAACACTCAGGGTTTTAAAATATTTGAGGATATTTTGCTGCCTTTAGCTTTGACATCGATAAATGGTGAGAAATTATAGTCTTCCTCGGATAAGGAAGATAAGCTGTAGGCCGTCTCTTGCCTCTTCTCTGTACTGGCTAGCAGGGGATCTAAAAGAACCCACAAACTTCTCGCAAAGAGTAGGGAACATAACTCCCGGTGTTGTGGTCTGGCCTTGTCACTGTTTACACAGGCCCCCCATTTAAACCAGCTTTAAGCTGACCTGGGCCAGCTTGTCTAAATATCACAAAATACAAATGAAAATACAATACTTTGAAGAGAAGTTGCAGCGATGAAGGTCATGGTCACCGACATTTATCACAATTTTGAGGGAAAGTTGATTTAAGTCTTTTTCTCGACTGAAAATCTTACTGGTAGCTTTGGTTCCCATTTTTGTGTTTTTGTCTTTTTTGGGGGGAGAGCCTCATTTACAAATGTTCATTAGCGTGAGGTAGCAAACCATTCAGATTCCTTGCATCACCAAGATCGTTGAGTGTGTACATATCAGTGATCTTTATACTTTGTAAGAAAATGAAGTGTTTGCTAGAAACAACGGCATTTTGGATCATGCTATCTACTTTCAGCTAATTTAGAGATAAGCATATAAGTTGTTAAGAGTCATACCCTTTTTAAACGTTTCTGTTTCGGTAGTTGAGTGGATATCAAAAAAGCCATAACACTTTGAAATAGATTTCATTGCTGCTGGTGCTTCTATAACTTTTGGCACATAATACCTTGAAGTATCGATATACTCATTCTCTTCTGCAAATGGTGAAAGTTAAGAAATTTTTTTTATTTCCAACAGATTGCAATGAGCTCTGACAATGGTGTTGATGCTCGTCGCCCAATATTGTGTATGCCAATTAGAAACAACAAGTTTGAAATTATTGGTGAGAATATCATTTCATTCATTTGGCTCACAGAAAATCCATTGTCTAGTTTGGAGATGAAGTAATTGAGATATTATCATATAGCAATGTCGTCATGGATCATCTGCACAAAATTTGGAGATGTTTGATGGTCATGGAATTGATTGAATTACTCGTGAGGCTGAGGCCCAGGAAATATGGTTTGAATCACTTGCTCAAGACATATCAAGTGCATTTGTCTCTTAATTGTCCTTGATCTGTATTATGAAGCCATAGACTAATATTCAATTTTGGTTTGCTTTGGTTTTGGTGTACTTTGCTTCTGCTTTGTTTGGTCTCAGCCCAGCGGTTGTAACCCATAAGCTGTCAGGGCTTATAGTCACTCTAGCATTTTACCTATTTTCATGTCTCTGCTTTAGGTTCTCAAATAGCTCCTTGTAATAAATCTTTTCTTCTTATTAGCGTCTGTGATCGCTGTGGATTTGGTTCTAAAACAGCCAATTGACAAATTCTTAATAAGACATTGTTATTTTTCTAAGGCGTGGCATGCTACGTGTAGTAATCATTATAAGAACTCAGTCAGTTCTTTTTCAATTTCAGGTGTTGCTCAGTTAATCAGCAAACTGAACAACAAACCATTTGATGAGAGCGATGAAACCTTATTTGAGGTATGACAGTATGTAGAAATTTACAAATAAATTTAATTTTATTTTCAATACTCAATATTGCATTTCTAGTGTTCTGATGGGATCACTTAAATCCGGTTATGATCCGAGTCACCATATATGGAAATGCATTGCCCCAACTGTTACGGAGATGACAAAAAGCTCTAACTAAGTAAACTGTCAGGATTTAACGAAATTTGATTAAAAAAACTATTTCATTCGCACTTGTTGAATACGAGATTGTTTAAAGCTAGCGCCTCGTTGGCTATTTATCATCACATATCCAGAACGCGCTCATGGAATAATTATTAAATATTTCACCAAATGATTAAGGTCTAGTCAGGCTGTAGCAACAGAGTTAGTTTTGTTTATCAAAGTTTGATTCACAGTCCAGTTTTCCTCTTGTCAGGCATTTGCCATTTTTTGTGGCCTTGGGATTCACAACACCATGATTTATGACCAAATGGCAAAGGCAAAAGCCAAGCAACAAGTAGCAATTGAGGTTGGTGACAATATCAGTTGGTTAACAAGGTCCCTCACTGTAGATGAGAATTAACAGTTAATTTAGAAAATGGTGCACTTTTCGATTGATCGTCGTAAAACCAAAACCGAAGTTATCATACAGCCAATCGCAGTGAAGGTCGATATCAACGTTGGCCAATGAGGATTCAAAGTAAAAAACAAGCATACTGCGTAAAACGCGGGAAAACGCGTGCGACCAAATCGCAATTGGTTTTAGTTTGAATCTGATTGGTTGAGAAGCTGGCGCAAGTTTTCTCAGTGAACCAATCCCAAAGCGAAGTCAAGCAATACCAAAGTACTTTCGTATTACTTTTCGACACCCAGTTGAAAACTGCTCTATTTCAACATTTATTTGGTTCCAGTGAGCTTTGGAGTTAAAGTTCAGCTAGGTTTCATCATTACGATGATCGTATCGATGCTGAAAAGTCATGTGATATTACTTTAAAGCGTAAGTGAACTTTAGTCTGCATAGTCCATGATCTTTAATTTCCCTGGTATCTATTTACCCAGGTTCTTTCTTACCATGCTGCTGCTAAGAGAGGTGAACTTGAGAGATTGAAGGTAAGGACACTGACAAATTAATTTTTTTACATCACGAGTGACGTGCGTTTAAGACCCACGGTTTTTTTCGTCGTAAAGTTTCATCCTTTTTTTTCCACCTCTATCTGTCAAAGGGCTACACAAAAAGGCATTCTTGACCGCAGTTATGATTTTCTGGTGACCACGACGGGAATCGCAGTCGCGCGTGGAGTTTCCACATCATTCGAGTGTAAATGGTCACGTTATTGAGTTATTTTCAAAATGGCCGCGTCAATGGGCGAATTTGTATCACATTCAGAATCTCAAAACGCGTCAAATCATAGTTTGTTGTCATCTTCTTGTCAACGGCGGAGATTCTGGAGCTTACTTCTCTTCTAAAAAGTTGTTAGTTAAGATGAAATTCTGATCAAATCCCTTTATCTTTTGTTCAGACAGCTGGCAGATTATTCTCAGATTTTACATGTGTTAGTTGTGTAACGACTTTTTCGTCCTCTGTCCATTACAGAACACAACAGTGTCAAAAGCTGAAGAATTCAAAGTAGACAGTTTTCAGTTTGATGACTTTTCGCTGGAGCCTGATCAGATGCTTCAAGCCTCACTCAGGATGTTCATTGATTGTGGCTTCATTGATGAATTTCACATAGACTATGAGGTTTGTTCTTACTTATAATCCATCCATTTTTTTGTACATACGTGATTAGTCTAAAAGCATCACGTGACCGAATATACCCCTACTAAAACTGGGGGATATCTGGTGATATTTCCCCAATGACATTCCCCAATTTTCCAATCTTGCGTTCAGTACTCCAAGAATTTTCGAGGCACACAGTTTTCCTCGGACCTAGCTCTCTCAAAACTGTTCACTTTTCGGAACCGTTACTGTTCGCGGGGAAATATCGGAGTATATTTTCGCGCAAAATGGAGGCTATTGTTTCCATATGACTGAGTTTTGACTGAGTAAACAAACGTAAAATAGACGGGCGCAACGTTCAGGAATAACTGAAAAGATCTACTTAGTGGCTACTAATCGAGTTCATAGTGTTTTTATTAATACCTTCTGTTTAGAGAGGATTTATAGCTTGTAACTTTTCCTTACATTGTGATCAAGTTTTCTTGCAATCAAGGTCGAGGAAAGTTCAAATTCTCATAACTAATTTAAAGGGAAATGTAGATAAACTAAGAAGGAGAGTCAGTGATCAGATCCCGGGGAGTGAAAGAAAAAAGGGCATTGGTTCCAGGGGAGGTTATGACAGTGCAAAGTTTCTGTAATTGCTGCTGTTGCTCCTTTTTTGTTTCGTTTTTTTTTTTTTGGAGCGGAGTTTTTCGTGAGATCAATTTCTTGAAAAAATTTTCTCTTTTTCAGATTTTATGTAGGTGGTTGTTGACAGTTCGGAAGAATTACAGAAATGTGATTTACCACAACTGGAGACACGCCTTCAATGTAGCTCAGTCAATGTTTTGTATGCTCACGGTAGGTTAAGTTCTGTTGGCTTATAGTAACGAAAATGCGCACCTACCCCTCCCCTAACCTAACATTAACCGTAACTTGTTATCAGTTTACTATCGTTGGGTTAGGGGAGGGGTAGTGGTAGGGGCGCAGTTGCTCAGATACTGATATTACATTTCTGGCGTATTTCTGTTTAACAGACTGGAGGTATGAATAAGTTTATGAGCAATCTGGAATGTCTTGGATTGATTGTTGGGTGTCTGTGTCATGACCTGGACCACAGGGGAACCAACAACGCCTTTCAGACCAAGTAAGTTGCCCCGGTGTGTTCTTAATGATCTAAATTCCCTAACCAGACCGAGAACAGTGTTACGGCTTTTTGAGCCTTTCATGAAATCAATCGATGCATATGAGAAAACCTAGCAAAGAAAGAGATAATACTTTCTTGTTATCATTTAAAGGACGTATTCATACCAAATAAAATGAATGAATCAGTAAATAAGCAAGTTAAAAAATTTCTGCCCGAAGTCGTGCATTTAAGTTTACAATGTTTTTCTTATCTTTTCTACTTTTGCGCGCGCATTGCCCCTATACAAACCTTGCTTCATGGTTTTTTTTGTGTGTGTGTGTGTCATTTCATTTGTTGGTTAAACTATGTTTTTAACAGTGTTGTTTTGTGATTTGAAATCCTCTTTATGATACTTTAATCAGTTTTATGACCAGTTGCTGTGGACGAAAGTGAAATGTGTGGTATGCGGGTCCATAGGTACTCCACCCATTGTACATTGTAGGCCCCCCCACACACACACACACACACAAGTTATAAGGCCATATTTTCAAAAGATTTATCGGTAACCCACGCTTTTATATTCTGCTTACCCTGTCTGCTACTGCCTGAATTCTTAGTAAAGTAATCCGCATTCTCAGCATTGTGTTTGTGCAATTTTCTTCACTAACAGAACTGACTCGCCGTTAGCCAAGCTTTACACCACATCTACTTTAGAACATCATCACTTCAACCATGCTGTGATTATTCTTAGCACAGAGGTGAGACTAAACACTCATTTTGTTCAGTAACATTTCATCATTAAAAATCGCCTAAAATGGAATTAAAATTAGTTTACTTTTTAACAGCTACTTATTTTCTTTGTTTGCTTTGGAAGGGTCACAACATTTTCCAGAAACTAAACGCGGACGAATACAGACAAGTTATAAGTTATATAAAGCACTCGATCCTATCGACGGATTTAGCCGTCAATTTCAGGTAAGTACAGATCGCGTACGCCAAACCTTTTCATATCTGTCAACGTTTTGAGACAAAAATTTGTCCCTGACAATTTCATAAGGAAAACTGTTCAAAATAATGAATGCTGATGTCGAGGTTTTGCTACTTTTTATGGTTTCTTTTGATTCTTTATATTTTTCATTGGATCAAAGAAGCGGTTTTACTTTAGTTTGTGTAAAAGACACTCAGGTTTACCTGATGCGCGTGACTTAGACCGAGCGACAAGTCACGCGCAGAAGAGAGTGAGAGAGCTTCATTTTCACGAGTTTGCAATCCAGAGCTTGTACTTGAAAAGCGCTTTCAACGTAGGCTAACCTACTCCAACAATATGGACCATTGTGTGACTAAGCTTCAATCTTTGAAGAAAACAGAGAATGGTGAAGGCCAGCCCAAGTTATTAACTTAAAACAACCAGTGTTAAAAAACCGAAAAAAAGAAGGCACTTCAGGGCGAAGATATTCGAGACAATTGCATTCGTTCATTGGCACGTATGTGTTCCAGCCTGTGTCACTCTAATAACGAGAAAGAGACTGCTTCTCTCTCACCTACCTTGGCTCTTGATTTTTCAGCTTACTGCCCGGTTGCTGTGGGTTTATATCAATATTGTCTTCTCCTTTTCCTTTAGGCAGCGGTCAATTCTCTTTCCTCTGGTTGAAAGAGGAGAACTTGATCCCACAATCCCGGATCACCGAGACATGCTTAAGTAAGGTTCTTTTTATTAAGGAGTCGCCGTTTGCTTTGATTGCCCGGAAGTTAGCTGTTGTTAATGTCATATTGCAGAGTAGAGCGGTTTTCAATGCAGCGAGGTACATGTAACTCGAGAACACACTGGCTGGGTCTTACTTTCCTTCGCTCTGTGATTGCCGTTAACTAGTTAGATGCAAAACTGAAACCAGTTGTGACTTGAGCGCTCGCGTTTTCCAATGTTTCGCGTATCCCTTTTTTTTTCCTTCAATGTTTGACATCTCACTGGTTCATGGCGACATTTTTCTTTGTTCGGACAAATTGCGGTGATAATCAAGGTTTTAGTTTACGATCAGTTTTCGATGAGTGTCGAAAATCCAAAACCAAAGGGATTACAAATAATAATCAGAACTAAGGGCAACATCATCATGAACCAATGAGGACTCAATGTAAATAAAAGGCAACATGTCTGAAGCGCGGGAAAACGCGAGTGACCAATCAGACAGTTGAAGTAGTCAACCACTCAGCCGAATCCACCAATCACAGAATTAAACACAATAACCATAGCAACAGCCACTTATCCTAAAAGGGAATCGAGGAATTTCCAAATTTTTTTCACTTTAGACATTGCCTCTGCCGGAGATATTACACCTAAATGTATTTGTTGTTTTCTGAAATTGAAACGGTTATGAGTAATTGGTAACAGGACTTCGTGTTGTTCAATCCTGCCAGTAATCATACTCGTGATTAACAAATCGGACTTCCGCTCCGCGGTCGTCCAATTTTGTTTATCACTCGTATGATTACAGAGCGAATTGGACTCCACTCAGTCCAATTACCGTTACTAAACGAAATACGCTCAAATACGCGAGTTTGCTAATACTGAGGTGAAAAAGAACGCTAGGATTGGCCAACCCTGTGCCTGGTCCCTCAAAGGGCATGTTATTTCGCGCGGCCTCAATCTTTGTTGTTGTTGTTTGAGGTGCAGAGCCAGAAAACCTTCGCAAATTATTCTAAAGTTGTATGTTTTCAAACCTTTGTTCTATCCATAATGGGCCGAGAAGATCATTGATCTGTGTGGGAAGGTGAAAATGACCGTAGACTTTGGTAGAGTACAAAATTTTAACGGAAACCTTCTATTTCCAACAACAACAAATTTCAAACCAGCGTATCTTCCTCGATAGGCCGTAACTTCTTGAACAACTTAGTTTTCCAATTTAAATTAATGCATTGTCTTGTTGTTGTTGTTTTTTTAAGGGCAATGATGATGACTGCTTGTGACCTCAATGGCACCACAAAGCCATGGGAAATACAGAAAGAGGTGAGATGGTTAAGCTATGTGTGCGATTAGCAGTAGTTAGTTAATCAGTCCCCTCCGTGTGTCCACGCACATAAGGCCACGGCTAGAGAACACCTTTAATTTCTGTCATTTGCCAGTCGGTCATGACGCCCCTATGAACAGCCTTTGTCAAGCTTTCCGATCTGGCAAAGGGTTCTGACGTTTCAGCTAGTCGCAATCGTCTTCTGCTTTGGTTTCAAGAATCCTCTGTTGGGTTGCCAGCTCCCTGCCGGGTTTGGCGGTCTTTTGTCTTCTGTCTTCTCTCCAGTTCCTTGGCTTGTTTTGTCCATCTCACCACCAATGGTTATTTCTGTAGCGTTGGTTTTGTGAGCTTAGGTTTTTTAAGGATGAGGTTTTCAGCCCCATGCCCAACCCTCCTCCTTTCGCATTCTGGCGGGCTAGGAACCGACATAGGCGGAGTTATCAGCAGTCGCAAACAGTCTAAGTTGAAATGTTGACCAGAAAAGCTTCAATGTTGCCTGAATAGAAACGATTATATCCAGGAGATTATTAACGTCTGAGATTTGGTTTCCCAGGTAGTCCATCTTGTGACAAGCGAGTTCTTTCAACAAGGAGATCTTGAGCGAAGCACACTCAAGATGGAACCGTCGGTGAGTAAAAAACATATTACCTATTTTATATGTTGGCACGTAGTATGCCAACAATCACGTTTATTTTGGGCAATTTATATAGTATTTTGTACATCTTCTCCTATATTTAATGTTAACTGAAGTCTACTTTGGATGCCCTCACTTGTGAAGTCCGCAACAATTATATTTTCAAAACTGTATGCCTTGTTAAAAAAAGCAGAGTAAACGATTTGCCAAGATTCAAGCCGTGAGTCAGTTCTCTGGTGAATCGAAGGCAAAGATTAATTACAGAAACCGCTATTTTCATCACTAGTTGAAGAAAAAGTCTGTACTTAAACCCAAGTGGCTCAAGAAGCCGGAGTTCATCCCGATTTCCTTAGCATGAAGCGACCAGAAGTATGTAACAATTACTTCTCCCCGCTGGACGGGATGCTAGTCAATCTTAAGGTTACCCCTCCCCCCCCAGCATTTCACTAGGCTTCCTTGACAAGAAACACAACAAAATGACCCTGCCAGGTCTCGAACCCAGACCTCTCGACCCTGAGTCCAGCGCACTGACCTTAAAGCCATCGCCTATATAAATTTAATCGGCAATGGCCCGCGACTAATGTTTGCCGGAAAATCTTGATTACTTGCCATACCCAGATTACTTGCCATACTCAAATGCAAACCGTTCACCGTTGATAATAACCATTTGTCTTTGTAGGCCCTCATGGACAGGCAAAAGGTCGACGAACTACCTGCACTCCAGGTGCAGTTCTTCGAAACGACAGGAATTCCCGTCTTCAAGGTATGCGGCGCATGTCATTATGAATATGTTGTCCGAACTCATGCATGGTTACGTTGTTGCAGGCTTGAAAGGTTTAAGTCACCCCTCTGTCAATGTCACTGTCTTCAAACTTCATTTAAGTAGTTGGTTACCACCATATGTACCAGATCTTTTTCAAAAACCAAAAAAAAGATGAAAGTTTGATCAGTTCTATTCAGGGTAGAAAAAGGCATAGGGAGAAAAATAGACCATGGAGAAAGGAATCCTCGTAGTTTACTAAAATTTAGATTGGTAATGCAAATTAACAGTCTTGCTTTGTCAACGAATAAACACATTTTTGTTAAGTTTGGAGAGGGACTCTAGAAAAAATATTTGACGCGTGTGATTTGAGCACTTGTTAAGCCTTAATCCCAAAGAGTGACTGGCATCGAAATTATCCGTATAATATCACTCCTTAATCCAACATTAAGGTCATAGAATAAAGGAAATGATCGCTAAACGAAAAAAGCTCTCGATCGATATACAAATTCTCTTGTCAGTGCCAAAGGAATTGTTTAAAGAAAGGTATGGAGAATAAGCAGACTGATATAAGGGGCTAAATGGTTAATAAGTGAAGCGGGGAGTTACATTCCTTGACTCGTTGTTTCCCTTTTCAGTGCTTGGCTACATTCAACCCAAAGATTCGACCTCTCCTTGATGGCGCAGAATCCAACAAGAACCGCTGGTGTGAGTTAGAGAAAGAACGGCAGGCGCGGCAAAAGGAGGAAGAAGAGAACAAACACCAACCAATAACGTGACACTGCTGGCGTACTTCCTTCTTCTATTCATCGTATTCGTTACCGTACCAGCAAATGGTCGGAATCAATCGGAACTCAATCGGAATTCAATCGGAATTCAATCGGCTCATCTTTAAAAGCTGTCAATTGCTTCAAGGTGTCGTGGGGAATTCGCCACTGATTGGTCCAGTGGCCTCGTACAGCCATTTTTTCTTTTGCAAGATGTCTGATTTTAAGTCCTTCTCGATATCAAGTCACTTCGAAGACTTGGTAACCTCAAGGAATTATTATTATTGTTATTATTAAAACATAGGAAGGAACCCTATTTTGTATTTATCGTTAGGGATGGGAATGAATAGTCTCAAAATCGCAGTATTGTATTTTTTCTACGAAGATTCTTTATCCATTAAGCAAATGATTAGTTAGGTAATAGGGAAACATTTTTAATTATCTCTGCCAAGCTTGAACGACACGCCTCAATACTCCAACTGCGATGAACTGAATAACAAGCGTATCGCGAGATGAAGGTAAAACTCTCGATTTGATAATCTTGAGCTCGTTGTCTGAATTCTCGTAGCTGTCTATGTAGTTAAAATGGTTATTTCATTTTCACTGAGCTGTCAGGTGTTAATAAGTCTCGTGCCCAGACCTTCCACGAGTAAGCATTTCAGTTACGGTTACAAGGTTGGATCTGGATACGAGATAAATCAGGTGTATCTACTATAAGTGAGTGTTAAGGTTGTTGGGGCCCATTTTTATGGTCTCGGGTACCCGAGACAACTTTTCCTCGAGTTATCCTGGCAGGGCTAACTTTCCGCTTACTTCTTTGAAAAATTCAACCAATCATTTACACGAAAAAATTGTGAAGTCGTCTCGGGAGGCGAGACACCCTTTTCTTATATAAATACTTCGGCGCTCTTAACTGAGAAGAGTCGGCATACAATTTTAGAGAGACTTTTAAGGGAACAGCTGTCACAACTCAAAACTTCATATAAACGCTCCGTTAAGTTGTCTCGAGGGAGGGTTGTCTCGGGTAAGAGAGACCATATAGAGCCTAAGAGAGGGTAACTTCTCGATCTTTAGGGAACGCGAGTGTTGATATTTTTGAGACGTTAACGGATAATGGAAGACTACTGGATTTTTTCTTTTTTGACACTTCACTTCCGGTTGCGCAAGCTTCTCGAGAACGCCTTTGCCAAGACGTAGTTTTGTTGTGAACACAGCTTTATTTATTAGTTAGTTTATAAGATGCCAATGGTGGCTCCTAAAATTAACGTTTTGGCTCAGTCGTAACCGACCACTGCCGTAAATAAAGGAAAACAGAAGTTGCTTCCAGCACTGAAAACCAGCATAGTCTCCTCAAGATGTATTTGTATTCCACTCTTGGAGATGACTTTGATTTTATCTTTCGATACATGATTTCTTTATTTGCCATTTTCTTTACGCTCATATTTATTTCTATTAGGATATGTCTTACTTCGCGACTTTTTCCGCCTCTGTAGGAAGACAGAACGAAAATCAAATGCTGGTGTAATCTATTTGTGGCTTTTCGTTGTGTTCGAATAAAGCGGAAAGTGTAGGAGACGAACAATGAAAATGTAAAATAACAACCCAAAAGACAGATGAGATTTAGTGGAAGAAATAAAGTCTTGTAAAAAGAGATATGAACCCCTGTTGCCTGTTTCTCTTAAAGCGCAGTTCCTTTTTCAGGGATGAATCACGAAAGGGATGAATCATGCGTGGGTTAAGCGAGAAGACGAGCGTCTCCCTCACCACATGCTACACACGCGTGCAATTACTTGCACTCGCCAGGAGGCTAAAATTGCTTGTTCTACTGACTAATTTTTTTCAGTGCAGAGGGTAAGAAATCAATCACACGCCGTTTGTAAGTTGGTTTCAATTTTATTTCATCACCTTAAAATTTGAATTTTACCGTTTATTGGGTAGACGTTTTCCGGCGTATTTGTGTTGTCTTGACGGCTGCGAAAACAATTTTGATCAAAGTGCTCTCAGGAGAAAGGTTAACTTGCGTAAATAACACCTTTTAGGGGCCTTTTTTAATTATGATGAATTTGATATGAAATTGCTAAAATTTTACCCCGCTTTTAGTTTTTCAATTTTTGTTTTGCAGGAAAAGAGACAAGCCTTGAAAATAACAAAACAAAAAATAAAAGCACCATTTATTTCAAAGAAACTGTAAAATCACACGTTTGAGTGTTTACCGTCTCTCAGGAAATCAACTCTGCCTTCAGGCATTCTTCCACTTAACAAGTCAAAAAACATCACCAATGCGGTACACCACGCAGTGCGTATTATTTGATATAACAACCACTATAGGTTTCCAATAACTACCCCCAAATGGATTTGACGTTTCCCTAAGTAATTTATTAGATAGTATCATTCCACAAACAAAAACATAAAATGAAAATGAAAATTTCTTTTCGTTGTGAGTTGCTTTTGGTACACCGGCTCGATTAAACCAAATGAAATATTTGATTAAATTTTCAAGCACGCCGAATGTTGCAAGCTATAAACTCAACTGAATCCCAATGCATTTGAATACTGAACAATTCATAACGCCCGGGTCGACCACTTCGCACCAATCAAAACAAACTTAGAGCCTTGTGTCACCTTCGACTCTCTAAAAAGAGCGGTTTTGTTTTGTTTGAAAAGGACCATCATTTTTTTTTATTTTTCTATCCATCAGCCAAGAACAGGCAACAACATGCTTGTGAGCAAAACCCCTGACATCATTATCGGGCTTAAGTATTACAGTGTTTCCATTTCAATCTTATTCTCCCTTGCCTATGATACTAAGCATTCATATCCTTTCATGATATTTCTGGGGCCCTGACGATATCTTTCGTTGAATACAAGAAAAAAAACCTATGGGTTTAGTGAAGTGTTTGAATTAAATATGAATTTGACTACATAGCTCAAGTTGTCGATCGCAAAAAGAATTTCCTTACTCCATGCAAAAAAAAAAGAGAAAAACCTATAACATCTGTAGGCTAAATGCAAATGAGAAATGGAAGTATTATGGCCAAAGCGTTCCAAATAATTTTGGTGTTTTCTTCTCGTGGACTTTTTAAGAATGAAGATGAAACATTTTTCCAGCAAGTTCTCTCTCTTTTTAGATCTCTTAACATGATCGAGTTCAAAACAATTTTTTACGGCCAATGAAGGTATAGAGGTAAAAAACGTGGAGAGTATTATGAAGCGAACTTAACCCGCAAACAGTGTCAAAAGCCAGCTCAGAGCTGCTAAAAAAACACTAATGGATTCCTTTGACCCTATGACCCGTTAAATTCAAGCAATGAAGAAATGTCTAGTGTATGCACCCATCGATATTAACCAGATGAGTGCAATTACGAATTTTAACCTTTGAAGAGATATGAAAGGCTTTCGAAACGGCGACACCACCCCGGTATATCTAGCTATCAAGCGTAAGAACCACAATGTTTTGTATCGATGCAGCGGTTGAAACGTTTTGAAAAGAGTGAACTGTTTTACAAAGGACTGCATTGAACAGACCGTGGAACAACCATTCCCGCGAAAGCCAATGAATATCTATCTCAGTTCTCTTGGCACCGCAAGGGCAGAAAGAAGTAAATCTGGCACTGCCATGTTTCTGATCAAATAGTTCGTAGTGTTCCACACGTGTCTGTTTTTGGCAACAATGATAGCCGCGTTTCCCAAAAACAAAAGCGATATCAGAACTGTGTAGCGTGCGGCTTTGATGGCCGTCACGGACACCGAATCTTCTTTACTGAAAGGAATGCATTCAGACGCTTCGGTTGGGTTCGAAAATGATGGATTTTCCAGTGAAGCTATAATCATCTTCTTTCTGCTCACAAATGAGCATGAAAATGACTTGAAGACAATCGTGAGAAACCATTGGACTTTTCACTTGCAAAGTGCTCGGATGAACTTCTGGAAAGGATTAATTTACCGCCCTTGGATGACAGCGCGGCCCCAATTTTCGAAATTAACCCGTAACTCGAGACAATATTGGTATTGGCGTCATAATGGTGCACTATCGTAAACGTCTTCAAAACCATTTTCCGTACGGAGATAAAAAGATCTTATATTACTCTCTGTTTGCGTTGATAATTGTCTAGTCGGGAATCATATTTGAGATTTTCACCATCGCAACATCGAAATCTAAAGTGGGAGTCAAGGGGGTTTGTAGGTAGATGAGGAAGAACCTCCGGTGATAAAATCATTTTAGAAGAATAATTTATTTATTTCACCTCTCGCACCATTAAAACTACCTAATCAATTCCACCAATCGATAAATCAACTTCACCAATGATTAGTTTCTATCTGTAAGCTACCATTATCTAAAGCGTAATCTTCGTTCAGCATCCAGAGGTCTGTTATTGAAAGTACCTGAGTACCTACGGTGCTCGATTCGTGAGGAAGAGGAGAGGGGCGTGGTGAATGGGAGCACGGAGAGAAACAATCAATTTTCCCTGGTCTCCCTGTTAAACTATATAAGTGGCGACTGATTTCCCCCCCCCCCCCCCCCCCCCCACTCTGTTCTCCCTTAAAACCATAAAAAAAACCCTAAAAAAAAATCTCCCCCCTCCCAGCCCCGCAGGTGTTAGTTAATGACTAGCTTCTTGATTATAGCAAATAGACCCGCTCGCTGGCTGCCGTGGGGAAAAACGATTACTTCAAATACTACTAGAGGCGTAGTGGGACCCACTGTAAGGAATTTCGAGTCAATTCTTAAGCTTGCGAGTAAGATTAGTTAATAAAAACCCGTTTGTATCGGCTCACAAGATTCCAGAATTTCGTGCGGCTCCGTTTGAAAGCCTTTTCCGGGGAGATTTTAATTTGCTATCCGCTATTGAGTGAAGAATATATCAAGAGAAAAAAAGTAATATCTCATTACTTTTCTTGATAGATATCAACCTAATTGGTATGGGGACAAAAGAAATTGCAAAAGACGAAAGAATAACAAGGGTAAAAAAAATACGCGAAAAGAGTGCCTTTTTTTCTTTAAAAGATAATGTTCTCTCACCTAAAGCTCTACGGTTTCTTTAAAATGAACATAGATGTCGCGTAAAGACTGACTATGCAATTTAATTGTTTTCAACAAATACAAAAGGAAAAATATAAACCAATATTTCGAAAAAAACTTAAGTTCAAGTTTTTAACACAAACTCAGCTCGAAAATGACAAGATTTTATCTTCGAATGCTCAATCTTACTTTTTTTTTTAGTGGATTTACATATAGTTTAATTGAATTTGACCACCTTGTTAATTACTTAACGAGTGAAAACTACTTAGTCCGTTATTAGTTTTTTTGTGAAATTAGACTTAGTGGCGTCAGGTGCATTAAAAAAAAAAGACGTCCATATGGTATTAGAAGCCTTACATGATAATTTGCTGAAAATTGGTCACAGAATTGTGTAGATAAAAAAGTTTATAATCTGTCGATGGACATATATACGATTATCGTAATCTGGTTTGCGACTTTGAAGAGTGTCAGACAACACTGTCCATTCAAATCCGTGTTAAACCCTTATTTTTCAACGCCACTCCCGAAACAAAGCCATGTTATCTCACGGAACAATCCACTTTTCTACCCTTGTTGACGAGCTTAAGTGACCGCGAGCAAAGTAAAGGAAAACGACCATTAAATTCAGTTATTATGCCTGTCTTCTAAATAAAACGTTATTCAAACCAGGGGTCAGCTATTAAAATGTGGTCATTTCGACGCTTTTTAACTGTCTTTCCTGTGCGAACCATTTGTGGCCTTTGAAGAGGTTTCGTAGACCCTGGCGATATCTTTCATTTAAGATGAAATAAACGCAAGGATTGAGAGAGGCGTTGGAGTAAAAAATAAACTTGACTGCGAAGCTTAAATTGTCCATACCGCACGGGATTCCCTCGTGCCATGCAAAAAGAAATAAAAAACCTACAATATCAATGGGTAAAATGCAGATCATAAACAAACAGATAATCGCTAAAATTTTTTTGATGACTTGAGTATTCTCCTTCTGCCGGCTCTTTAGCAGAGAAGAGGAACATTTTCGCCAAAAGGACTTCCGCTTTTCCAAAGCCTTAAATATAAGTGAATATAAAACAATGAGAATGCCAAGAGGAATGACGATCAAAAGTAGTGACAATATTATGAAGTTAACTCTTAATCCCTGTAAATTGTCAAATGCTGGCTCAAAGCTGAAAATACATACATTCGCACCATTCACCCTCTGCACGCGATAAATGTAAAGATAAATGCCGTGCAGACTCATCGCTATTAACCAGATGGAAACAATCACCACCTTGCGTCGTCGTGGAGCTATAAAAGGCTTCCGAAATGGCGACACTAACCCTACATATCTATCAAGCGTAATGACAACAATGCTTTGTATCGATACAGCGGTTGAAATGTCTTGAAAAAAATAAACAGTTTTACAAAGAACGGCACCGAACAGACCGTGGAACAACCATCCTTGAAAACCAATGAACAACTCCGTCATTTCTCTGGGCACCGCAAATGCAGAGAGAAGCAAATCTGACACTGCCATGTTAGCGATCAAATAGTTCGTTGTGGTCCGCATCTGCCTGGTTTTGGCAACAATGGCGATGACCGCCGCGTTTCCGAAAAAAGAAAGCAACATCAGAACTATGTAGCATGCGGCTTTAGTGGCCTTCACGGAGATAGAATCTTCTTTTCTGAAAGGAATGCATTTGGAGGCTTCGGTTGCGTTTGCAAACGTTGAATTTTCCAGCAAGGAATTGTTCATTGTGTATTGACAAAAAAATCCTAGTTTTTTTATCTTCATTTGCAGAGAAGAATGCTTGTTAATTTTGTGATCTGTGTAGTGTCTTTATCTCTTTGCCAGGTGATATCGTTTCAATGGGATAGTCTAGGGGAGGGGGCGTGACAATTTATCTTGAGTTACAAACAAACTTAATTTTTATATTGCAGCCTAAGCTCCTACGTTTAAGTGGGGAAGGGTCGGGACAATTTATCTTCAACCATAAACAAACATAATTTCTATACTGCAGTCTTAAGCTCCTACGCTTTCAAGTGGCTGTATTGGTGTTATTACGATTGTTATGGCTTTCGAATCTTTATCCGTGGGCTACAATTTAGGGTGACCTAATTAAAGTCAATCAAGGCGTTTTTACCGACCGGCGGCCGTATTCACCTTTTTTTAAGAATATTTTGTATTTTAACTTGTTTTATTTTTTTACACATTTAATTTAAATTCCAATTAAAATCGATAATTTTTGAGATGAACATTTACTGAAATACTTCTAGCCTTCTACTTTGGTGACCTCAAATCTACATGTAACTTAAAACGTATTTAAGAACTGTAAAAGAGATCAAAATTCAAACCGGCTGGGCGTAATAAGAGAACGGACGAGTGTATGGAAAAGTAAAACTTTTTATTCACAACTTCAACTCAGATTTCACACTTTTTAGAATTTATTAATGCATCAACGCGATGTTACCATTTCCTTCTTGCAAGCCGAAATGTTAGATAAATCATACATTCCTTTATTTCATTTTAAGGGCTAAAATTTCTTCACATGAAAAAGTTATTGCATTTCTGTTTCTTGATAATCCTAAAAATACTATAGAGTTTATGGGCTTTAAGACCTAATTTATTTATATTCTTTGGCGTTTTCCTTTACCGATTCACGCTTGAATTATTTCTAATGGTTCTTATGACGATCACATATAGGAGAAATGATGAATCGCTGTGGCTTCTTCTTACGTTTCCTTCTGTAAAGCAACCGCATAGATCAAACTCTGCTTGTGAGTATCGGAAACTTTAAAAAGAGAAATGAAAAATAGAGTCTTCTCATGACGGTTTTCCCTTGATTAGTTTATCGTGGGAGTGAAGATTGAAATTAAAAAAAATATCTCGGGCAAGTTTGTGAATGCAGATGGAAAATACGAAAAAACTTTACATGAAGAGTTAGTTACTCGCTTAAACTGAAACTAAGTCAGGGAAAATCTGCTGTAGGAAATTCCAACGAAAATTATCTTATAGGAAACTATTTTCCATTCAACAGGCCAAAAAGAAAAGGGATAAAAGAAATAAAGATGAAAGAAAGAATGAAGAAGAGACAAAAGGGGTGAAAGAAGGAAATGAATAAAAATAATTAAAAAAAAGGAAAAGAAAAGAAATATGCTTGAGTGTCCTGTGGCATTTCAAAGAGAGACTGGGAAACAGTCCCACAGTCATTACTAGTCAGTTGTCAGTACATTTGAGTAGAAAGCGCGCGAACCGGCAACATGGATGGTGAGCAATTTTTCGATCATTTCTAGAGGAAAACGCTACATTTGTAGCTAATTTCGTTTGTGGTACAACGTAGTGATATTTTGGTTGTTATGTCGTAGTTTCCATGGCAGACCAAGCTCTTACTCGCTATAAATGCGACTCCAACACAGCTGTACGTTTCAAGCTCGGTAAGCCTTCAATCGACTTTCTCGTGTGTAAATTTAAGTGCACTAGTTAACTTATGTTCTGTCAGTGAAGTTCTCGAGGGAGATATTTATTTACCTGTCTTAGTAGCGTATTGCAATGAATATTCATACAGCTTTGCGTGTGTGAGAATAAAAAAACTAAAGCTCTGTTGCAGATGTTCTAATCGAGAAAAACAGGAAACTCGTGAAGTACAGAAACAAGTGATTTTTCAGAAATGAAATTGAAATCAACGCTTTATTTGAGCAATTTGTCTCTCGGTTTTAAATTCAGGATGATCTTCCCTATCTCAGGAAAGCAAACTGTTGTCACGTTCCTTAAAGTTACTAATCTTCTGCAACCAATTTTTTCCCTTCTTTGCAGTTCAATGTGAGAATGATGTATTTGACAAGGGCAAAGAATTCCATCCAACATTTTCACACCAGTACTTCGGTGACAAGTGAGTCTTGTGAATTCTTTTGCTTCATCCAAAGATATAGTTACCATTTTTGTCATTAAGGTGTAGAGTGCGTTTTTTAGTTATTTTTGAATTACCAAATCCAATCAGATCAATGGATATTATCAATAAGAGCTAATTAGACATCAAAGTAAAAAGGATAAATGAACTTTTAATTTTTTTTCTTTGCAGTGAAACCATATTTGGTTACAGCAACTTGGAAGTGCAGGTAAATCTCTAAATCAATGAACTGAAGCATGATGGTAAGTAAGCCTGCAGTTTGTAATACTGTGCATGGTAGTAAGTTATACTTGGTTGATTTTTTTTGGTCAGTCAGCCAGCAAGTCTGTTTGTCCATCAGTCAGTCAGTCCATCAGTCCATTAGTTAGTGACTCAGGCATTTTTTTTTATCTGTCAGTTAAGTTGCTAGTCACTAAGTGATGCTCAGTGAATACAGTTTGCGTCATTTTCCCTTTTTTTTTTTTCAGTTGTACTATCATGCTGGAAGCCTTCTTACTTATATAGGCATGAAACATGATGGGCAGGTTAATAGCAAAGGATTAGAGGTAAGAGGTACCCTGTTTCCAGAATTCTACCTTTATTTTAAGATCACTGTGCTGGACTCTTGAAAGAAGAGTCCAAGTTTGATCTCTAGTAGTAGTTTTTTTGCATTGTGATCTTGATTAATTAAGTTACTTACTTAGACTATTGTTCTACCTAGGAGTATAGCGGATACCAGAGTGCCTACCCATGATAAATTAGAATCTTGTTCAGAGTAACAGGGCAATTTAAGTATGTCATAACTTAAATTGATAAATTGAAGTGGAAAAACTGAAAAGAAGAGAGAATGAGAGGATTTGGGGGCTTCCTATTTCAGGAAATTTGAGGAGTATTTCAAAATTGCTGTAATTGTGGCATGATGCTGCATAGGCTAGCAATTTTGAAATTATTCACAGAAAAGTAGAGTACCATGTAATAACTTATTATCTCTTTATCTCATATTTATCATTTTATTTGCTCTTCAGCCTGATCCTGTTATGAGTATTGTTGCAGAGAGATACCCAGCTGGTAATGTGGAAACCTATCATTCCTTTTTTACCATGATTTCTTCACTCTCTAAACCATTATTGCTTTGTATTCTCCTAGGATTTCTGACAAATTTGGATCAGTTTATTGCAAAACTTCCTGGTGAAGGGAAATTCAGACCAATGGGGGAACTGCTGCATTCATACAAGCAAAATGATGCTGAATATGAGATGTATCAGGTGATTTTTTCACTTAGCGAGCAAGAACATGTTTTGTGTAGTTCAAGTATTGTCATAATTCTTATTGGTACATAATGAAATGTGAATCAAAACAGTTTTTCAATAGGTTTATAGGGTAAGTGTTGTTAACCCTTTACCTCCCAAGATCTGTTTGATATTTCTCCTCTCTAGCTATTACAAATTTCCTCATAAATTAATTGCAAGAATTTAGTGTTAGATCAAGATAACAACTTCTTCCTGATAACTTTAAAAATTCCCATTTCTTGTTTGCTGGATAGTGTTTGGATGTTATAGGGAGAAGTTACATGTTAATCACTTCTGGGAGTAAATGGATTAAGGAAGCAGTAAGGGAGGGCAACAATTTCCTCAGTGGCCACTGTGGTCATTATGGCAACTGAGCCATAGCTCATCTCCAGGTCCCCTGGAATGATTATGTACTAAAAATGTGGGAAGGGGTGAGCAAAAAAGCTAAACAAGTTGAGCAAAAGCATAGAGCTGTGCCTTTGCAAACCATCCTGAAACCCCAAACATTGCAGAGAGGAGGGTGGCACTGGTGGCTTCAAGGTTTCAAAATGTGTTCATTTTCAGCTATTTTGTTACAAGTGCCCCAATAGTTTTGTTAAGGATTGTAACATACAGCCCTAATGTAGCACACTAATGAGCTCTCTGCAGCCTAGCAGGTAATTTAGGGTTAACAACTGAGTTGAAAACGTAAATTAGCTATCATTAAAGGGTAAAAAAGCTGACGTTTCGAGCGTTAGCCCTTCATCAGAGCAATTGACAAAGGTGTTATCAACTCAGTTGATAACACTAAATTACCTGCTATACTCTCCCACTGATGCAGCACCACAGTTTCTTCAGAAACTTACACCTTTATCTCTGCAGCCTAGTTTGAGCAGGGTTAAAAATTTTTCTTGGTTTCAGATTTCTCAAACCAGTTTCAGTTTTATCATTTATCTTATATTCATTACTGCAGTCTGAAACTATGGAAGATAAGAATTAATCTGGTTTGAATTTTACAATTATTGTAATTATTACAATATCATAATTTTATATTTAGGCTGATATAACTACTCCAAGACTCAGGGATTACCATGAAAGACTCCAGACATTCTTGCTATGGTTCATTGATGCATCATCATATATAGGTACGAGATTGTGGTTTCATTATTATTATTCTCAATCAATTATCAGGTTGTTTCAATTGGTCATCTTGCCAGCATGGCTGTTTAGACAAGTCAAGCTAATATCAGTGTGCTTATCTCCATGCTGTTTCTTACACATTTCCCAAGGTGCTGACAATGAGAATTTGTTTAACAATCAAGGGTTTCTTTAGTTGTTGATCATTTCCTGTATTCTCATGACCTGAATGTTTGATTCAGGGGTAATATGGATAGGAGAAATTAAATGCTGGTCACTGGTAGGGGTCAAAGGTTAAAAATGGCTAAATAATTACCTTGGTATGCTTTGCTTCATTAGATACTGATGATGAAAGATGGCACTTTTTCATTCTGTAAGTTTGCCACACTATGTTCAGCTGATTTAAATAACATACTTTCAAGATATCATTACTAGCTGTCCAATGATTTTCCCTCTTTACAAGTGTTTTAACACTATATACCCCAACATCAGCATGTGTATTCTTCATACTATTCTCTGTATGTTTCCCATGGTACTAGTCACTCTTGGGTCTTTAAGAGTTAAAATATTTTATTAAGCGCTGAAAAAGTGTACTTGTATGTATTTAATCTATTCAGATTACATGTACTTAAGGCATCAGTCAACAAAGTATTGAATGATACTTTTAGTCAACTTGTCAGCTGACTGTCAGTGACCATGTCATGCAACTTGGTAGAATGTCAGTTGCCACCATCAGTCAACACTCCATGGACACCTAAACAGTTATGTTGGGATCAACAGTTGGCAGCATATCTGTCAAGTGTCGGTGGTGTATCAGTGGACTGTCAGGGGTATATATGTATTGCTAACTGTTGTTTTGCTGGAATGGGGCTCTTCTCCTAGCCCCTTCCCAATACCCACAGGTACTTGGTTCATATGTCGGTTGAGTATCACCTGATATATATGGATGGACACTTGTTTGATGTTATGATCGATAGTATCCACCAATACTCGATTGACAGATGCCTTAAGTACACCTAATTCCATTATTCAACCTGTCAGAATGTGATAGTTCTATGATTCCCATGCAAAAAGAGCAATAACGTCTTGTCTGTAACTAAAATGTTGTAGGTTTGAGAAAAGGAAAGAAGCTGGAGAGACACTTTATAGTTTGGTTGGATACATGACAGTGTACCAGTATTATGCATATCCAGATAAGATTAGACCTCGCATTAGGTTTGTACATGTACCATATTTCCTCAAATAAGCCCCTGGACATTTAGTTAAACCTTTAACTCCCAAGATCTGATTGTTAATTCTCCCTCTTGCTGCTGACCATCAACTTTTAAATTGATTACAAGAATTGGTGTCAGACCAAGATAACAACTTCTACCTGATAAGTTTGAGTATTCTCATTGCCTGTTTGCTAAAAAATGTAAGGATATAATAGGAAGGAGTTACATGTTAATCACTTCTGGGAGCTAAAGGGTTAAAATTTCTTGTAAAAGAAGGGGGGGGACACCTCTTGGAGGGAGGGCGATTAATTGAGGGGGTCACTTATTATTCTCTTGTGTCGATGATGACTCTGCTGTAGTTGAAGCTTAAGAAGTTACTAATAAAGTGGCAATAGAAACAGGTTTTCTCTGTTTCCCTATTATTAAAGTAGCAGTAGAAACAGGTTTTTCTTGTTTCCCTATTATTAGAGTTGCAATAGAAACAGGTTTTCCTTGTTTCCCTATTATTAAAGTAGCAGTAGAAACAGGTTTTCCTTGTTTCCCTACTATTTAAGAAAGTAAGGGAGGAAGGGGGGAAGGGAGAGTGCTTGTTTGACATTGTGGCCTAGGGTGGATATTTATTCAGGGGAGGGTGCCTTTAGAGCATGGGTACTTATTCAAGAAAATATCAATTCATTAGAATGTATAGAAGCTTATTACATCAAAATAATGTCAAATACCATCATTGAACAATTCATCAGTGGACACAATTACTTAAGGTAAAACTTTTTTTTTTTTGCAGTCAAATGTTGATTCTTCCTCCATTTAAAAGACAAGGCCATGGAGGTTAGTTCATTGTGTAGAGTTGGTAGTATCTGATATTACCAAGGAAGTTCTAGTCATTCAGTGTTCAGTGTTCAGTGTTCAGTGTTCAGTGTTCAGTGTTCAGTATTCAGCTTTTCTTGCCTAATAAAATGTTTTCAAAGTAAGCTTCAAGACACTTTGAAGTACGTTACCATATGACATGAACAAACTAAATAGGAGTGTTTTTACTCACCATTTCACCTAAAAATAAAGAACCAAATTCAAATTTTCTTGAGGATTATCCAATTGCAAGTGGTTAGGTAACTGTTAGCTATGCATTCAAATCCCTCATCCTGTTACCTACTGAATCCTTTTTTGCTGCTCTCAGTTCAACTCCTTGGCCAAGCTTTGAACTTACCAAACTCATCTGCCCCTCATCAGTTGCAATTTTTAACTGCTTTTTATGCTTTTGTGGAATATTGTTGGGTTCCTGTTAAGTTTGCACTTTTGCCCTGTGTCAATGGATAATGATGATGATGATGACAATACTATTATGATGATTGCCTCCTTTGTAGCTCAGATGCTTCAGACAGTTGACAGATTTTACATCAAGGACCCACAAGTCTTGGACATTACAGGTGAGCAATGATAGGATAGAAGGAGCTGGGGCATGAAACTACATGCCACCCCTCTCCTTTGCAAATGTTTGTTTTGGTTGGGTCTCCTTTCTTACTATTTAGCACAAAATCATCAGTCCCACCATTGCAGTGACAGTGTGCAGTAGTTATGATTTCATCACTTGTTTTTACCTGTTTGACTATTTTTTCTTTTACAGTTGAGGATCCTTCCTTTGACTTCCTGAGATTGCGAGACTATGTAGATGCCTTAGCTTGTATTAATCTGTCAGCATTTTCGCAAGAGAACCTGCGCAATGGATTTAGTGGTGAAATGGTGAAAGAGGCTCGGGAAAAACTGAAAATCAACAAGGTGAGAAGTTTTGTGATTGAAAAGGCAAAATAGTGGAGATGCATACATTCTCTTAGCAGGGCATTAATTAATTTCTAAACAACCAACCCAGCATGAGTTGTGAGATAAAATTTAATGTTTACGTTAGCTTATGAGAGATTGAAGTGAAGTTCAACTTGTTAATAGACCTTTCTCTTTCTTTATTTCAGATTCAGTGCAGAAGAGTTTATGAGATTCTCCGTCTTCGGGTCACAGATCTTAGCAATGCAGAGGATTACAAGTCTTACCGGCTGGAAGTGAAAAAGAGGCTCAATGTTCCTTTTCAGGTATACTGTACAATGTATTGCTACATACCCAGAGAAACATAGCTGAAACACACACAAAATCTGACTTCTTGAAGCCTAAAATGTACCATTTAGCAAATAGCTTTAAGAAATTCATTTCAGAAACTACTTTTATCAGGAAATTACATTCACAATGAGTTCAAATTTTATATTTTTTTGTGTGAAAAGTTGTTTTTGAGCTACATGTATATCAAGGTGGTATTTTATCTGTCCAATGACTCTAAAATAAGTGTACCTTGCCAGAATAGTAGTGAACAGTGGTTTTCATAGGGGTTAAAATTATATTTTATTTAGAAAGAAAAAGCTGATATGGAAAAGCTGAAGCTAATCTTGAAGCCTGAAGAACTGACTGCAACTGTCAACATGCAGACACCACAAGAACGAATGCAGCACCTTGAGCAGTTATACCAAGAGCTGGAATCACACTATAAGAAAACCCTTGAAAGAATTGCTGCTTCTTAAACCTCACATCACCCAGCCACTTGCTAAACAATTGCAAAAAAGGAAATACATAGTTCTATAACAAATTACCATTGCTTTAGTTTGAAATTCAAACAAGGGCAGGGTTGGTTCAGTTAGTTGGAAACTATCTGTTAAATGTTGTAAGTGCAACTGAAAGTTAAATTTGAAGACATGGCCACTCACAACTTATTAGTTTAGTGTGTTTGTCTGATCAAAGAAAACTATCATTTACTGTTCTCATCTTTATTGTGAGTTCAAGTGAATGCTAAGTGGGCATTAGTACCAGCTATTCAACCTGATACCATAGGATGCCATGCTTTCCGAGAGACACAATACTATTTTGTTGTTGTTTACCCTCACATTGCATACAGTGGTATGATAGATGTTCAGTTAACCCTTTACACCCTAACATGAGTATGCATATTCTCCATACTGTCCTCTACATGTTTCTCAACTTGCAGACAAGGAGAACTTGTTTAACAATCAAGAGCTTCTTTAGTTGGTGATCATTTCCTTTATTCTCGTGACCTTAGAGTGTGACTCAGGAGTGATATTGTAGGGAGAAATTAAATGTTAGTCACTCTTAGGAGTCAAAGGGTTAAAAGAAGATGAAGTATTTGACACGGTTTTCATGTCAGTTTCCTCAGCAGCTGTCATTTGGGTGGTCATGGGTTATGCTCTGCAGGGGCATGTTGTGAGTAAGGTAACTGAGCTGTCATTTGGGTTGAGTCGATAACATAAATTGGCCATCATAAAGAGTTTCAAAGCTGACATTTCAAGCATTAACCCTTCATCACCTTTTTCCCTTTAAAACCCTTTACAGTGGCCACTTATTGTCATCAACTCAGTTGATAATACTAAATTACCCTGTTATACTCTCCCATCAACACAGCACCACAGTTTCTTTAGAAACTAACCCCCTTCATTCATTTGGGTTGTCGTGCACCATGCTCTCTGGGAGCATGTTGTGAGAAAGGCTTCCAAGGAGATCACTTTCATGATTTCCAGTGAGATATGCATCTTTTAACCTTTACGTATATTTTTGCAATTTGGACCTGGTTATCTGTACATTGCTACCACAGTCATGTTTATGATCTGAAAAACAATGAAGGTGGCTGACAAAATTGTTCTTATGCAGTCTGAGAAATACAACATCGTTCTACGCATGTACTTGATAGTATGACAGTATCTTGTGTGAATTTTCTGAGGAAAACTATTTAGGAAACCGTGACATGATAAGGATTAGACCATTTTGATATCTAGCCACTTGTAATCCACTTTGCAATTCAAAGATTCAGATATGCATCAATATTTACACAAAATATCTTAAACATTAACATAGTCAACGGGTATTATTTTTTCTTGTCAACTTCCTATAGGCTCCTTTATAATCTTATCTAATGGTTCCACCTGTAAGAGTTAAAAACCCCAGTTTTACCACATAAGAATTTGCAGCAAAAGAAAATTTTCCACTTACGGTATGTTGGAGTCTGCAAGGGCATTTTGACTTTGGCCATCATCTGTACTGAACATTCCAGCCCAGAAAAATTTTAAGACAAGAAAACAAACATCAATGGTAAAAAAAAATATCCCTTCATTTCACTAGTGGTTCAGTAAGGTTAGGCTTGTCTGTTGAAAACCAGTTTTCAAAGGTTAGCAACATCCAAAAATTAACATTATCATGCTCCTCTTTGCATTTACATATATTTTTCAAATGATTCTTTTGAAGTTTAATAATATCCTCTGGAAAAAGGGAACTTAAATTTCCTTTTGTCTGTTCACATTTCTTTGGTCCCATGGTCTTGCAAGTTGAAACAACTGGAAAATAACCCACAATGCAGGGTTCAAGCAGCATGCAGAGAGAGTCTTGACCATTAGCCCAAGGCAAGCTGATCTTCCGCTTGATCTGATGAATTTAATATATTACTTGCTTAAAGGGCAAGTAAAAGATTGACACTTTTTTGTCTGCAGATGAAGAAAGGCTGGTATGAAGAGGTTTAGGGCTAGCTGGAAATGGTTCCATAGGGCAAGCTGAAACATCAATTTTCTTTGCACCCTGTCACTTTTAAACAACCATCTCATAAGTTCCTAACTTTCTCCATTTTGTTCTAGAACAAAAAGGTAAAAGGTTAACCTCCTCAAGATTTCACACAAGACTACCAATGGACAGGTGATGATGTCACTGTCTTGGTTTCTGTTGGATCTTATCTATCTCTTCCTGAACATTTTTGAAAAAATTCCTTGAGAAGGAGACAACTCTGTTTGACATCTGGCTGTTTTTCTTAACATTTTCTGGAGCCTCCCTAGATTTGACAGCTTTATCAAGAGCATCATTACCTATTAACAAAAATAAATAGATTCTTGTATTTGAGTTGGGACTGAATTATTTCTGATTTAATTTAGAGGGCTAATGATTTCATTTTTGATGTGAAAGCAGATTGGTTCTCAAGCTGTAATGATGATCCTCATAATAATCACAATTAAATAACAACAATTGATTTATTCCTGACTAGCATGGCTCCTTAAAATTCTGAGGCTTTTACTAGTGAACTATTAACAAAATGAAATTGGGCTACTGCTACTGCTATCTTGTTATTTACCATTTTGCTCCATGTTACTAAGTTAACACCTTAACTTGATTTGCACAAAGGATGGATAAATTGCTATTCAGCAGATAGGTGTTAATAAAACATACTGCGCTATCCAACAGAAGGTGATTTCTCCAGAGGATGGTGTTACCCACCTTTCAAACAACCAGGAACTTTAACAGGCTCTATTTTACAGATAAATTCCTAAGTCACACCAGAGAATGAAAGTCTTAATTACAAACTTACCCCACAGTGTTACCTGTCTGTAGGTGTAATGTGTCAGCTGAGCCAGACGACGAATGGGGTATGAATTAGCAAGCTGTCAACAACAGCAAACCTTAATTAGTCAAGCATTTACTTCCTGTTTAAAGACCTTAAAATTATGACTGTTGTAAATAACAAATACATTTTAAATTTCATCTTGTAAATTAGAGGGTGATCATTAAAAAAAAAAGGTCACTAGGTAAGTCCAAATACTATTGATCTTTGCAAAAATAACATTCTGAATATCTATTTGAATTCATTCTCTCAAAAGAAAGGCAAAATACAATTGTACAATTTAATGTACAAAATAAAAAAAAAAAAGAATATTCACAAAATAATGAAAAAGCATTTGTGTAGGTTTAGATTAAGGCAGTGTAAAATAAAATGGTTCAAGTTTTGACAGAAACTGTTGTGCTGCATCTGTAGGGGGTATTACAAGATAATTTTGTTTTTATCCACTGAGTTGATAATGTAACTCAACCACAGTAAAGCTGACGTTTTGAGCATTAGCCCTTTGCATCAGACTCTCCCTCTAACTAAGGGCTAACACTCAAAATGTCAGCTTCAGAAACTCTTAACCATGATCAATTCACATTATGATTATCAACTAAGTTGATACAACCAAACTATGAGAATAAATGATAATGGAAAGGTGGATTAAAAAATTTTTAAAGCCTTTAACATTTGTGTTAAAGCACTCACTCGAACAAGATTTAGTTAATCATGTTCGAGTGAATGTTTTCTTAAGTGCTGAATGCATGATGCATTCAGCACTTAAGACTGCTTTGTCTCAATAAGTTTCATAGGTTCATTACTTACTCTTTCAACGACTTGTTCATTGGCCAGAAAACTATAAAACATGGAAACAAAATCAATTTGCAAATAACACCCCAGAAAAGTGACTTAGAATTTTAAAGTAACGAACGGGAGAGCAACTGCAGAATACCCTGCCACTTTGGTCCACCTCATTTACATGTGTCGGGAGGCTTTGAAGATCGAGGCACAATACAATGAACGTTATTCCTATTCAGTGACATGTAAAATGAGTTGCAAGGTATTCTGCAGCTTAGCCAAAGCTGACGTTTCCAGCTTAAGGTTCACTCTGTCACTGTACAGTGTACGTTTCAACATCATGTGATGAAATTTCCTTACGATTATTTAAGTTGTACCACGACTTGATTACAATGGTAAACTGGAAACTTCTACCACAGAACAAACTTAACACTGGTAAAAGGACTTCAAGACTAACCTGAGAAGATATCGTAACGGCATCTTCGATCTTCTTCGGTACCCTCTTCGACGAGGAGACAAAGTAACCGAGCCTTTATTGTAGAGTAGTCCTGGGGCTCAATTTCAGATTACAAGAAGAATTAGGGCGGTGAGGAGGGGAAAGGGCTGGGGAGGGAGGGAGGGAGGGCTTAAGGGGAAAGCAGCCGGGTACCACATGTATCACCTGTAAAAAGAGTTTCCACTTAACGACTTCTTCAACTCTGAAGCTTGGTGGGGAAGTTTAAGAATTTAGGGGCACGATTTAGATTTGTCACGTTAACCTGTAATCTACTAAAAAAACCCCAAGGGCTCCACCGTAAATGATCATTAACAGGGTTTATACCCATTTTCAGAAACAAATTTGAAGAACTTTTCCACGGCTTTTCAAGGACTAAGATTGATTTTTCCACGGCTTCGATTATCACCTTAAACCCTCTCATTACCAAGATTTCAAACTCAATTCTCCTTACTGTCTTACATATATTTCCTCTCATGAAAATTCTGAAAACTTTCTACGCTTTCCAGGACCCGTACTAACCCTGCATTTATTTCAGTGTTCTCCCTTATTTTACGCATGACAGGTAAAATAAATTTTCAAACCGGTAAAGCGATCCTTTTACTTGTTGAATTTTCAAGAATTCCAAGCAATTTTAAACGGTAATAAGAGGTACTACAGGCGGTAAGTGTTACCGGTTACTGCCTGAAAAGGAGAACACTGTTATTTGCTGAAAGTTTTAATTTCTGCCCAAAAGCCAATTTCTTGTCTTGGAGCAAATTTCTACTGAATATTAAAAGTAAAGCAGAATTGAACGGCTTCTGCTTCTCCACGTCCGATGATTAGGCAAAATGAAATTCGGCCAATCGTTAATCATTCGCGTTTTCCCGCACTTATAGTAGTTTTCTTTAGTTTACTTTGATATCTCATTGGCTCCTTAGAATATCTTTCTTTCTCCTCATTGTCCACTTTGGTGTTGATTCCACGACAGCCAGTCAAAGAGCGCTCAACGAGAGACAAAATAACCAAACTAAAGGTTCAACATGTATGGATTTACATGCAAAACGGAAAACTATTTTTGGATATCATACAAGAACATGATCATTCAACTGCAGTAATACTACACTTATCAAAAATGTTCCCACAAGGAGAAAATTGTGATAAGAAAAACGTTTAGGCAATACAGAATAGGAGATTATTCAAAGGAAAAAAATGAAAGAACATTCCTGAAATAATGCTGGTTAGATTGGTGTGGACAGCACCTATCCCCTAGAGTCTAAATTAAGTATTTAGTGGTGATTTACAGAAAACTACCATACTAAATGTAAACATAGAGTTAACTTTATTTTTAAAAAAAAGCAAACAGTGGACAAAAAATCCCTGATTGATGTTTGTATCTGGGCATCAGCTTTAACTGAGTCAAGACCTTTTACTTTCTTTGTTGCAAGTGATTTGTCTTGAACCTTCAGTTGGAAGACCTGTTTGCACTACTGATAAAAGAAAATGCATAAAAGTGCTCATTCCCCAGCAAAAACTGCCTCAAAGCAAGTATAAGTGCAAGCACATGCATACTGATTGAAAAATTTTTGATTGATATGGACACTTATGCCAGCACAGTGAAGGAAAAACAGGCCTGAGTGGCAGACACTGAAATGTCTTACTTGAAATCTCTAGCAGCCAATTCATTTTGTGATGGCTGACTTTCCCACTTCAAATCAACTGATGCCTAAGTGGATTTGGATTTGTTGTTCAGTTGTTAGCAGGTTTCAAAATTAATAGAAAACAAAATGTTTCACCTTTCACATGAAGCAAAAGTTACCACCTTTTAATGATAAATATTAAGGAAATTTTTCCCCTAAAAAACTGCTTCAACTTTTAGCAAGCCAAAGCTCTTATGGTACATGCGATAACACCAGTTTGGGGCTCATGTTCCATATGGCATGAATTCTACCCTACATGTACCTAGATGTATTTCTCTTACTGTTTGATACCTAGGAATATCTCAAATGAAGTATATGAATTTCTCTCAGTAGTTACTCTTTCTGTAGACACCCATAAAATTACAGCATCTTATGGCTTACACAGAACACAGATCTAAGAAATAGGGTTCCACCCATCTGCTTTCAGTCAATTCTTCAAACAGATCAACAAACATGAACATACAAAAGCTCACACTCACTGCCCAAGCCATCACCACATTTATAATGTTACCTTCCATTAAGAATGGAGGAGAATCAGTTTGAGTAATAATGCATGATCTTTGAACCACTGCAAAGTTACATTCATATTTCTTCTGGTGTAATCAATTTCACGCTTGTCTACTATTTTCTTAGTTCAGTACTATAGAATGTTTCTTAACTGAGTTAGTAATATTAAACTTTTATGGTGAATTTAATTTTTCACATGGCTAATTTCCTATTTGTGACAACTTTGAAATATCTTGGGTAAAAGGCTCGAGCACCAAATGAGTCATCAATATTATCATGTTAGTCAAGAAAATTCTACTGACGTCACCCTTAACAAAAGTCCAACACACTATTTAATTTATTTTCCTAACAAATGCAACTAACAATCTGGCTCAAAGGCAAAATAAAGCTACATCTCTTCATCAAATTGACTCAACGTAATTTGAAGGCAGCATTCCATACTCTCCTGTTCTTTCCACTCGTCCCTCCATCCACCCATCGTCAATCACTGTAACATCACTGACCAAGTCGCCTTCCATAAAACTGACCTCGTCATCATCTGCTGCCGTGTAGTCATACAGAGCCACATATTTCTGTCAGAGGAAAAATGCAAATTTGATCAGTTTGTGTTGCTAGGTCTCATTGCAACATATCAGTAATTCAATAAATTCAAGACCCAATTCTATAAGGTGTTTCAAGCATCATTGGTAAAATTTCCACAAGAATCAGAAGTTATGGAAATGAACTTTGCATAACTGATAACCATTATAACAATTTTCTGGTGAGCATGAAAAGCAATCCAGTTTTGAGAAGGTAGAGAAAAACTTGCCCCATGCTCTCAACAAATCAGATACAAAACCAATTCTGAATGTAACATATTAATTTGTGTTTCCTTCAATTCCAGTTTTTCCTCTGTTATTTACCACAAACTCTCAGTGCAGGGTTAACATTACAAATGTAATAGATCCTTCTAGGGGGGGTGGGAGAGCATAAAGAACATACTCCCCTGGAAAAATTTGAAAAGGGTGAAACTCTCTGAGATGTGATTTCCAGAATTCTGAGGCATACCTGAGTAACTTTTTTACACAGACATTAATGTTAGAACCAGTTCAAAACTGTTCACAGTTAACAAAGTAGCTGACACAAAATCTGAACTTTTTCCACCACCTCATGAAAACCCAGTCAATGGCTCCTTTTGGTACTTTATTTCAATCTGATTGCCCAATGTCATTGCTCTGTTTTACTTTTACAAGACTACATGATTATGCTTTCTAGCAAAGAACCCAGCACCAAGCTATTTCTTCAGAAAAACATTAACCTTTCCACTTGATACTGGAGCAGGATTTGGTGCTGGTGGTGAAGGTTCTGGCACATACGCTTGTGGTGGAGGTTGATATGAATGATCTGCTGCCATTGGATGCTCTTGAGACATGCGCCGCTGAGTCTGAATTTGTCTCACTTCTAATAATGCAAAGGAAGGTTTAACAGCTGAGTCAAGATGCCAGAAATTGTAGCTTTGCTTGGGTACATTAGATGGATTAAGAGAAAATTTCAGCCAAATACTTATTCTTCTCACTTAAAAACTGATTCTATCATGACTTATTATATCAGAACTTTACCCATTCACTTCAACACTTTACACCCTAACATCAGCATATGTTTATTTCCTCAGAGGCTGAAAAGGAGAATTTGTTTAACTTCTTCAAATGGCAATCATTTCCTTTCCTCTTGTGATCATAATGCTTGATTCAACATTGATAGTGAGAAGAGATATTGGATGCTTGTCACTCTTAGGAGTGATAGGATTAAAACTAACCTTGCAAGAAACAGTTATTTGCCAAAATATAATTAACCAGGTCATTTCCAAACAAACTGCTTTTTAATGAAATTGCAATTTTTGTATGACATTTAAATCAACACTGTTACAAAGTAGAATTAAGACAAAGTGAACTTTTAAGAGTCACATAGAGTCAATATCATCTTGTCTATATGCCAGGCTACTAAACTTCCTGATTACCATATATACAAGTGGCTCAAAACAACCTTTTATTTCACTTATTTCACTACTTCTTAGGTTAGTCAGGCATAGATTTATATCTTTTCTACTAGACAATAGCATTCAGAGCCCAGTTATCCCAAACCAGCCACTTTTTCATCCTACATATTTTGCCATTTTTTGAACTTGGAAACATCTACCCACAACTCAAAAAAAAACATACCTTCCTGGCTACGTTGTTGAATGCCAAGACGACTCTGTCCTGAAGAGTGTTGAGTGTACGCTATCTGGCTTGCAATCCTGTTGCTCTCCTGAGCCCTCTTTGTCTCTGCATCATCAGCCACTGGTGTGTAATGCCCTTTTTGAGCTTCAAAGTCCTTGTGATATTGAATCTGAAAGATTGATAGAAAGAGTGATGCACAAGAGACCCTTACTAGCCCCTTACTGCATGATTCACATAAGAGCCTTGGTGTTCCACAAGCAGCAGCAGTGTATGTTCTTGCAGGGTAAGTGATAGCAAAGCACATGGTACTTCAATTGAACAAAGCAGTGTTTACCTATGGCTTGTTTCTCCAAAATCTCCCAAGAAAAATCCCTCTTACTCCAATCCTTATTGCAAGACACCGAGTTCTTATCCCAATTTTGTTGGCATAGAGGTAAAGGGAATTTTGCTCATCCATTAAGACAGGATGTTAGTCCTTCACAGGATGACCTTAAAGCAATTCACCAAATTTCCCTGAATGCATGCAAACAGCCTTTTCTCTAATGAAGGGCTAATGCTTTAAACACCAACTTCGAAATTCTTTACAGTGGCCAATTAACATTATCAACTCAGTTGATTACAACAAAATTATCTTGTTGTACTCCCCACCAGCATGCCTCACAGTTTTTTTAGAGACTTATCCCCTTTTCATTAGCAAACAAAGTCAACTCACATTGCTCTGTTTCTTTGTATTTGAAGCCAGCCGTAGGTTTTCTGGTGTGTCAGCCACTGCTGTAAATTTTGTAGTGGGGTAGTGCCTGAAAAGCATATTCAAATCATTTTAAAAGAGAAAGCGAGGCAATCCACGACATTTGGCCCAGGATATTTTGTGGACATTGATGAAGAAGAATATTTGCAACTCTGACAATTGTTAAAATGATTTAGTATAATTGCTCACCTGATTATAGAGATGCACATGATCTGATAGGTAGGTGATTGTAATAAAATATGCCCAATGCTATCTTTATTTACAGCATTTACAATTGAATTCAAAAGCACCCGAGCAATTAAACTAAAATAATTATTTGTCTCTGGCTCAGCAAACATTGTTGAATAATTCCCTTGATTTTGTCTCAGGATTATTCAACAACATTCACTTTGGCAAACGATTGTTTAAATAATCCATTAGAAAATTTAAACATTAATTCGAGTCTCCCATGTCATTAGGTTACAATTACTAAACAAGATTGTTTCAACTGAGGAAGGATGTATACACCTTAAGTTCATAAGTACTGTATCATGCATTGATTGCTCTTCACCTGAACAGGACACTTGTTCAGTTTGTTTTCTTTCAGTGACACGTAAATAAAACTTTTTCATTCTTTTGCTACCAGTAGGATACTGTGTAACTGAGTTATATCACTAACAAAAATACCCATGTTCCCTTTCCCCCAGCTTACCAACTTTGCATCTGCAATGGCCCATACCATTTGGCATGACATTACTATTAAAAACTAGGGGCTACAGGCCCAAACACCTGTTTTCCCTTCTTAATCTCTACAATAGCAACATATAGAAAAAAGGGATGTGGTCTACAGAAAAGGTAATGTTTGCTACAAGATAAATGAGCTTTTCACAGGCTGTGCTTTTTTGATCTGCTGTGTAAAAACTCACTTACAAAGTTGGGAGAACAGTTAAAAATGATTGGAAAACGAAAAATAGCCTCAGGCTTGTATTTCACCATGATAATCAATGTTAACATCTTTCTTGAGTTGTAAAGTGCCAAACCAGTAAAATCAAACATTAAAATAAGCAACAAATAGTAGTCCTTCCCATTTTCAAGTTTTCCTCAAAAAGGTGGAATTTCTGTGAAATTACATGACACAACACCAACCATGCAAAGCACATGTAAATGTCTCACACCCATGGACAAAAATTCCATAATTTTTTTTAAAATGTATTTCAATGAACCCTTGGAAGGGAAATTTTAATCAGCAATTTGTGTAAACAAAAACAGGGGGAACAATTTACAGATAACGAACAAGGATTACAGCTAATTACTAATTCTTTCGACCGAGGGAACCATTACTAATTAATCAAAACAGAGGAACAACAGACATAAACAAAAAAGTCTCTCCGACAGCCATGATAACGTGGCGAGGACTGTGTACAATCAATACTGTACGAACAAATGAACAGATATTTTTCATCACCTTCTTGACGAAAACTTTAATTTATTTCTGACGATATTCATTTGATTTTAAACAAAACTTAACAGGAGTGAGCTGAATAGAAGTTTCTGCAGAAGTTTCACCTTTCACCTCAACATGAAATCAAAAAAAATAGAAATCACAGGGTGTAACGATTTGACGAGAGCAAATCTAGCTATCGCAATTGAGATTCCAATCTACTCTATCGCTACAGCGTTTTCAATAACAGGCAGATTTGTGCAATGTCAAATAGATTAGCTTTATTATTCACATACTCCATACTGTGGCAAAATAATGCACACGATCCGAGAATATTCAAAGAACGTACAAACAATTCAGTCTTGAACGATACTGGACTAAGGAAGAAGGATAGTAACCGTTGAATATTTCGAAAGTGACTTTAATTGAGGGAAGAAGCATTATATTCTAAATGCAATGGATTTTCGACGCTAAATCATTCAGTTAACTATTAGCACGTAGCGACTGTTCAAGAGGAAGAAAAATCGAAAATCCAGAGATTTTTGGTCGTGACAACTAGCTAGCGCAGTTGGTGATTGCAATTAACCTGAAGTAACAAATGGTTCACGATTGATAACCGTTTTGTAGACACAGGGAGTCTTAACGCTTATTTCTATGCAAATGTGAAATGCATGCGTAACAATATTCAGACGGAAATCGCTGTGGCAGGACTCTAGATAATTAACTACAGTTTTACTGACTTACGCTGAACAGTAGGGTAGCTTGCTGTACCCCTTATAATTCTTCATCGTTAACGTCATTTTACAAACTTCGCAAGAAAAACATCCTTTGTGCCAATACTGAAAAAGCAGAAACAGAAGCAAGATGTCAGAACAAAACACGCCAACATCGCGAAGCCTTATAACGAGCGAACCCCACGCTCTCACTGCCAACATGGGATGGAATGAGTTTACTCCACCTTATCCAAGCAATTCAGCTTTTCCATTGGATAGACGGTCTTTTTACAGCGGGCACAAGATGGATTCATTTTGGCACGTCTTCGATGAAACAAATTAGTGTTTTCTTCGTTATTCACAGACCACACTGACGAACAACGCTGTGACAAGCGTAAAATATACGAAGTACTCCAACCAGTCTTCAGCTGATTGTCTGTGCAGCTTTTTTTACCAAATCAGGCAATGTTCTGGGAGGAGCAAACCCACAAGGCTCTGTAAACCTCCACTTACATACGGGAAATGCAATCACATCCGGTAGGTGGTAAGGACTCAAAATGGCCGAGGACGAGGACTGGCCTACGAATCACCAGGTTAGCGAATCTTAGTTCAAGATTGATTTGTGTGGGATCTTTCTCTCATTAAGGACTTTTCTTAGTGGTGTTTCATTTTTCTGCTGACTAGGGAACACTTCATTCACCGTAGCATCATTTTCCTTTTGCGATCGATCGACTCAGAAAGTCATGTGGCTCACTCATGTCCATTTATACTTAGGAGGAATTCCTTAATTTTCCTTTTCCTTAAATTCCTTTGTCCGTATTCTTTGTTTAAGAAGTACGTTTTTCCTGTCGTTGAAGACTTCCATGATCTCAGTAGCTTGTATTCTAAATATAAACCAGAGTACATATATGTGCGTGTAGATCAATTTTTGCACGGTGCGCAAGCATTGTTTATTTGATATGAGGATCAGAAACACAGCTTATGTCTGAAGTAAACCATCCCTTTCTTTCAGCTTGTGACGGTTATTCCAGGGGGCCCCGACCAGCTTTATGATGACCCAGGTAAGCTACCTATTTAATTACTTTGTTGATTTGATTTTTCGTTAATTCTTTTTATGAAAGCATTGGAGATTTCAGGGAATGGTTAGTGGGCAAGAAGTGAAGGCTAGTTTTCTTATGTGGGGAAAATCCCAGGCCATTGGTGATTTCACTGTTTTCCTAACGTCACAGATGTTGCAAACATAATTATCAGGAGATCGCCAGATGTTTGTCTTGATGGAATACAGATGCCATTTTATTTGTGACTCAAGGATAATGGAGCCAAGGGGATTGATAGTGAGCTAAAACTTAGGCCAATATCCCCATTATGGTAAAAATAGGAGTTTTCATAAACCCTCAATCGTTGCAGAAATCTGGGACATGTTGGGAAAATAGAAATGCTCCTGATTTTTCAAATTTGTCTCTGACCCAGGCAGTAGGGGATGTCTTCAATTTTTAATTTTAATAAGTCTTTAAACTCTGGGATGGTGGGAAGACAATGAAATCCCTGACCATTCAGGATTTTTCCAGCCAGTGAAACCAACCTTAAAAGAAAGAAAGGAGAAAGGAAAACCTAAAGAAGTTCTCCTTGCTGTTAGCTTTTGGCTTTGTAGCTTAATCAGTGGTAGTACCTAGCTAGTACTTGAGAGGAAAGGTTTCAAACTCAGTTCTTCATCTGTATTTTATTCAAGTACAGTCCACCTGTGAGGATTAGTGCTTTTTCCCTATTATGGGCAAACAAGAAATACTTTCTTTGACCTTTGGTTGTGTCTTGTCTATATTTGATATTAGGTAATTTTCATGATGTACTTGTCACATATTTGCATCTATCAGAGAAAGAAAGTTGTGTATTTGTTGATGCTCATTTGTTTGGTTCTCATTCTATGGATGTACAACAAAACAATTATGTTCTGTTCCTTGTGAAAACAGATGGTCCTGTTTTCCCATAAGCCGTGATGTTTTCTTATCACTTCATTCTCAGGAGTTCAGACTCTTGCAAAGTCAAAATTGACTGATCTGGGAAACCAGACATAACTGTTTTTACATTTAAGTATTTGTTCATATCTCAGGTGATGCAACTGATGTCAAGTCTGAGCCAGCCAGTCCTGAAGAGGATACATCAAGGACACACTTTGGTACAAGAAAAATATTATTATTTATCACTATTTTCTGTATGTATTAATCCATTCACTCCCAAGGTAAAAAAATCAATTCTTTACACTGTACTTCATACATTGCTTATAATTTAAGCTTTGAAAATTTGGTATGAAATAAAAATTTGTGTTTCGTTCTTGTTTTCTTTGCCACCTTTTCACTTGAAAACTTGTATTATTTGGTAAATATTGTAATATGAAATAAGTTTTTAGTGGGAGTGAAAGGGGCTATAATACAAAGTGTAGTGGTATTAAATGTCAGTAAATTGAGCATATAATTTAAGTATTACATCTGAGTGATGAAAATAATGTATACAGCATATAGTCAATAGCATAAATACGGTACTGTAATTATAGTCATTTGTTTTTTTGTTTTTGGTGTGCATACATGTATGGTCATGTGAGTGGTGTAAGTGTTGTTCAGCCACATAATTTTATTCCTTCTTTAAGAAAAAAAGATTAATGTATTAGGAAGCCGCCTTCTCGAATTTCTGTATATGGCAACAAAATAGTTAGATTTTAAGAAAGGATGTATTACAAACTGAGGGTTGATTTACTTATCGGCCCAATTATAGAGTGGTGATCCATCCCTTGTTAATCCAAGGAGTGATTAAGAGGATATTTCTTCATATGATACTAAGTAAAGAAATACATCTTTTAAGTGCAAGTTCAGTGGAAGAAAGAAAAAAATGTCAGTTAAGGGATTTTGTTCCACTTAATATAGAATTCTCAAGACTGAAATTATTTCACAGACAGAGTAAAGAATTTATATGTATATCATTGGAGTAAAAAGGGTTAAGTGTTTCTGACTTGTGAACATAACATGTGCATCAATGTTATCTATTTTCTGCAGATTCCCCTGATGAAGACACAGATTTGACAGTTGCCAAAGAACAGAGGCGGTTTGCACACAGTGCAGCAGAGCAGAAAAGGAGGGATGCCATACGAGTCAGTTGTTATTTTATTTTGCAGTTTATGTTTCTAGAGAAGTTTGTAAGTAAACAAACAATTTGTGCCTTTTTATTTATGAAATTTTTATTTATCTTTTCAGAAAGGTTATGATGACCTACAGACAATTGTGCCGACCTGTCATCAACCTAACAATGCAGCAGCTATGCAGAAGCTGAGCAAGGCAATCATTCTGCAAAAATGTAAGACAATGAGCTCTTAAAAGCAAAGATTTTGTAACTGGGTTCAAAATTGTGACCGGCTTGTCACTAATGTGGAGAAAAATTGACTGCTACCCAACAGAATTTTAATGCTGTTCATGAGCAGGAAACCAACTTGAATTGAATTTTATGTAAACTAGTGTTCAAGAGAGGAAACATGCATCATTTTTGTCAATGGGCTGTTTTACCCTCAGTTGGTGATAGTTAATAGTAAAGAATATGTTTTATGTAAACAAACATCTCTAAACATCACATTTTTCCTATTATCATTTGCTGTAAATTGTTAGGTGTTAGACATTATTTGTGACAAGATTCTTTCATCTGACATCTGAGACACAAATGTTTAACAATCCCTTGATTTCAGACACTGTATAAACATCTAAAATCAGTAGCAGGAGTAATTTGCCATTCAAGATGCCCCTTATTTATTTTTTTTGTTTTTGTCGTTGTTGTTGTTTCAGCAATTGAATATATAGTGTACTTGCATCAACAAAGAAAGAAACAAGAGGAGGAACTGGAAGCACTCAGGAAAGAAGTGATGGCCTTAAAAATTATGAAGACGTAAGACTGTTGATTTAACTTGCTGGTTATGCACACCATACATTCTTTTACTTCCGTTTCAATACAACAGTTTATGATTAGAGATAAATACTGCATTTTTTTCCCATTATTTTCAGAAATTATGAGCAAATAGCCAAAGCACACCAGAATCAGGTACAGCAGTTGAACTTGTAACTCTGTTTTAACCCTTTGACCCCTAAGAGGGACTAGGATCTAATTTCTCCTTACAGTTTTACTTCTGAATCACACATACTGGTCATGAGAAAAAAGGAAATGATCAACAACTAGGGGAGCTCCTGATTGCTATACAAATTCTCCTTGTCAGCAGTTTGGGCAATCTATGAAGAGCAGTGTGAATCACTCATTAACATCATGAGAAAAAAGGAAATTATCACCAACTAGAGTAGCTCCTGATTGCTAAACAAATTCTTGTCAGCATCTTGGGAAATCTATGGAGAACAGTATGGAAAATATGCATGGGGTGTCAAGGGTTAAGGTCATATCTTGGTATTGGATGCACATCTCTTCTGGATATACATGTAATTTCAGAAAGAAGTAAAATCTTGAAACAGAATCTTTTTTTTTTGTTTTATTTCCATCATTTCATTTTTTTTCCTTCTAATTTTCACAGCCAGCACAGGGACAGAAAACAGTACCAGATCAAGCCAAATTTACTGTGGTAAGTTGTCAGTACTATTACACATGTACATGGTGTAGCATTTAAAGAAAGACCTCTCTACCTTATTGTTTTAAAACAAATTTTAACAAATTTAGAGATCAGCAATTAAAAATTCTAACTCCTAGTTTCTACAGCATATTTGGAAAGTGAAGTTTCATTTATTTTTTATTTTACCTTTCTTAGTTCCGACAGATCATGGAACAGCAATTCATGACATTTAATGCCTCTGTCAATGTAACAAATTTTGAAGCCTTGTCAGCATGTATATTCAGCTGGCTCGAAGAATATTGCAAACCTCAGGTAAGACCAGAGAATTTCAATTCTATTCTTGCCTTTTCACACAGTCCAGATTTAAATTAAGCTACCTATACTTACATGTTATTGACCAAGTATGAGGTCAAGATGGCTGGATATTGGCTGAGGTCTATTTTGAATTGGTCCTTATTAAAGACACACACAAAGATTGAGTAGCCAATCAGAACACAGGATTTGCTTCATCTTGCCCAAAGGCATTGCCAGCTATGTAGCAAACTATCTTATAGATATGTAATATTTGTATGGTAGGTTTGGAGGGTGTGATCTTTATAATAGAATATGTTTTTGTTACCAAAATGATTTTTGTTCTTCAATCTTTTTAATCTTAGTATCTGCAAGAGATTGTCGTCAATGCTCTCAAAAGTTTGAACAGCCAAGGACTACTGCAGCAGTAAATATATATGAAGTGAACCCAAAAATACCAGTGTGAGAATATTGGTCTGCTGGGACATTGGTAGAATTAATCTAAGATCTTGTGTGATAAACTCTCCCTTTGAAGAAGGGAGTACCTTAAAACGCAGGCAAAATGCAAAGGAAAGACCTAGGAGATATGAAGTTTATTCTGTCAGGGGTATAGTGCAGAAGTGTGTTGCTTACTCAGTTTGTTAACCAGCCAAAGGTAATATTAGAGCTGCACAGTATTATCTCTTGCAATATTGTCAGCAAAGAACAACTTCTACAGTCTTCCTGTTTATCAAAGTTGTTCTGGTATATGTAGGGGTATAGGCTTAACCACCTGAGGCATATTTAACCCGAGGTTTTGCAAAGTGTTGTAAATTATTTATGTATATGTTAGAAGCTAAGGGTCAACATAAAAGTTTTGGAAAGTTTGTACATAAAACTAATTTATGTTTACAGGGATAATTTGAGAAGAAAACAGAAAAAAGAATGTTTTAACCCTTTTGGCTTTAAATTTGGTTTGAATCTGAACCACTTTGAATTAGTTATTGAGGTTTTGTGTAATCTTGAACTCTAAGTTAGACCTGCAGTCATAAATGATGTCAACAAGAGAAAAATTCCTACAAAAATGTTAGCTGTTCAGGGTCAGGCAGAGTGTCAGCCATCAGTCTCTGCTCAAACATCACTGAGGGCCTATGGCTATTTTCCACCAGCCAGTGCTTTTTTATTGCTCTGTGTATAGTCAGATAACTCACCATACAAGTTTGGATGGAATTCAGTAAATAATTATGTTGAAGAGAAGGTCAATTATTTACTTCAGTTGTTGTTGCAGTGGCTGAGAATGGCCTTGATTACATACCTAGGTGGTTTTGCAAGGTGTGAACAAAAAAAATATATATATATAATGTTACTGTAAAAGTAGAGTAATAAAGTGTTATTTGTTTGACAATGAATTGACTTCTGCTGTGTAATGTTGTGTTTCAACTGAATAATTCCTGCCTACTAGTAGTCTTCACTCAATAAGGTCAACTGGGTAGGAGTATTGGTCTCAATGCAGCCTATTTTTACAATTATAGTTAATGAAATGATCTTTTTCTAGTGGTTTATCATGCCCCAGTTCAAAATTAAACTCTATTAACTGTAGCAAAATTTCTCTCATTTGTTCTAATGGGCAGGAAACTTGGGCCATTTGAATGTCTAAGGAAGGTAACTTTTCCATTCAGACAAGGAAAACACAATGATCTCAGTTGCCCAATCAGACTACCAAAAATTGGGCCAAAACCTTAAAGCTAACTTTGGACATATTAATTGGGCCAGTAAATTAAATACTGCACTTGTCTAAGGGGAAAAGTGAGTTAAAAAGAAATCTGGTTGCTCTGAACTTCCTGAAATATCCAATGTTAGTGCCCCAGGTGTGCATGATGGGGGCCTAATTTTAAAGACCATTTTCCACACATCTTTGGATGCTTCATTCAGTATTTCTACTTTTTATTCACCACATAAACCACACTCTATAAAACATTCATCCTTGTGTTATGAAAATAATGCATTTACAACCAAATAACAATGACATACAGTATTGAAACTGAAAATAAATTTGTACATGAAGTTACTATATTAAATTGTGTCAATAAATAACTTTCCAATATCTATTTACCTTCTCATATTAAAATACCAATTGAGTGATACCAATAATATATTATTTTATAATTATTAAAGCACAGTAAAAGAATCATTTCTAGAGAAATATGGCTAGCCCTATTGACAAAAAGCAATTGACCAGCAATTTTAATGCTACATTATTTATGGAACCCAGCCTGTAATAAAGATATTGATGCCTCTTACAAAGAAGTCCATTACATGCATTACAGTCCTAATAATTCCTTGCTTCTCCATAATGGTTCTGCCTTAAATTCACTAAAGCAAGAGACACCTTTCAAGAAAATTCTTATTAATTGATTTTTAAGTCACTCCACCAACATAACACTCAAATCAGTAGGGATGATGTGATTGTGAAACATTTAGTTAGCCTTTTGTCGTTTCCTTAGAGGAAACTCACAGCTGTTGCTTTGATCTGCTAACATTTTCTTGATAAATCTAGCCACAAGCCTGGGAGGCCGCATCTGGAAGTCCTCATGTTGCTCTGGTGTCAGTTCTACCTGATCTCCTTTGAGACGGTCCACTAGTGTAACACACAGTATAGCTGCAGGGACACCAGCACGGTTACACATGGACGCAAAGCAAACACTTTCCATTTCAATATTGCGCACACCAGCATCGTAAATCTTCTGAAGAAACTCAAGTTTATCTTCAAGCGTGTAGTCACAGAAGGCACCATCCAGCCTTCCTTGGCCTGAAGGGTAGCAATAGGGGGTTAAGCTTCTTGATAATTTAACATGTCATATCATGCACAACAAGTTCTCAAATAAAGAGTGTTAATTTCTTTTAAAAATGCTATCGTAGGAGAGGAGGAGAAGAAGGGGGCCAGTTTCTTTCTCCCCCTCCAGCATTTCCTTTCACCCAAGAATGTGTACTTCTCTCCTTCCATGCCTGCCACACAGCAAGCTATAAGGTTTTTCGTGTTAAAAAAAAAAAAATGCTAGCACATTACTGGATTTCCTTCTTCATCTGTTTTCCTCTCACTTTGGCATTTTCCTTGAAAGTAATTTTAAAGTTTTATCGCCAGAGAGAGAGAGGGGTTTGCAGGTATCGTTCATATCCTACCTGCTTTGTCCACACCCTTGACATACCTTCATAGAAATCATGAGCACACATTGTGTCTCCAACTGCTGTTAGTAAACCATCACTACAATCCATTACTTGCTTCTGTAACTTTTCATCCAGATTTGATGGAAATTTTAGCACTTTACCCAAGATCACCTGAAATAGGAATTGGATAAATAAACTTTTTCCTGTATGTAGTTAGTTTGACACATGGTCCTATAATCAATTATTCCATAATTAGCCCTTTACCTCCCAGAAGTGATTAACATGTAACTTCTCCCTATGATACCAATATGTTTTCTAGCAAACAGTTAATGAGAATACTCATTATACTCAGGAAAAAGTTTTTATCTTGATCGTACCCCAAATTCTTGTAACTAATTTACAAGGAATCGTGGAGCAGCAAGAGGAGAGAATTAACAATCAGATCTTGTGAGTTGAACAGTTAATCACCCATGGGAAGAAAGAAAAAGATATTCACACCCATCAGATTTCTGAAGGATTGAGAATAGGGGGAGATCAAAGTCAACTGGAAAATAATTATCAAAGAATTGAGCTGTATTAATTGCCAAATGGAAGCACCAAAGATGAGCCAAATTTATCAAGCTGCTAATTAAAGCATAACAGCATAACATAACACAATTTTCATATCATAAAGTGAGCAGGAGTATTGTGAACAGCACTGGTACTAGACACCACTTCATCAGGTTTCTCAAGCTACTTATCATTAACCATGGGTGGAGGGTGGTACTGTAAGATTTTATAGTGCTTAGAAAGGCTGAAATACTTTGGGATGGAAGATGATGCAAAATTTACATTGTGCTTGACATAAATGTTTGATTGACAAACAACATTTTATTATATGGCAAAGTAGTCCTGAGAGTTCTGATTGGTTCAGATTGGTTCAGATTGGTTCAGATTGGTTCTTGGTCTGGATTTTGCCTCACAGACTGTTTCCACAGAAATGGTCATAAGCCATATATTTTTGATAAGAAAAACTGACAAATTCAAAGCCAACAAGTTTGGTGTAAGTGCCATATGATAAGCTACTTACTTTAACCTTGCCTGCTTGAGCATTACTGCAAAATATTGGCCCTCACTCGTTCTTGTACTGACCTCGCTGTGCTTGGTCCATACTGCCACAAACTCGGGCCAATATTCCCCAGAGTAGCCCTCACACAAGGTTGAAAAGAAGTTTATTACTTTCAGTACACAGATTAGTCCAAAGGGAAAAAAAAAGGCTCTTCAAATATTTGAACATACAACTGAAAATCAAAGTCTTTTTTACACCTGTCCATCAACCAGGAAACAATTTCTATGTAGAAACTAACCTGCTCACTGAAAGGTTCTAGAAGAGGATTAACTGCTGTTCTTGTGATCACAATAGTCCCAGGTTCTAGGCCTTTAAAATAATAGTTTAAAAATTGAATAATTTTAAATCTGCACTTTTATATTTATTTGACTAACTGAGGTCCCATAAAATTACTCTGCATTTGTTGGTATCATAATGACAATCTTTCATTTCATCTAGCTACAAACAGACATTTATTATTACATGGCATAATCTGCCAAGTGAAATTAATCTAGACAAAACACATGTCTGCCTTTGTCCCACCCCTTCCCAGATATATCAAAAGATCAGAAAATAGCACAACTTTGAGGACAGAAAAAAGCCTGGCAGGGGAGGCAGGGGAAAACAAATTTGATCCATGTTCAATGCATATAAATTAATTGTCTAACAGATCAGAATGGAATGAGTGAGTGTCAGTGAGGTCCATACTTAAATCTTGTTGTATGAATGACCTCCTAGCATGAGGTAAAAATGGACTATTGTCACTGGTAATCAGGGTCAAGTGAACTGTATTTAACATCTTCATTTTGAGGATTTTTATCTCTCTGCCCACATTGCAATAACTTTCCGGCTTGCTTGTTCTGAAATTTCACTTTCAATTAACAAAAAAAAAAAGCTAAATATAAGTCCAGGAAAAAGTCGGACAACTTGGCAGTTGGCGTGATGGCTTTAGCTCGGCTCTATGCTTTAATTAAAAAATAGATTCCAAGTTGCCGTGCGTCTGTTCAGCAATAGATCACAGATGACGTCAAAATGTGGTAAGAACAAAAAAGTGGCACATGTGGTGCAGCTGAGTGTGTCACTGATGTTCTTACCACATTTTGACGTCCTCTGTGATCTATTACTGAACAGATGCACAGCAACTTGGAATCTATTTGTTTTATATAATAAAGAATTTTAAAAAGTTTTAATGATGACAACATCTATATGTCTGTCCTCCAATAGATCATAAGTGAGAATTAATCAGAATGCGTGCATAACTGAGCTTATCATATAAAACTCTGATAGGGCTGTTTAAACCAATGACAGTGCACGTCATATCCAAACTTTATTATAATATTTGTTAATCATATGACTCAAAAGTCTTGTTCAATCATTGACTCTAGGATCTGGATTGATGCCAAAACTGTTCCCAAAATATCACCCAAAGTCACTGACAGTAGACCTATAGGTCTAAAGATCTAACCTCTATGGTACAATTACAAGCACTGTATAAAAATGAATAAATGATTTTCCTGGGATTATTAAAAGCACTTATTATGTGACACAATAATTGTTACCTAATCAGTACCTAAGCCTCCAGATGTGCCAATTCGGAAAAATTTCACTTCTTCTGCTTCTGCATAGTGAAGGAGTTTTAAAACTTCATGCATGATAACCACTAAAGAAGGGGTTCCAATGCCGTGCTATAGATCAAGAAAATATTTCATGTACATGTAAGTACCTGTAGCCTGGTATACGATATTACACATCTTAACTAAGTAGGGTGGGGGTATTTAGGACACAGATTGGCAGATGTTAAAATTTTGGTGAATTGCACTGTCACTTGTCTAAAATCTTTGGTTTGGATTCTGGATTCTGTCTGTTTAAATGTTCAGAGTGTGGACTGCATTGTCAGCCTTCTGTTGACCTTATGTTTGCCTTGGTTGGTATGTTGGGGTTCACCCACTTAGTTTTTTAAATATTTTGGTATATTAGAGAAAGTCAGAAAAAAACTCCTGATGTAATAGACCCTAGCTGAAGGTTTGGTAGATCAGTTTGTAAAGTTAAGTGGTAATTACACCACTGTCTCAAAAATAGCAAAGAACTTTAGAAAGCTTCAAAGAAACTAAATGTTGATAAGTAGCACACAAGTCATGCATAATTATGTATATTGTGGTTCAATTTGTTCTGACTTAAGTTTTTCAAACCAGTTTGAGTTTTACTACAGAAGGCATAACATCAAACATAGGCACTTTGTCACAAACTTGCGATGGGGGCTTATCCATTATGTCTGCTTGATGAGGTATGATTAAATTTGAATCAAAGCAATGATGAACACCAGATTGAAATAAAAAGTAAGTAAATAGTTTAGTAAATGTTGTATCTCAGGCAAGATTCGAGGACTGTCAGCAGTGATTTCTTCTTCTGCACTTGCTAACAATTTAAGAGGCAAAGGGACCTTTTATATGGACATCACTGAAAAGAACTCACATTTACAGCCAGGACAGGTCCAACTTTGTACAGCACATAGCGATCAGACTTTGACATGTTAAGAGGTTCATTATCATCCTTTAAATAGTCCTTGAGTTCTCCTTGAATGAACTTGGCAAAATGTTTGATCCGATTTGTACTTCCTCCCATGCAGACAAACTGCAATAAAAAAAAAATAAAACTGTTCCTTCTCTGGTATTGGTTTTCATTTCTGCTGTCTATTTTATTTTAGAAGATTCACTAACGAACTCTTTAAATAATAAATAAAAAAACATTGGAAACATAAGAGATCTTCATGGATCTATGCATAATAGCCATAGAAACCAGCCTGTAATTTTCCAGGAAAGTAGGTCAAGATGTACTTGAAAAATAAAGAGGTTCCAAAACCTCGCACAAAATAAAAGTGAATAACATCTCAAAACTCCTTAGCTGAAAATCCCAGTTGTATTTTCCACTTACATTTACAAATTACCACTAATCTAATTAGCATACAACCGTGCTAATAATTTACTTTTTCTTCTGTAGCATTGAAATTACCTTGACATCACCAAACAAATTTTTGAGATTTTTATGGTCCCCAGCTGTTATTCCAATATGAAAGAGCACATCATCTTCAAGCTCCTTTAAATGTGGGTTTCTCACAAATAGCTGGTCTCTTGAGGTAGAATCCATTTCAGCAAACTGACTTTACATTAAAATAACATGTTTATTATTAATTGAATACAGCTTAACAGAGAGATAAAAAATAATCGTGCCTATTGAAATTGATAAAAAATTCAAATTTAAGTCACCTGTCTTTGAGCTGTTTGTGCACTTTAATAACAAAGCTCATTTGAAATGGACCTAGTGCACAGTACATAATTTTCATTTTGTTTGCAGATTTTGAAAAGAATTGAAAATAAGTGATCAAAGCAAGGCAATTCCACAAACTAATTTCTTGATGAATCCAATTATCCTCAATCAATCATATTAATCCACTGTAAATCATACACAGTTCAACTGATAACTTTTGTGTGATAATCAAATAATCATCCTTTGCAACTCCAACTTATACCTCAACAACACATCAATAAGATACACATCAGTCAGTGTAAAACGCAAGACTGCAGACTGCAGACTGAGAGTAAGACAAGGGGTTAAAATGCAGACTGAGGGTAAAATGCTGACTAAGGGTAAAATGTAGACTGATGACTGCAGACCAGGGGTAAAATGCAGACCGAGGGTAAAATGCAGACTGACGAATGCAGACCAGGGGCAAAATGCAGACTAAGAGTAAAATGCTGACTGAGGGTAAAATGCAGACTAAGAGTAAAATGCTGACTGAGGGTAAAATGCATACTGATGACTGCAGACCAGGGGTAAAATGCAGACTGAGGGTAAAATGCAGACTGACAACTGCAGACCAGGGGTAAAATGCAGACTCAGTTCTAAAACAACCTACTTCCCCAGAAAAAAAAACTTTAAAAGTGAGCTGGGATGGAGGCCGCTTAAGTCGTGAGAAGCTTTCAATAGTCATCATGGTGATTGATGTTTCGAACTCCACTTCCTCAGATAATTCGGCTTGACATATTGTTTCAAGGTAAGAACGATGAGAAACGTAAGTGTTTGAAAATGCATTTCACAGCCGGCTGAATACATTTCCCTTATTAAGGAATAAACAGTTCAGCTGAGCTACATTAGGTAGCTTAACATACATGTAGCTCATGTATACTTTGTTTGGCCTTGACAACCAGCCTGCAGTCTGCGTTTTACTCTGACCGCATGACTGTCGGTGGCCCGATGCCACGCTAAACGTTGAAAAATCTCATCACATGTAAAATATATATCTAGGCTCCCTGGACCGAACCGTATTTATTCAGATTGTTAAAATAACTGCGACCTGGTTGTGACCCCTTTGGTATTTCCTGTTTTTTCTATGCGGTTATTAAACAGCAGCAAATATACCCGCCGCCAGCTCATTAACGCAGCCCAAAGATCTGGAGACAAACCTACCTCTGATTTTCAAGCGTTTCCGATCTTGACTGCGACTTTATTTCATGCAATTCCTGGACCACAATCACTTGGAATTTATGCTGTTCTTAGGCAATAACCGTGGCAGATGACAAAGGAAGTAGAAATACTGACCATTCAAAGAACACTCGAGGGATCTACCCACGCGACTACCCACGCGTCGATTCGCGTCAGTAAAGTGGTGTCCAAGTCTCCGGGTGCCTCGACAGTTCCATCCTGACGAGCCTGGAGCAAGGTATGAGACTCAAATTGAGACTTTCAATTTCGATCTGCTTTGTCCGAAAACGCGGAAGTTGCAGAAAGCAGTGCATGAGAGGTACGTGTTTAATCTACCCTTTTCCAACTCGTTTCAGTGCTTCAAACAGATAAAGCGGTTTCTTTCACTTTACGTTCCACTGAATAAAGGGTTATCTACGTCCATGACGTAATATTTTACATTCATTACCAACTTCGTGTTTTTCGAGTACATACCATCTTCAACTAGAAAAAGTTTCGGACTTTGAGCATCTCATGGATAGGAAGTTTGTTTCGAAAAAAGGACCAGCATCACCTCGCAGTCAAACATCTGAGGAGGAAGATGTATTTGACTACGCAGGACTAGAAGACTATAGTAATGAAAGTGGACCTGTGCCGAGAGAAGCATACATTGCTTTAAGAACAGGTATTTGGTTCATGGGCATTACATTTAATTTTACATAGTCCTAAAGGTAATAAAGATTTTGTATTTGTCAACTTAGCAGTATAAATTAAACGAGATATAGAATTAAACGGGGTAAGTTCCTAAAGAAACTGTGTTGCTGCGTCGGTGGGAAAGTACAACAGGGTAATTTAGTGTTGTCAACTGAGTTGAAAACGTAAAATGGCCACCGTAAAGGGTTTAAAGGCTGACGTTTCGAGCGGTAGCCCTTTGTCCGAGCGATTGCAGGAATTATGGGTTGTGTGTGGGTTTATGTGGGAATGTGGTGACGAGAAAACGAGGATAAATCATTCAACTAATTTATTTTCGTTATTCTCGTTTTCTCGTCACCATTTTCCCACCTATAGCAAAGCTCCATTTTCTGCATATAAACCCACACACAACCCACAATTCTTCCAATTGCTCAGACAAAGGGCTAACGCTCGAAACATCAGCCTTTAAACTCTCTTTGGTGGCCTATTTACTTTTTCAACTCAGTTGATAACACTAAATTACTGAGATATAGAAAGATGTGGGTTTGTAGATTTTGGTGTGAGATTTCGATGGTATATCTATGGCTTGAGTAAATGATGATTATTCATAATTATTTAGTTGTTATCCAGGGGCTGGGAAAGTTATTTTCCCTTGAACGTGTGCTGATAATGAAGAGGACAGATAAAAGGTTGCATAATCTAACAGGAACAACTTTTTATGTTCATCAGTGATGGAAATTTCTCCAGTGAGATTTTCAACTGCACTGTAGGACAAGCTCTTGCTTTGACATCGTTTGTCTGTAAACCTTGATAACTATTCCATTCTTTCTCTAAGCTGGATACATTAAACAATTGTACCCAATCAATCCCATTTAAAATTAGCTCGAAACAACATTTTGACTGTATATCAAATAGCAATTTCAACAGATAGACATCTTAAAAATGCCTTGAGGGACCTGGTACAGGGATTCACCAACCCTGTACCAGGTCCCTCAAGGAGCATGTTGTTTAGCAAAGCCTCAATCTTTGTTCTTGCTGTGTGAGATGCAAAACCAAAGACCTTCACAAATAATTCAAAGTTGTACCTATGCAAACCTTTTTTCTTTCCATGATGGGATGAGGAGATCATTGATCTGTGTGAAAATGACAGTAGACATCCCAAAAGGTACAAGATACAGGGTAGGCCAATCAGAGCATTCATTTGGATGCTGTATTAGCAAGGAGGTGTATTTTGTGATTGCTTGTGTTTGATTAATAATTATTTTGTGATTGTGACTGTGAGTATGCGTGATCAAATTTGTATTTGTAAGAAAATTGGAACAGTTTCTACAACCAGTATTACTCCTGAAACTGTTAATGTGTAAGGAATTCTTGTTTTGTGTTGACTTGGTTGGTATACTTTGTTATGGGTCAGCAGGGCATTTGATGCCCAGCTGTTGGGTATTTAAACAGCTTTCTATGATTTATCAATCAATAAGTAATCATTGCTGTAGTCATAAGTTTTGATATCAAAGAGTAAATATCATTAATTATCATTCCAACAAAGAGTGGCTTTTATAAGTCCAGGTTCTGGCTAACTGAAAACATAAGTTTTTAGGAAGTTTTTCAGTGAGATCCTTTTCATCTTTGTATCTTTTTGTTAGTTGGTTTTCCCAGAGTTGGGTATCAAATTATTGTTATTATTGGGATAGTGGCACTAACATTCTGTTCAAACTTTGTTTTTAATCGATGTATGCTTCCTTTAATTCAAATGATAATGATGCACCTCACTTCATTACAAGTGCACCCTGTTTAATAACCTCTTAGTTTCCTCAGCAAAATGTAATTTATTACATTTGTAAGGATTAAAATTTTTCTTTCTCAAATATCTCCTCATCAGCATTTCGTACTGTTGAGAAGCGTTTACATGGGGCTGAGGCAAAGGTATCTGAGCTAACAGCAAAATCAAAACAGAGAGATAGAAAAGGATCTCATGAACAAGTGTATAAAGAAAGAGATGCTCTCTTGAGTCATTTACATAACAGCTATCTTGCTTTTGAAGAAAAATTTGGAGAGAATGAAAAATTGAAGAGGACGATACAAGAATTACAGCTTTCTCAGAAACAAACACAAGGAGACACTATGCAGGTGTGTAATTTCAATACCTTTTTTTTTCATCACAATCTTTATGTTCAGAAACAGAGGGTAGAGGTTACTTATACATGTATCCTTTCATTCATCAGTCAATTTATGTGAGTGTGTGGTTCCTGTTGTTTCTTTGAATTTCTCTTCATCTGTCTGTCTTGATTTTGTTGCTGGATTTTGATGCCAGGGTTCCATTTCTGGCAGTCATAACCAATCACATAGTTACTATTTTGATTACCTGTGTGTCACTCTTAGTCTGCCTAATTTTCTGTATGTTGAACATTGTCTGACACTCTGTAACTACTTGAGTATCTGGTTGTCTAATTTCATGTTTCTCTGCCTGGAGGTCTGTCTGAAATCATTTCTGCCAGAAGGTCTGTCTGATGGCATGTCTGTCATTAGTTTTTGATGGCATGTCTGTCGGAAGGTCTGTCAGACTCAGCCTTGCATTGTAATTTTAGTTTCCACGGATAAGAAGACAAATCAATTTAAAAACCTTTCATAATTTTTCTCAAAACTTCTTCTAAAAATTTTTCACATTGGCTAGTTATTTACTCATTCACTCTGTAGACAAAGTAATCGATAAGTAAGTAAGTGTTTTAGTTCGCTATCGATGCAGAACTAGATATTCTATTGAAAATATTTTATTTTCTCCTTGTCTGTTCGTCATTGGTTTTATTTATTTTATTAACTCAATTGTTTAGGCCAAAGGTGGTGCTTCGTCTGAGTCGACCTCCGGAAAGGAAGAAAAGCAAGAAGGAAAAAAATATACAGATTTAGGCGAGGAGTTGAAAACCATGGGTTTAGAAGTTAAGGAAGAAAATAACCGGCTATGGATTATCATAGTGGATAGGGATAATCTCAAAAAGTGGATTGAGGAAAAGTCGGAAGGATATATAACTGTTACAATACAGGGAAGAACTAGAGGAAATAACGCGAACAAAACAGGAGCAGTGGTATCTCGTACAGGGGGATGTGAACTGTCAGATGGAGGACGGAAAAATGCTGAAGCGGAGGCTATATTATTGAAACATAAAATTGAAGATCAGGCACAGGAACTGAATCGGTTTTACAAGATATTTAAGGAGGTAATGGTTCAAAATAAAGAATTACGAACCAAGGAACAGAGGAAGGAAGCAGAAGCCGGCGGAGTGACTGAAGGTAGAGTTGTTACGTTTGTATTTATATCAGAAACTTATCTAAGAAAATAGGAAGAATAAAACGAGAGATCGTGGTAAAGCGCTTTCTGTGGCAATCAAGTGTTCAGATTTGTTTGTTTGGCGTTTCTGCGCCTGCTGTGGACCGTAAGCGCCTTGCTACGATGTTTTGCAAGTCCGTAAACCTTCTCCCAAGCCCCTCACGGTTTTCAAAATGGCGGACTATCATTGTCTCCTCTTACTCGACTCGTGTAATCTGGTTCAACTCCGACTCTAGCCATCATTGAAAGAATCTGATGGGGTTTCTCCGGATTCATTTTTGGTTTTGTGTTTGTTCAGGGTCTCACCTCAGCATTTCGAATTGTGGTTCTAGTCGACTTAGTCGGCAGCTTTGCTAGACTTTGACTTCATCCAGTCTCTCTTTCACTCAGACTTTTCTGATAAAATAAGTTTACATTTATTCAATTTAATAGGGCAAAGCAAGGGAGCGATATTTACGATATATTCTTTGTCTAAAGTTTGTTTATTTTCCTTTATGTCCACAAGCTTCAAAACCAGAAGAAGCCTCTACAAAAAGAACAGCCTTGCCAACAAAAACAGATGCTGTACTTCAGAAGAGAGTAGAGACCATGTTGTCTACAGCCCAAGAACATGTACTGGAAATGAAAAAAGTTCGAGAACACTTGAATTCACAAAATAATAGCTTGCAAAAACTGGCAGAGCTTACTGAAAAAACAACTGAAGATTTCATGAAATTAATCAAAACTTCGCAAGCCAGGCCAGCTGGAGCTGAATCTTCGGAATATTCAACAGAAACCCGCACTAGATGGCCACAGGAGGGAGAGATGACATTTACCGAAAGGCATCGATTCGAACAAGTGGGAAATTTCGAACGGTTAGTCGCTGAAGATGCCCCTCTAAGCGTTCCCGTTCAAGCCGTACAAGAAGCATCAGAATACCACCGACTTAATGATCAAGATGAAATTGGAGCTACTGGCTTTGGTCGAAGGTTGAGTAAAGAAAAATATTTATCTCCGATCTCGAGGGCTTCTTCGGATGGAGCCGAAGGAAGGGCAGTTCCCATGGGAACATTTTTGGCCGAGAACACGGGGACTGGAGAGAGTGATATTGAAATTATCGATGAGGAGGATTTCATTGGTGCAACTCCTGTAGTCGGCAAAATATGTCCAATGTGTGAAAAGTTTTTTCCTGAAAGTTATGGTCAGAGAAATTTCGAGGATCATGTGCAACAACATTTTGGTGACGATCCGTAGTAACTAATTTGGGAAAACCCCTTTTCCTCCAATAGTCAATCACCTTTTTGATGTATTTTCCTTCTAGGAAAGCACATATTAAACAAATCCAAGGTTATCTTTTTTTTTCCCTTTTTTTAAACTATCTGGTGAGTCTTTTTCTAGTAAAAGTTTGCTTAATGGGTTAGCCTCTTTGATAGACAGGAATTGTCGTTCTCATTATTTTTTTCGTGGCTCGGTGGATGGTGAGGGAAATAGTTAAGTGGGTATAGGGGATCAACTTAGACCAGCCAAGAACAGACTACTTTAAGTCCAAATAACTCGGACCGAAAATGAGACATTTGAATTGATCTTCGTCGACTACTACTCATGTTCGACGCGTTCCACGTTTTGGCTCGTAATCATAACTAGAAACTGTGGTCCTAAAATAGCGAATTTGTTCGTGTGTTCTGCTTTGTTAGCTTTTTCCCTTTTCGATTCAAAAACACTTACGTTAGAGCGATTCGGAAACTTTGTCCTTCATTTACGATAAAAGTAATTTTTCGATGACTGACAATCGCATCCTAGGCGGAAAATAATAGAAAAAACCCGCTGTTTATCAAACTGTCGTGGACTTGATATGAAGCGAAATGTGTGTTGATTAAGTTTTAGCGAGATATAAACAACTAATTTTCTACAGTAAAAATCGAACGCATATGGCCATTACAGATCCAACGCATGGAATAGCCAGGTTCAAGTATGCGCGCGCTGAGTGTGATATCAGAACAATAAGTTAGAGGCCTTCGTTTCTTAGTTCCACCTTGACGAGTTAATGAGCTAAGGCAGTATTCCCCTCAGAGGAAAGCGCGCGCAATCCTCGACCAACGAGAGCCTTCCTGGTTACGCTACGCCGCAAATATTACAGATCTATAATATTTTCGCCACTTCAAGTAGATGTCGCGAGAACGATAAGCATTCTGCCCAATGATAATGTAGCACTAAAATTTAGGGTATAGAAATTGACAAAATCTTCAACAACGGAAGGACTGATTCTTTTTGTTGTTCATCATTGTAAATCAGCGATTTTTTTTTATCTTGAGTCAGATGGGTAATTACCTGATGTGTGGGTCATTTAGTGACGTGGACCGTTTTTAAAGGAAGGGGCGAACGTAAGGGTTTCGAAACGGAAATGCTACGCCTTTATAATTCTGTTTACGTCATTTGACATCAAAATATGTTTGTATTGGTGATTTTCTGTTTCAGGCCACGGCAGAGAAATTTCTAGAATTAAGCTGTGAACGAATCGGAAGTCACATTCTGTTATTGAGATGCAAAAGTGAAGTGTAACTTAGAGCGTTTATATCTTGGCGAAGAAATTAAACTGGCATAACCACGTGTCCATGTGTGTCCATATATTTTTATGTTGATTCAGTCACCCATTTAGCATCAGTTTGCGGAGCCTGAGGGAGTTTAGGGTTTTCGAAAGTGATATTAGAAAATGCAACAGCATGTAAACAAATTGGAAAACCCCTAACTGTATCAAGGCAGCGATAGATATTTCTACCCTACGTAACTTTGCCTAACAACCCGATTTTCTTTCCTCTAGTAAAAGGGTCCGTCTTAGTAAATCCAGGCCAGATTTCGTGATCCAAGAACGGACCATGCAAGTGAAAGGTAATAGATCAATTTTCAGGTCGATCAATGCCAGAAGATGCATATCTAGTCAAGCATAGATACACGTATTCTTTTTTTATTTTACATCACTTCTATAGTTTAAAAATTCTGAGAAGGGCTACTTTGACCTAAGATTAGATCGGTTCAATGTTGCACTCGAAATATAGAAAACCAGTTTGATGCATTTTCTATTCTGCTAACGATGAGGTATATGAATATTCAAATGATGATGACAGAGGCTATTTATAGAGCGAAAAGGGTTGAGCTTTCGAAAGCGGAATAAATAATTCATACCGACTTTGTTTTATTTGGTTATGAACTCTGCCTACTTAAGCTTATTAGTTTACTTCAGGGAGAGATGACCAAATTTTAAAAATCAACTGTTATCGAATTGGTTGTCAGAGTGTTTTCTGAGATCAATGAAACAGATCACAACTGAGGAATATTAGCCAGTGTTTACACGCTACTGAGACCATCGATCTTTCCCTGTCGCGCAGACGAGCATTTTTCGTTGAGAGGCAGCTTTGAGGTAGGATTCGTGGCCCATACATTTATAGCGTTACCTTTTACTCCTAAATCTTCCTAAAAAGGCTTCGATGAATTTTCCTCTTGTAACTGTGTAGTATTAATTAATTGTGAGTCTGCCTCCTAATTTTTGCTTTCGGAGAAGAAAATAACCAGAGTTACGACTTGAATACAGTCTTTCGCGACAGTATAGTCCTAAAATATTTTGGACCAATTTGTCGTTGTAAACCTGTGGACACAAACGTGAAGACTTGTCTGATGTGATTTATGCTTTAATTTGTTTTTCTTTCTATGACATTGAAAACAGTTGCAATATTTGGTTCTTAGTTGAAAACAGTCCGAATCATCTCAAATTTCCATCGGTTAACATATGAGTTCTATCAGATTATGTTTTCGATTACTTAAGTAACGCTAGAAGATGTGATGAAGAAAACGAAAGAAAACATTTTTATAAGGATTTTTACACAATGAGCTGAAATAATTTTTTGTTCGGTCGTCGTGCTGCTACTGATGTGCACTGAGTCAAACTGAGTCTCATAATAAATTATTTTGACATGGTTCAAACACACCCGCTCTGACCCAAAACAAACTGATAGCACTCTTTCAAAGTTTGCACGGCTGGTATAACTAACTGCTGACTAGTAATCAAACAAGGATACAAACTATTCTTAGGGATAGAGTTTGCACTGAAGTAATTTTTAATTTTTTTCTAAGGTGTATTACTGTACGACCCACAACAACATAAAATCTGTTTGTTTTAAATTATGCGATATAAAAGCAAGCATTTGCTAATGGTGACGCCATCTATGTGTCTGTCCTCTTAAGTAAGAACAAATCAAAATAATTTACGCCGGTTACAGTTCGCTGAGTTCTCTACGTTCAAGTTCGCTTCACTTTCGCTCGCTCCACTTACTCTTATTCCAGGTATAGATTTAGTTCATAGATAAAATTATGAGACATTATTCAGTGAGGGCCGTTATTCATGTTGTTCCCGGAGAGATTGTGGTACGTGTGTCACGCGAGTAGCGAACTCGATGTTCAATGTAGCGTACATGTAGCGAACTCGAAATGTAGCGTAGTTTGCTCTTGACCTTCAAAAAGGTGAAACCTTTCTCATGCGATATGAAGTGGGAGGCAATGTAAGTACTGTTTTTTAAATCTCTTCTCTATTTATATTAGAAACCAGTCTTATTTGATGGCCTCTGCAATGGAACAGTCGTTTCATTCCTCGAAAGAGACAACTAATTATGCTCGGCTGTGCAGGCTTCTGGTGGATGTCGGATCACATGTCTTAAGAAAGATATTCGACGAGAAGCGTCCACCAGGAAATTTGGACACAGTTTTGTCAAGTCCTTCAGTGCATTCCGTTCTGCAAATACTTCGAAAGAAGAAAGTCCTTAGTTGTTTGCAATGGCAAAAACTGTATCCCGCCGTCAAATCTTCAGTTTCATCACAGCATTTTGATATCAGTACCCTGATGGTTCTGCTGCGGAATCTTTGTGGTCTTAATCCTCCGGCTACTGGCTGGGATACACTTCCTCCACCAGATGACACATCCCTCGAGGCAGATATCGTTCGCATCAAGTGCTATAGAAACACCGTTCATAGTCATGCTAGCGAGGCCTCGATTGACGACGCAACGTTCAATCAGTACTGGAAGGACATCCAGGGTGCACTAGTGAGAACTGGAGGGGAAGGTTACCAAGGTGCTATCGATGACTTGAAAAGTCAATGTATTGACAGTGATTTTGAGGAACACTACAAAGAGCTCCTTGAACAGTGGGTTAAAGATGAGGCCAGCATGACTGAAAAACTGGATAAAATGATGAAAGAGTTCGGCGAGTTTGATAGGAAGTTGGACGAATTAAAGGAGGCCATGGCGAATGCCAAAAGGGAAATAGGAGCTGAAGGTATGCGAAAAGATATGATTTTTGTAGTAAAGATAAGGAGCATAGGGAGGATCGATAGACTCAAATTTCCATCAACTACATGGCCTGGATGTTTCTTTGTTCCAAAAACACTTGTCAAATTCAAACCTTTGCAAAAGGTTACAGGAGGTGGGGCACTTTTTCTTCTCTCTTCTGCCTGTCAATGAAAGGAAGCCTTCGCCGATGAACCAAGTCGCCTCTAAACTGACGACGTTTTCTTTTAAGGGAACGTAACAACACAAATCAAAGAGATACATGGCCTCAAATTTTGGGCTTCCTCTACTTTGTCAGGAGTCAGAAGAGTTTCAGACTGGGTAAACATTTCGATAAATTTAAACCCTGTGTGCGAGAAGCCATTCTTCACGTAAAAGAGAAGAGTGAACAAATGATTCAATATCTAATATCCAATACTACTCCAATTAATACTTAAGAAGGTGTAATCTGATCGTCCCGGTGAGAGTAGTCTTGGTAGGGATTGTTGTCAGAAGCAATGAGTGACGTCTTCACAATCTTAACGGAAGTTATCACCAGGGTCAAGTAACTTGGATGGACTACTCTCACCTGGACGGTCGGAATACAAATGTTAACACCGTCACTTTAAGGTAAAAGCCATTTAATGTACTAAAATAATTTGTTAATCAAAGTTAAGACAGGCTCTGGATTCTCTTTTCAGCTGTAACGGCATATACGAACGCATTGAAGGAATCAATAATAAGCCAAACTGAGTTCTGCCGTCTCGCTTCTCAAACCAAGAAAAATGTGAAAACAGATGACATTTTCACAAATATTCTCATTCAACATGGAAGAAAACCCGTTGAAGACCATAACATGGAAAGAAAGAAGCATCTTCGCCAATACGGTCAAATAAGAGGAAAACCAGTCAAGCATTGCCAAGAAATATTCACTTCAACCGATGGCAATGAGAAGAATCCTCAATCCATTCTCCTCACTGGAAAGGCAGGCATCGGTAAAACTCTCTTTTGTCAGAAGTTGATACGAGATTGGGCCGACGGCAAATTATTTCAGTTTCCCTCGGGAACAAACATTCCCGACTTAAAGTTCGCATACTTACTGACCTTTCGTCAGCTGGATTTACTTAAAGACACTCCTGTCAACTTGAGAGGAGTCCTGAACCGATCGTCAGTGTTAGATGACCACTCAAATATTGACGATTCTTTGTTTGAGTACATGGTTGGTCATCCGGCAGAAGTTTTGATCGTCATCGACGGGTATGACGAGTATTCAAAGCAAGATTTCATCGCTAGCGATTTGGATGAGGAATTTCCAAACAACGCCCGAGAGAAGATGCCAGTAGCCGCACTGTGTGCCAAACTCATCAAAGGAAGAATCTTGAGAGGTTCTGTTGTCATGGTAACGTCAAGACCCGAGGAATCTGACAAAATAAAAGATGAAATTGACTTTGATCGATACGTTGAAATTACAGGATTTTTTGAACCGCAGGTGAAGGAATATATTGAGAAGTATTTCAGGGGAAACGAGCGATTGAAAAACACAGTACTGGACCACATGACAAAGAACGCCAATCTTGTCAGCTTTGCCCACATTCCTGTGCTTTGTTTCCTGATGTGTTCCTACTTTGAGTACATTCTAACGGAATCAACGAGCAGTGATACCCTTCCTGTGAAAACAAGTGACCTTTACTATGAAGTGGTAAACATGTTTGTGAGAAAGCACAACAAAAAGAAGGGACTGTCTCACGAGGAAACTTTGGATAAACTATCAGAGCTTGCTGCCCTATTGCTCCTGGAGAAGAAGTTTCTATTCGCCAAAGAGGATGTGAAAATGTTTGGTCTAGAGGAAGTTGAAAGTTTGAGCGCAAGTGGTCTTCTTCATTGCGGTCCTCCTTTCAGAAAATCTTTTTCTGAAACGACGAAATATTTTTGCTTCACCCACCTGACTCTCCAAGAGTACCTAGCGGCTCGTTGGTTTGTAAAGAGGAAAGAGATTCCTCCTGGAAATGTTTCATCAGTGGTACTACAATACATGTCCGGTATTCTGTCAAAGCAGAAAGACCACACACTTATGGAACAAATACTTAATGGATTCAGCACTGAATACTTTTTCAGGAGGAAGCTTCTAACAGCTTATTGTCTGATGGAGTACGAAGACAAAGAGTTTGCCAAAAGTGTCATAAAGAAGCGCTTCCATGAATTCTGTGATCGCAAAGGCACAATTGTTTTCAGGAATGTGACTGATACGGGTTGCACTACAGTATCTTTTCTTTTGGATATTATGAGTAAATTGAATGCAGAAGGAGAGTCGGGCAGGAATAATTCAATCTGTGAGCAGCAGAAAGCAACATGCAGAGCAATTTCGCTGGATCTGAGTGGTAATCAGATCACTGATGACGGTGTTTCTAGTCTATGTCAGGTACTGCAGACCGCAACAAGTAAATTACCAAAACTGGTTCTAAGTGGTAATCAGATCACAGATGCTGGTGTTGTCAGTCTGTGTCACGCATTACAGACAGAAACATGTGGCATAACCACACTCAATTTGAGTTTCAATCAGATCACTGATGCCGGAGTTGTCAGTCTGTGTCAAGCTTTACAAAAAGCTGTTTGTAAGGTGAAGACACTGGATCTTAGTCTTAATCAGATCACTGATGTCGGTGTTGACACTCTATGTCAAGCCTTACAGACGGAAACATGTAAGGTAACTACAGTGGATTTGAGCTCTAATCAGATCACCGATGTTGGCAAGGAGAGTCTCGCTAATCTGTTGAAAATTAACCCTGGCCGTTACCATATCGATTACTTTTAGGAATAGAAATTCGCTGAGAAGTAGAGCTCCTCTCAGAGAGTTACCAAAAATTGTTCAAACATTTAAATACACTGCGAATTAATAAAAAGTACTGTCAAACTTCTTTGACTGTAGCAATAGGAATATTAACAGTGTTGTATTTCTAGCTGACCTAGCAATGAGGTTGGTTTCATGATGCCTTCTGTTTGACAAGATTAGCCTTAGGTCCTTAGAAAAATTATTCTATTGTTCTAGGTAGGAATTACACTGAATGAGGCATATAGTGCTAATAAATGTTACTTAGTTAAGATTCCAGTCTTCCTAGAGAAATCCACCAGCTAACTGCGGTCGGGTTTCCTCACGTGAATTGAGGCGCACCACGAAATTATTTGAGCAAAGCCAATCATAGCACAGACGTGTCTTGTGTATTGATGAATAAGTCATGAGTACTTTGGATACTCAGTCACTCGACTGGAACTAACTTTCCCATCAGCCCTGCTTATCAACACTGTCCAATCATCACGAAGGTGACGTCATGCTACAAATGGTACTAGTTTTCCCGGAAGAGTTTTGCTTTCCAACGGTACAAACATTCATCTGAGCAATTATTATTACCCCATATATAGTTATGAAACTGGGCGATAACTGAGGAGATAGATAATTTTTTTCCTCGGAGCGCAAAGGGCAAAAGAAACAGTTATTTCAAAATGTACGACCCAGAGGCAAACAAATATGGCGGGGCCGACTATAGCCAATTCGATAACACAATGGCTTTCAGCGACTCCTCCATTCGCGCTGGTAAGGGTTATACATGTAATTTTTAACTGGTTGAATTAGATGTGATATGTTGTTGGTTTTGTCGAGGTTACTAAATGATGTATTTTTTGCTTTTTGTCACAGGCTTCATTCGAAAGGTAAGATTTGGCCTGTGTTCGGTGCATGTTGATTAGAGTTTGTATTTTGATTCAGCTGTTTCATTTTGTCATTTATATGCATATACTTGCGCACACATAAGGGTAACCTATATTATCGGTTAAAAATCACTACCCTTATTTTGGGTAGATACGAAGGTTGGATAAAGTATACTCTTGACTTTGACTGTCTAGAAAATGTAATATAAAATTAATATAGAGCTTCGTTATCACAAATTATATTCACGACATTTTTTCCTTTTTATCCTTACTTCGCCATGACACCAATTAAACGAACGTACACGTACCCACGTACAAGTGCTGTGATGATTAACTTGAGATTTATAGCAGAAACTCTATTTAAACCACTCAAACCGTAACGTCGACATTTATATATAGTGAAAGGAGGGACGGAAGTAAGGGAACTGAATTACATACACCCTCTGACAGGAAATCTCCACTTGGCTCCATCTTTAATGGACTGGTCTGTTATCATGTGAGGGGTTAACAAATTGGTGGGAGTCCGATTTGTTATTTTTTAGACAGTATGATTCTGGGCAGTTTGATTAGATGATGTTGCTGATGATCCTTTTGTATGAAAACAATATAAAAACTGGAAAGTGAAGCAAAATACGTATGAAGTAAATTTATGCGTAATTTATTAATTAGGGGACCTTTGTAACATGAAAATGAGCGCAGTATCTTGCTATATTACAGCATGTGCAGTTGATGCATATTGTCTGATTACTCGGGCATGAAGTGTAAACTGCTCTGTGACACTACTGTCCATGATGCATACACTTATGTATAATAATATGAATTATGGGTGCCTTTTTATTGGCTTTTGTTGGTGATCTGTTGGAGGACAGATGCTTAGATGACATTACCATCAACAATTTTTTGCTTCTTTATCATATAAAACAAATAGGTCATGTATTGCTGTGGATCTGTTCAGTAACAGATCATAGAAGTTGTCAAAATGTGTTAACCCTTTGACTCCAAAGAGTGACTAAGACAGAATTCTCCTTACAATATCAATACAATATCAAGCAGACAAGTGATGAGAATGAAGAAAAATATCAATTAGGGGATTATAAGTTGATACAACACTAAATTCTCGGAACTAACATCATAAGAACTGTAAGGAGACAGTAAGGAGAATTACTAATGAGATCTTGGTAGTTAAAGGGTTAAGAGCATTTTAGTTCAGTAACACACTTTCCACATTTTGACACCATCTGTGATCTATTTTACTGAACAGATATAGAGCAATATAGAATCTATTTTGTAATTATATAAGTTCTCAATTTAAGATTCTGGAAAATTTTGTACTATTTATACAATTTTCCAATGGTTTTTTTAAGGTTGTAGACATGTAATTGTGGCCAATTTGACATTGTCTGTGTAAACAAAACAATCCCCACAAAACAAGAAAACAACTTTGTACAAGTAAACTCAAACACAATGTTTTACTCAGTGATTAAAATTGACATCTGGGGTAGCTGGTAAGACCTACAGAGTGACTGCTATGTGCTCTTGCAGGACATAATTATCATTAATGTTTTTGTTTATTTCTATTTTATAGGTCTATGCTATTCTACTTGGCCAACTTGTCATAACAATGGCATTCATCTGTTTCTTCCTGTATTGGTAAGGAAAATAAATTTGCAGAGATGTAAAATTGAATAAAGCACTTTAGGCACCTTCTTGTAATAACATTAAGGTTAACATCATTTTTATCATTTTTTCTTTATTCAGTGAGCCTGTACAGGAATATGCAAGGAATCATGTAGGATTATTTTATGGAGCTTTGTAAGTGTGATTTATTTTTTTTAGTTTATGCAAAAGTAACTTTCATTTTAGTTGGATACAAATGCTGCAGTAAATTAACATCAATCATGTATGTAAGGCAGGATAGTTATTCTCAAATAATCCCTTGGACAATTACTGGAACCTTTTGAGTTTAATTATGTTAGTTTGATGAAAAATGATTACTAAAAAACAAGTGATTGTTGGTCAGAGCAACTGCATTGTCTTGTATTTTTGTTTTTCTTTGTGAGCACACAAAAATCATTTCAATTGATAGCTATGTAGAAAATAAGTTCTTCACCTTTAAAATCACCCTGCATGGAGGACCTTATCCAGTCACCTAAGCCATTATTTGCATGCTCATAAATATTGAATAATACATTTGATATTCATGCCAATAACTTAAAAAGACATCCACCTACTCTTTTTACTGCTCTTTTCAGTTACAATGGTGTACACTTTCCAAAGTTTTTCTCACTTTTTTCAATGTTATGTTACAGGGCTGTCACATTTGTCACAATGATTGCTATGGCTTGTTGTGAGAGTGTAAGGTAAGAATTCCTTTCTTGCTGTGAAACTATGACATAGTATGGTTTGCAATGAGAATATAATTGGATTGTCTCATGGCATGTCTCAAGTCCTTTTTTTAAGTTTCACAAGCGCTTATTCTGTGTTTTCTATCTTATGAGAAATCAATGTTATTGAAGAATACAAATGCTGAAAAATTTTTTAGAGTTGCAGAGACAGGTTTTGTACAGGGCCAGAAAACCTAGGACATCCTGGAATTTTGTTTTGACATTTTCCAGGACTGGAAAGTCCTGAATAATGTCAATAGGTCCTGTATTTGTGCAAAGTCTTGGAAATCTGTTTAACTCATTTACAAGCAATAAAGTTTTTAAAATTTATGCTATATGGAATGTATGTAGACCCTTAAGAGAACTGATTTGGAAATCTTGGGAATGAAAGAGTTTGAGTTAAAATTTGGAGATCTGAATCCTGGAAAAGCTTTGGAAAAATCCTTGAAATTTGTTTCTGGAAAAGGTTTGAACTTTGGAAAGAGAAGTTGCTTATGAAATCAATATAAACAACTTCTCTTGGTTGTTGTTTGACATTTTCTTAGATACTTAACGTTAGCTGATGTTGTTAACTTGTTTGATCTCCTTTTAGGCGGCAGTTCCCAACTAACATGATCTTTCTTGTAATTTTTGTGAGTACCTTCTACTTCATTTGTGTAATGTATTCCTAATTCCTGCATCTATCAGTGAGCACCCCCCTAAAATAACCTAAAGACTGTCACATTTCACTCCCCCTATGTTACTGAACTGCACTGGAAATGGAGTTTGTGATTTGTCTTCAAGACTGAATGCTTCATTTTGGTCTAAAATTAACACTGGAGGGGAAATTAGAACTGAATTTGAAAATTTGAAATTTTGCACTTGATATGTTAACTGAATGTTTCATGTAATATATTATAAAAACTGTATACTTTAATAATACTTTTTCATCAAGTTGTAAGATAGAGAAGTTTTTCGTATAAGCAAACTTCTGCTTGCTGTATGTTTCATTAGTTTCAACTTCATTGCCCTCAGAATCCCTGCATTTCTGTTATTGTTGACTCATGTAATGCTCAGATAAGTGTGCATTGTAGTTGAATTAATTAATTTTAACCCTTTCACTCCCACAAGTGACTAAGACAGAATTTCTCCTTACAATATCAATACAATATCAAGCAGGTAGGTGATGAGAATAGAGAAAAATATCAATTATGGGATTAGTAGTTTATCTAATACCAAATTCTCTGAGCTAACATCATAAGAATTGTATGGCAGATAGTAAGGAGAATTACTAATTAGATATTGGGAGTGAAAGGGTTAAGGGTGTCACCCTTTTGTTGTCTATCCATGTTTTGATACCATAATTAAATGTTTTTTAGGTTATAGGTGTATTGGATTTTGTTTTGTTTTGTTTTGTTATTTAGACAATCTGTGAAGGATATCTTCTTGGTGCTGTATCAAGGTAAATTGTAGTCTGCTTTTACGGACATACATCAGGTGGACAATCTTGAGCTGAAAAAAATTAATGACCCTCTCCTCACTATTGTTTCTGTTATTATAATATTTTAACAGAATCACTGAATCATAATCTGCCTTTCTTTGATCATGGTCAATGGATTTCAAATTTTGGTTGCATTTTTTGGAGATGGAGATAACTTAGGACTATTAATAGATGAATAATTAAATTTCCTTTGCATTAATTATCACTTAATACCCAATTTTTGTTGCAATTCTCACTTTAGCCATATACACACAACTATTATGTATTATATGAACAATACCAACAGTTTCTTACATGTAAATCAACTTTCCACAGTGTTTATAATAAAGATGAGGTACTGATGGCTGTTGGAATAACTGCAGTAAGTTGCAGCCTTTTTGGTTTTGAGTTCTTATGATATATACTGTAATAAAGATAGAACTGAGGAACAGGTCTGTCTATTAGTTGAAGTAGAAGTCAAATATAAAGAAATAGCAGACAGCCAGGTCGTTGTGGATACCATGTTTTTCATCAAATTACGCTCAGTGCTGTGAGCTGTTCAGTAAAAATGTACCAGTTGTTCCAAAAAGTTTGCACAAAGCTTCAAGCAGTGAAAGTGGAGTTGATTAACACAATCTACATGTAGCCCTTTACTAGTAAATTTTACATGTAATTCCACTAAAAACTAGGAAAGGGTTGCAGTGGTTGGAAGTGGCTGGCTATAAAATGGCAGACTAGCCATGGGTTTTGACCCACCACCAGCTCTTGTTGACAGCTCTGGAAGGAAGATTGTTAAAAAAATACTTAAAATGCAGCTGATGGAACCAGTCATGATTACTTTCTGTTGGGGTTTAAACCAGCCTAAGTATGGTCACTGAAGTTAATGGGACTTTAATTGTTTGCCATGAAAATTTTGTCAGCTAAGCAATATTGTATGGTTAGCAAAAACTAAATTCCTAGTATGTGAGGAGAATATTGATTAGGAGAGAAACCCGAATTAGAAATTGTCAAATTTTCTTTGAGACATACAGTCAGTCGATGACTAGATTTGAATGAGTTTTGAGTTAGCATGAGTTTGAATAATTAAAATACAATTGATACTAGCTGATATGCTTGTGGAGTTTCATTTGGCCGAAGGTAGTGAAAATTTTGCAGTTTGATAGTGAGAAACCTTTTTTTCTGCAGAAAGAGATATTGGCAGGTTGAGGACTGTGCAATATCCATGTGAATTAAAAGTTAACTTTTCAATAATTCTTGTTGTGAAACTTTTTTATAGGTTGTCGTTCTGGCAATTACCATTTTTGCATTCCAGACTAAGGTGAGAGACTAGTAACCCTTCAAGTCAGTATAACTTTTCAACAGATGTTATGCAAGTTTCGGCTGTAGGTGTTTCATATTGTAGGGCCTGTAATTTTCAGGTGAACCATGGTTGCTGTTTTTATAGTAAACTTAAGGTAGTGTTAGCTAAACTTGGTCCCAGAGCTGGAGTTAATGATCTGCACTTTTGTCAGCATCTAGAATCAAGGGTTCCCATTGAAACAATAACATTTACTTTCTGTTTTCAAAGAGAGTCACTTTGCATTGCATTTTCTAACACACATTCTCCACCCTTTCCTATTTTGTTTCACCAGAAAGTCAGTTTACCTAGAGCTTATAGATCTGTACTTCCTGGCTTCAAATGAATGATTTCTACATTACATGATTTCTGCTGGCAAATATGCTATGAGGCCCTGTTTGCTTTGTTGCACTAAGTTCCTGTTTTTTGTAGTTTTTGCTTTTTAGAGAGATCTGCTTACCTAATTTTTAACAGCAATTTCTTTAAATATGCTCTGTCCTTGACAGTATGACTTCACCATGATGGGCGGATTTCTGTTCGTGGCTTTGATTATTCTCATCTGCTTTGGCTTTTTGATGATCTTTTTTCACAGCAGGGTAAGATGTATACTTTACACTATGCCTGTACAATAGCCATTTCCATTTCCTCATATCCAAGAGGGAGTCATGGAAAAGCGTGATATAAGTAGGAGGGGGGGGGGGGGGGTCTTCTTCTTCCCTTCATGTATGTTTCAATCCCTAGAGAATTGAATTTTGTTGTTGTTGTTGTTGTTGTTGTTGTTGTTGTTGTTGTTGTTGTCAGTAGTAGCCTATATTCCATGGGTTTGGTTTGGGACCAAAACAAAAGTAGGTCAAGAATATTATGTGGAGCAGGTTAAGGTAAAGACAAAAAAAACAAAGAAAGGGATTTGTCTTTTAATTTTTTACATATTCTCTACAGCTTTCTTTATCTTTTTAATACTTTCCACATATTCTTGGTGAAAGTAATATCAGAAGTTGAATTTGGTTTGAATTTACAGTTTCCTTTGAAGCTTTGTCATACTAATTACAGTTCAGAAAGACCAAAAGTAGAAAATCATGGTTGATTACTAATTTTATAACCAAGTTGTCAACCTGAAAAATTTGTATTAAACCTGGTAACTATTTTTCATAATATTTCAGGTTCTTTCAGTTGTCTATGCTTCGCTTGGAGCTCTCATATTTGCCATGGTATGTTTCTTGGAAAAATAGCAGGCATTGTGCTGCTTTCATTCTTCAGGAGTTGTGTCCAATTAATTTAAAAAAGTAAAGTGAATGATCTGGTTTTCCTTAGCACTGCTCATACATGTACCAAAAAGACCTGAGGGGCAAAGAAAATTAGTGACTCAAATGAAAGAAAGTAAAGATTAAAATGACAGCCTGCAAGAGGCCTCATAACATATGACTTCCACATGGGGCCTCTGGTTGCAAGTCCAGCCCGTTGAACACTCTTGCATGCTGCCTCACAGAAAACCAAGTCATGGACAAAAAACTTTTTCTATTGAAGTAATTTGCAGCCACATTTTTGAGGTGTAAATCTTTGTTTACCTTGAAATGCCTTCTCCGATCTGATAAATTTTCTCAAAATGCCCGACAGAGAATTCCAAATGTCTACCTTCCATTAGTAAAGTAATGTTTTGGACCCAGAGAAGTCTGACTTTAGGTAAAAGGTCTATTGTGGAGCTCCATTTAATGCCCTCTATTTACAGTGTAGTTTGTATTTTTGGGGACAGCATGGACCAAAATGCTACTTTTTAAACAATCATACAGATCATCTTTAGTTAGTATTTTGCTGTAATAGTTACCACATAACCTGTTGCTATAGAAATGTGTTTACCAGTTCCCTTCAACCTACCGTGTAATAATTCTTGGAACATGGTGCTGGTCACTGGTTGGGAGAGTTAATGCATTGGCTTCCAAAGCAGGAGATTGCTAACTTATTTGTTGAGGTGTGTTTTATCTTGCAGTACCTTGTGTATGATACACAGATCATGATGGGTGGAGGCAAAATGTACTCCATCTCACCAGAAGAGTACATATTTGCTGCACTGAACTTGTACTTGGATATCGTCAACTTGTTCTTGTACATCCTTCAAATTATCTCAGCAGCAAGAGGGGATTAAAGAGCCAGCTACAATGTGAGCACAGTTGGGATCTGCGTCCACAGGATCAACATCAAAATTCTTAAATCTGTTTTATTCCATTTTCAGCAATTTTTGTTTTGATGGTTTGGTTCTTGGTCATTTTCATCTGCCTTTAGGATTAGGTTTGTTTTAGTTGGAAGTACTATGGTTTGAAAGCGTAGTAGTTAAACAAGTTTCCTTTGTATCTGTTATGTGGGTGGGTATCCCTTACCCTCAGGCCCCCTTTAGCTTTGCCCTCGACTAAGACGTTATTGGTTACCTCCCTTTTCGGCTCAATGGAGTTTTGTTGGAACCATATGTTGTATTATGTGTAAATTTCGATTGAGATTGTTAGAAATTGCATTTTTAACCAAAACTCAGCAACTTACTGGTATGAGTTTAAAGTGCAGTTCTCGACAAGAGTAACTGAAAGAACTTAGAGAATATAGAGCATAAGATTTTTTAAAATATATGGCACTCGTTGATTAGGAGAAATTAATTAGTTTTGAGTTTTGGCTTCCTAAGAATGCTTCACTTTAAAAATGTTTTGTATTTGCAAGTTGCTATGTAAGAGCATTATGTCTAGAGTAATAGTTGTATTATAGGAAGGTAGAGAGTTCGTTCTTGTTGCCTGGCAAGTGATTGTCAGAGACAAAGTTTGAAATTAAAAATTTAAAGGAAAGTCCTCTATCTCTGATCATTGAAATTATTTGAGGTTTGCTTGCACGGGTTGAAAGTTATGTGGGATTTCTCTGATTTTGCTTTAACTCCCTCTGTGATTGGTCGAGGAAAATGCAGCCATCTTGTCAGCCAATGAGATACAAAACAGAAATCCAAACGTGACTTGGTTTTTCGCGTTTTCCCGCGGAAAGCTCAACTTGGAGCTAGGGACTGTCTTTATTTCATTTGGGCCTGGGGCACCTTTTGCTGAATTTTACTTTTTTGCTATTTTATTGGGCAAGTGCTCTTATGATTTTGTCAATTGTTTGACTCCACGTTCCTCAAGGAAAGGTTAACTGATTATTGAGGCTCCTGGATAAACTTGTTTACGGGGCTAAAACTTTTTTTATAGGTTTCGCAAATTTTAAGACGTAAGAATAAGTTCAGACATGTAACTTTACATATTTCAGTTGATAAAGAGGTTATTGACACAAACGGGTAACGCCATAGAGTTGTATCTGTGTGCCGCCACTGATTTTTGTACGTGATGTCGCAAACTCTGGGTATGTATCTCGAATTATTTCACCGGGCCAAGATACGAGGAGGTTAGAGATATCGGGAACCTTAACTTTGAGTTTTTCTTAGATAGCATCAATTACAGGTGCGAAATCAATGTGATTTACAACTCAGCTCATCTCAATTGAAAAATACCATGTTTATTATCTGATTATCTCTGTGCATTAATTTACAGTCTGTGAAGCATAGCTAAGTCTACTGAAAAGTGTGATTTTTATTTGTTTTCCTCAAGTTGCTCGTCAGTTCTAACTGTTTCTGAACCAGAAACCAGACTGGAAGAAGCCAGACTCACTGGGTAAAGGTTTAATTACAGTTTGCTGCAAACCAACGATAGTACTTAAAGTAGTATTTAGTATGTACACGAGGAAACATGTAAATATTGGTGGAATATATGCATGGCATGTTATGTGCTGAAGTAATAATATATAAAGCGATATGTACATGATAAAGCCTATATCCTTTGGTAACGCTTTATAGTGCAATATATGTATGGCTAGTGTTAAATAATTCTAATATGTAATAATGCTATAATTCAAAATTGCAATAGGAAATTGTCAACATGCTGTATCCCCAGATATGTCTTATCCCTAGAAACCAGTCTCAGTAGACAAGGTTTGTATCCGCATATAAAGTCATTGTACAAGACCTCTACGATCTTTTCAGTCAACTTTGCACCTCTCCTGTCCAGGAACCTTTCTCTTTCTCTAGATCTTTGTTCTCTCAGCCAAAGCCATCGTCGAGCATAACCATCGAGGCCTATTATAGACAAGCCAGCACTCAATGTCTGTTAGTGAATGGTGTTTCGTTTCTTCTTCAGTCCAAATCGTCGTGGATTATTGAATCGCGACACCGGTACTTGGTGTCTTTTCTGATTAAATGCATACTGATTTTTCATGTAAGCCAAACGAGGGAACGGTCTTGAAATAAACGCCCTCTTCATGGAGCCAGGGCCACAGCACCTGTGGGGACACTCTAGAGCGCATACATCAGCACATATCTTCGGGCATCTTGGGGACTGGGGGATGTCATTGATTTTAGGTCTGTGGTTGATGGTAGCTTTAATTGGTGGGTGAGGACCACAGCAGCGCCTGGGACATACTTGTTCACAACTCGAAAAGCAAACACGAGGGCATCCCGCAACTAGTTCCATATCATGAAAGCGTTTCTTAGTACAGCATGGTTTGGGACACGATGGCAGGCACGTCTGAGGAGAGCAGGCCGGCGCCACGCACGAAACAGGCTTTGGTTTCTTTGACGTTGGGGTAGCTGTTGGCCGGGCTAAAGAGTGACAACGTTTAAAAACAGTTTTTATCCCGGTGTTGGTAAAAAGTTTTACCACAATAGGCAGTAATGTCGTAATCTGATTGGCCAATTTGCCGTTTTCGGCAAGAGTACAGGCAACGCTGTCGTGTCAACGTGTCACGCAATGGTCACGCACTGAAAGAATCGTCTTATTTGACGTTATTGTGGTAAAAAAAAATACACAAACAAATTGCCAATGGTACGGCATGGTCTGTGCTCATCTACAACGATATTCGTCATCACAAAGGTCAAAATTTATTGTGGACTGACTCGGCTGCTCCTCGTGACACCACAACATTTTTTTGTGATGACATGACACTGTGATGACGAATGTCGTTGTTAATAACAGTACAGACCACGCTAAACCAATGTCGAGTTATTCACTCGCGCTACCCTCTCGAACCCTCAGATTTAAAACAAAAAACTAATCTTGAGTTGCTCACATGTGGCTGTTTATCGGTACATAAAGTTTTCTCAGAATAAGCACTTATTCGGTTCCTCTGATATCTATGTACTTTTCTTCGTTCTGACTAGCCCTTCGCTAACGTTGGTTTGGTACGTTATATAAAAAAAAAACCTCTACCTGGAAAATAGGACGAGAAACTTGAAATCATTCTCTTCTTAGTTCATCAAGATCTTATCTAGCTTTTGAATCCCTTCATTACACCCTAATTTTGGCGAGCCTATCTGAATTTTAAGTTCGGCGTCTGTCCTCTACTCTCTGTAACAGAACATAAACTAATCTAAGTACCCGTTCCCTTGGTAACAGCTAGATACTAATTTTGCCAAAACCGTAGATTATGGCAGCCTGTGGGGCTAAAATGATTGGAAATCGGTTGCAACTCTTAGCTGTATAAATTTCCCATCTTTCGTAGTCCTATTTGATGTTCAGAATTTTGTATGCTATCCTTCTATGTGGAACAGTTTGTGTGACGCATAGATGCATAGACGGATTATGATTTCTAATGGCAGTACTTATACTCTCACAGCAATTGCCTGTGAGTGTTATACGATTACCATACCTGTTACTGCTGAAGAAGCTGGCTTAGTGGAGCCTGGTGCTGCTGTGCTAGCGGGTTTGCTTGTGGGTAAGCAACAGCTCTGTTTACAAAAAGTGTATCTTTGTTAATTTTTCCCTCGTGCGGTTTTAACCGTATGACTTGTGAAATCTGATTATCTGTAACTTCCTCTTAAAGCTGCTATGCAGTTCCTTGCTAATTACTTGAATCAAACTGGTGGTCTTACAAAGAAAAAAATTTACAGCACTAGAAGCGTTTTGGACGCACCTGAGGACACGGAGTTGCACATATTTGAGCACAACTTGCTGGGCATGAAGAAGTGGATGGTGTGGCTACTGCAGTAACAGAAGTTGACGGTTTAACAACTTGCACACCTGTCACCTTAGCACTGCAGCAATCCTGAGGGCAGACTGTCAGACAGAACTTGAGACAGATCGGCTTACATAGTTTCTTTGGAGTGGCAGGTTTCGGGGTCACTACGGGTGCTACCGTTCCAGGACTGCTTACACAGGGATATCCAGGATAACTAGGATATGAACATCCGCTTTGAACCGGGGATCCCATTGCGATTACAGGGGGCGAAGGAGCGGGGTAAGGCATCGGTGCAGGGTAGGGTGCTGGGTATGATACCGGCATGCAGCATTGAGGAGCGCATGCTGGATTACATGATGGATTGGGACGGGGTAAGACGGGTCTTGGCGGAGGAGGTGGTGGTGGAGGTGGAGGAGGGGGTGGCGGCGGCGGCGGCGGCGGTGGAGGAGGAGCTGGTATTGGTGGCATGCAGCAAGCTGGAGCGCAAGAGGGCTGGCAGGTCATTTGAGAGTAGACTGAAGGCATAGGGGGAGGTGGAGGATACATCATCATGGGTGGGGGAGGTGGGGGTGGGGGAGGACGATAAATAGCGGGGGGTGGAGGAACAGGCATTGGATAATTGTTCATCCCAGGTAAGCAACACCTGTGTTGAATACAGATAGGTGTGCATTTCTTCCAACATTGCGCTAAACATGCTCCGCCCATGGCAGACATAGGAGACATAGGGGACTGAAACGCGTTGTAAGACTGCTGATAAGGTTGGTATCGTGGTTGTGGATAGGCGGGACGAGGGGGCAGGGGGGGCCTTGCCACTGGTGCGGGCTTTTTAACTGGAGTGGTCGCTGCTTTATCCTGTTGCTTTTTAAGGCTCGGTTTGGCCTTGTCTTTCTTGGGTATGCCAGCTAGAAAAAACAATTAACGCAGTTAATTTTCACACTTATCAATGTCAGTAAAGCCTGAAAATTTAACACAGACGTCAAAGGGGTTAGTTTTAGTTAGAATTAGCGTCTGGTTAGTTTTTCGTCTGAACAATGGTTATTAGGAATGTTAGTTTACTTTAGAATTCGACTTGTTAGTTTTTATCAGAGTTTTGCCAGAGAGAGATGAGCAGCGACCAAGACAATTCAGCTTTTACCGGATTGTTTATTGTCTTTCTTTTTCTCGTCTTTCTTCTGTTCATCAGGGCTGCTGTCTTTGTCCTTTTGCTTATTGTTTTTTTCTTCTGTGTCTTCTGCATGTTCTTCTTTTTTGTCATCGCTTTTCTCTGATTTGTCTTTGCTTTCATCATCTTTTTTATTACTTTTGTCCTCATTTTTTTCTCCTTGTTTGTCATCTTGCTTTTCTTGTTTATTCGTCAGTTTATCTTCTCTGATAACTTCTTTTGCTTCATTTTTGTCTTCCTTCTTATCATCGATTTTAACTTCTTGTTTATTGTCTGCCTTTTTGTCATCATCACTGTGATCATTAACTTTATTATTTTTACCCTTTTTTTCTTGTCCCTTGTTGGGCTTTGCGATTTGACTCCGGAGATCATCCAGACGAGAGATTTGTTGCACGGCTGGTACGCTTCTGTCTGGTCTGCCTGAAAAAAATAATGCACATTCAAAATTTTGGATAGAGAACTCATGTTATAACCGCCCCAATAAACCCGTGGGGAGTTTACTAATTTCCAAAGCTCAGAGACAGGGGCTTGAAGAAAGGTGAAGTTAATAACAACTTACTAAAGGAAAGCTTCGTGGGGTCTGAAGTACGAAAATATTGGTCTAACGTTGGGTTGCAAATTTTATTTAGCTTTGTTTGAAACTAGTTTCAAGAATAAAATGGAATAAAAAAGTGATCAATTCTGCCTGCAAATGTCGTAATCCTTGAATAAAAAAAGTAACTCCCCTTGGTTCGTCCCCAGTCCGCAAGGATCGGTTATATCAAAATATCTTTGGTGTTTTTTGGACCTTCGCACAATCACATATTGAGCGCTTTTTTATGAGCTCTGTTGGGATAATCTAATAACAACTATGAAACCAATAGGATTCAACCTCGTCCCCGTGTATGAAACTTTCCTCGCAAACGAGTCGAGTAATGAGAAGCCCTGGGAACAATGGGAACACTGGTGACTTAGCAGTTATTACAATACACAAATATGCCTTTTGTAAATCGGATAGGAAGCTGCGTTCCCAGTTGCGAACGCTGAAAGACAAAATTCTCGCTGTCTATCTTAGATGTAGTTACAGTATCGCATAACATTTTTTCACGCAGCAATGTTTCCGTTGTAAGACTGATCCCAAAAAGTTGCCAATGTATCCTATTACAGTTGTTGTTTTATCATTTATATCAACTCGTTGGCAACCATCTTTGGCAACTCATATTAGAGCAGTAAGACATCCTTAGAGAAAAAGGTTTTTTTCTGCCCATTTGTTTTATGTTATTATCAATTTGTTTTTACAAATAGCCTTTCTGCATTAAGAGGAAGTTGCAAAGTTAATCCTTGACTTAAAATTCTCATTTGAGCTAACTCACACAATGGACCTGTTTGATTTTAAGTGAGATTGCCGGCGTTCATTACGAAGAAAATCATTTGATTTGTTTTACAACATTGACCTCTAATTAACCTCAGTGATCTTCTAGATCTAATCTAAATACCAATTGAAAGCTTGTTAAGAAGCAGCTGTTCTTGAGAAAGTTTCCTCTTATTTAATTTTCCTTTCGCCGCTAAACATTGACCATCTGAAATTCCAAATTTTTACCAATACAGTTCTGCACTTTCTCTCAGTAGTGTTGATCTGTCCACTAAGTCTGCCTTTACTGGTATAAAATTTGTCCTAGTCAGTCCAAGTGTCTATACAATATAAGCTAATAAAAATTGTTGACCGACTTCGATAGTTTTATTTAGGCCCGGGGCTTAAAGGATTTCTTCCGGCATGGCCTCGAGAAACACACTTAAAATAACTGTTATATTCACGGTTGATAAGTAGCTTGTTACACATACCTGATTCGTAACTGTTTAGCTCCTCACACTTCAGGACCGTGACCGCGAAGCAAAGCAAAGTCGCTGAAGCAAGCCACAACCTGGTCATCTTGTTAAGAACAGAACATCTGAAGCGAAGAAGTAAAATTTGGACCATACAGGCGTGAAATCGACAAATCGACAGGTACCAAAAGAAATCTTGACCACCTCATTGGAAGGTGAATCACAAAAAAGTGTCGACACGTTTCAATAAGCCAGAATCTTTCTCTAGAAATCAAAATAACGGGAAAAAACTTTGAAATACTTACCAGCTGTATTATTCTTTTAATTCTTGACAAGAAAATAAAAGATAAAAATATCTGTCACGGCTGAGTAACCTTGAATCGAGTGCATTACATCATCCTTAGATTCGCTGCTGTAGTTTGTTTGGCATTTGTGCACCGGACACAATCTGAGCTGAAACTTACGGGTGGTTTGCCTTTGAACATTAAAAATTCATTCGTCAAATCTCGAACCAGCCGGTAGTTCTGACCGAAAAGGTTTTGAGAAAGAATCCATAGAATCACTAAAGGAAAGTACATCGATTTATTTGAAAGGAAAGAAAAGCCATGTGATACATGATGCAGTGAAAAGTTCGTTTTAAAAGATTTCTTCTCCTCTCCTTTGAAATATCCAATCTTACTTTTAGTTGTCAATACGTTCCAGTTAGGACAGTCGACAGTTTTCCAAATACAGTTTCAAATCAAAAGTTTCCGTAAGTCTGGCCCGCTACATTGCGAAAAAAAAATACGTTTTGCGCATAACACTAACCCTCAGCAGATATAATTTTCACTCAGTTACTTCGCCGTCATCTTGGATTTTCAAACCGCTGATTCCTGGAGAAGAGTTTAGGTCCCTATCCCCTGGATGGGGAGGAACTGTTGAACAACCCAGATTGTGTATACGCTTAGTTTTAGCAGCTGTAGGGAATCGCTAAACTCTGATAACCTTCTTGCAATGATTTGAAAAATTGCTTTTACTTAGCGTGTTTATCTGTTCTTATCAGTCAAGGTACATATCTTCTTCAACGGTGAAAACTATGACTTATATCAAATTGGCTTATTAATTAATGCAGGTAATTTAGTGTTAACAACTGGGTTGAAAACGTAAATTAGCCACCGTAAAGAGTAAAAAAGCTGACGTTTCGAGCGTTAGCCCTTCGTCAGAGCGATTAGAGGAATTGTGGGTTGTGTGTGGATTTATATGTAGAAAGTGGAGCTACGCCCGGTGGGAATATGGTGACGAAAAAACAGGAATAAATTAGTTGAATGAAAAGCGCTCGTTGATTCCGTGGGGATTAAGGGTGCCGATTTGAAATATAAATTTTTGTTCTAGTGTTTTACGGCTTTCCGAACTGCCTAGATGTAAGGAAAGGCCGCAAACTGCCATATGCTGTTTAGAATGATAAGGAAGATAATTAATGCTCAGCTAGAATCAGGAAATATATACTTTAGTTCTAAAAAAAAAGACAGTGAACAAGAATGACAAAATTTAGTAGTCCTCCAATTGCAAACTGCATTCTTTTTATACAGGTACTTTCATCTTGAGAATATTCCAATACCAAAGGAGAAGGAAGCTTAATTAATGACCTCCGTAAATCTAGAACAAAGGAATGCGTTCAGAAGAAATAAAAATAATTCGAAGGTGGCCTAGATTATTTTCCAAGAAACTTGCTAAAGGCATTCGTGTTCTGATATATTTTTTCTCTTACATTTTGGTTACTGCAGAATTAGCTTTACAGGGCATTACTTCAAATGTATAGGGTAATGACCCCTGTTTCAAAACAACTCGCGTTGGTTGAAAGACCAAGTTGGAAAAGACGGAGTGGTTATAGCAAAGTGTTTTAAGCCTAATTATGGAAAAGGAAAATTCAGGATTCTTTAGGGAAAATGCTTTTCTTGGGTCTTTATGCAATTTAAACATGGATTAATACATTGACACAAATGGCCAGACAATCACATAAACTTGAATACTTTATTGAACCAGTAACGATACTTAAAACATAAATTTGTCACAATATGCTCTCAGATAAAAAGCAAAAGACCTTAAAACGTCATTGTATGTACAGAAATACCATATTCTTGACAGAAAAACGAGAAAGTCAAGTTGCGTTTCACTATCGCATGTACCATCATGATCGCGAAGTTCTAGTTTGGTTGAAGGTAACTCGACTGGAGATTAGTCTCCTCTCTTGCAGCATATTGGAGGGCAGGCTGGGGCACAGGTGCTGGGCTGGCATGTTGGAGGACAAATCATTGGTGGTGGGGGTGGGGGTGGTGGTGGTGGCGGTGGTGGAGGAGGTGGTGGGGGTGGAATTGGGCAACAAGTTGGTGCGCAGGATGGTTGGCAAGCTGGCATCGGTGGGGGTGGAGGTAAGGCTACGGGTGTTCCACAGCAGCTTGGGTCACAGGTAGGAGCGCACACTTGCATGCATGTCGGTGGGCATGGAGGAGGGGGTGGGGGTGGCTCAAGTGGCGGGGGAGGAATGGCTGGGCCGGGTTCGTAGCGGGGTCGCGGTACCCAGTGCTCTGGGCCAGGAGGACGGATGCATGGTGGAGGACACATCGGTTCAGCTGTATATCAAGGAGAAAGCAATTAAGTTAGATTTGTGCATTTTAAAGAACTTCAAGAGTTGAAGTAATAACTTTTTAGTGGACAAACAGTTTCTTTTTAAAATTTTGCAAAAATTCAAAGCTAGATGGAAACTCCATCAAAACATCCCATCACAAGGTCATATGGGAGAGGGTCGCCCTACATCATCACTATGTGAATCCGAAATGGTATCGAATAACACATAATAATTCAACAAGTGAGACGACCTTATATAACATATGTCTTACTCTCAGGGGCTGCTTCCTCTTCACCTCCACTTCCGCTTTCTGCCGCAGCACTTCCGGATTCTGCAGATTCATCTGCCAATCAAATGATCTGTGTCAATTTCACCGCCGTTTCAGGAGTTCACTTTGAGGCAAGTTTTTTTCAAGGCGGTTATTCTAATTTAGATTTCTGCTCTTAGATACAGAATAAAAGCTGACCTTAGTTTAGATTAAGTAGATTTGTTACATTGCAATTTTGATTGCACTTTGCCTCTAGGTTTTTCCATCTTTATCTAGAAGAGGATAATTTGTGGCTTAAAAATTGAATGCAGCGCTTTGCCCAGTCCATTCTGCATGGTTTGCAGGCCGGGCGCATAGATTTAGGTATCGAGTCATGTCGGGCGACTCAGCTTCATGACACTCGGAGAAAAGTGGACGAAATTTCTTTACGGTAGTTTCTGCAAATACTCTTCCCTCTCCGAGTGCTTGCCCCCAAATAGCAAGGTGAAAGTAGTATCTAATAAAAAAGGATTTGTCCTTCACCAGCAACAAATTTATTCTAAAGCTTACCCCATATACCTCTGCCGTCACCACCATAAAAAAATGAGTATGCATGTTAGGTGTGCATTGGTGTACCTGTTGGCGATTTTGTTGGGTGTGCTGGACGCTTTTTGATGGGAATGACTCGTCTTGGTCTTATGACAAAACACACTACATATGGCTTCGGGGAAAAAGTTTGAAAACCTGGAATAAGAAAGTTTAGAAAGGCATGGAGAGGCAAAGAAAAGTTTACTAAGACGTTTGGTTTTTTAATTTGAATAAAATCTTGATAGCCTAAAAGCTTGTATTCTAATGTCTGATCATTTTTTGAAACCGAGAGATTTGTTCAGTCTTTCCTATTGAAGATAGATTGCGGCGTTTGCTGCTAAATTTTATACTTAGACGTCTGTGCTCTAATGATGTTGACTTAGTGGTGGCATTTTACGAAATTAGTAATGGTGGTTACTTTCAACTTGGTTACGCAGATTAGCAAGCGTTAGGAATTTTGCAACGTAGTTTATTTCAATATCAATTCTGGAATTATTTTGATTTTCACAGTTACCAGGTAGAGTGTAACAAGAAAAGAGCGAGATCATCCATGTATAAATGCTTATAATTAGTTTCGTACCCACACTTCTTGCAGCCAAGCGGAGAAATCACACATCAGGGTCTGGGTAAAATATTAGGCTGTTATCAGTTAGCTTTTTTGGCAAGAATAGCACAAACGAATGGTTTCTACCTCCCTTCTAAACTGATATTTATGAAAAAAAGATTGATCGATGTCCACAGTATCCTATTTCCAGAAATAATATTTACCCAAACCAAACTGAGTCAAAGAAACCAAAGAAAGCTTTCGCAGAATGTGTATTTTCTAAGAATCTATGTTTCCTTTCTGTTTATGGTCGAACGCAAAAAGAAAATAAGAAAGAAATAGTAGCAAGTAAGAGAGAGAAAAAGGGTTACAAACCCGCAAAGCCATATGTCGGTGTGACCGATGTTTTGTCTCTCTAAAACGCGGTAGGAACTCAGGTGACGGTGTCATGTGATGATCCTATGATGGTCTTCATCGTTTTGGTGCCATTGGTATGGTAAGCATTTTACTTTATGGAGTTCTGGTAATTGTTAGATTATTAGTCTAAACGTACTAAAACGTAATGGTATTTTTTGAAGGTGAAGATAAATCCTTTTTTACCAGTAGTCCCTATCCGACTAATAATCGAAACAGCAAGCAAACCCACAAGCTGCCCCATAAAATTCCTTTGCGAGCCCTCTTTAAGTGTTATCTGTAGGTGACATTCAGTGATGGTGATATCCCCAGTTAGCATTTGTTAAGTAAGTATACCAAATATACCTTAAAATGTGCGTCCCCAACTTGATTGTGAATAAATGTAGTGAAGCAATGAGTTCATGGATAAAACCCCAAGGGTTGGTAATGGTACAATTAATTCAGTGGTGAGAGCATCACTAAATCACTAAAGAAACATAACCACCCGATATCGGACAACGACTATCATTTTAGGGTTATACATCTAACTCAACTGGAGTTGACCAAAGAAGTTCATTTTTTATCCAAAAATTTCTGAAAGGCTAGCTAAAAGAATGTTTTTATTTTGGTGACATCCGAGAAGTTCATTCGTAGGAAAGTGTTTCGTTCATACGTTGATTAGGAGTGGGTGGGATATAAGACAACACTTCTCTTTCGTGATGTTCTTTTTCTTGCAATGCATGTCCAGGAGAAAGTTGCACAATTCATGATCGTATAGTAAAGCCTAGGTTACCATTGACTGACATATGTTTGTTTCACCACAGCGGAAAGACCACATAAATAGGCAAAAGGTCAACCAAAGAAGTTTAAAGAAGGCAACACCGATACAAGAAGTGATTTCAGTTTTTCTCAAAATTCCTTTGTTCGCAAGTTTTCTTTTCTACTTCTTCGTTTTTCCCATCCGCAATTGTTTAATAAACCCTTTCTTGATTATTTTAGATGCATGCATCAATTGCCTGTTTGTTCATCTACATTTGGTTTGTTTATCAGTTGACATCTGACATTTCATTGTGATTCAAAAAGAAATGGTATGATACTAAACATAATACTTTCTTTCAAAAAACCTCCCTCCACCTTACAATGAGAACGTTGATGTGATTTTCATCTTTATTGGAGGAGATCTTACTTTTTGAACTTACTGATCTCATACAAATGTTCCCCAAGTAGCCATTAATGTGCTTTGTTAAGATGTTGGTTTTCTGTTTCACTCAGTATTTGACGTGATAGGAATATTTTTCAATAAATGACAAGCTCATCAAGCCTTCTCACCTGAGTAATCATATTCGTCAGTTAAGTGGCCTCTTTTTATCGCTGATTCATTGTCATCTAAAAGTCAGATATAAGATTAGCCGGATCAATATCAGTATCTGGGCAACTGCCCACCTACCCCTCCCCTAACTCAACAACAGATAATTGAAAACAAGTTAAGGTTAATGTTGGGTTAGGGGAGGGGTAGGTGGGCAGTTGCCCAGATACTGAAATTGATCCGATTAGCCAAGCTTTATAAAAGCAAAATTTTTAGATTTTTGTCAAAAGGTTTGTGTTTATAATTAAGCTTTGGACTGAAAGAAAAACAGTTTTGCATTTTCCAGCAAGGATCTCTGGTCATGTGGCAAATAGATTTTCTTGGCCAAGAGTTAGCGACTTTTTCTTCAGATATGAGGCTCCGCTAGGGCGCATGCGATGCGCAGTAGCTCCGCTGAACAAATGATTACAATTATTCCAATGTATAGCACGGGCAGATTTTCCACTGTAGAAATGACACCATTAAAGTCTACATTGACATATTGTGTATTTACTCAGTAGGCAGTCTATATTTCAACTATCATACCTCCGTCTAAGCTGTCCGCATCCACTTCATCCACAGCTGTGTCTGTAGCCTCGTCACCGTCGTCTTGAGCCTCGTTATCGATACCTTCCTCTTACAGAAAGGAAAAAATGGACATTTTTATTCTGTCTTTCATGTCAAATAACACTGAATGGTCAAAACATCCTTTCACCTTCCTTGCGTCCAGAAACAAACGCTGAGATTCGAGCGGTAAATGATCGAAGAGTCTTACCTTTGGAAATACTTGCTAAATCTAGAAGAGATAAACATAAGATTGCGACTTAGTACATATGTTACCTAACAAATCTAACATTTTCATTCAGTTGAATTTGCTTTGCAATAGATAATTTAAAAAAATCACTCAAAAATGAATGTTTTACTTAAACGAACTGAATGAGGCCATATTCTTCCAAGTTCTCAGTCTGTGTCGTGCTCTACGGGTGGCGAGACCAAATTTAATCTTCAAATACATATCGAATATATCGTGCAGCATACTTCTGGTTCCTTTAATGATATGAAGAGAACCATAGTGCTCCCTCTGTTACTATGGAAATTTACAGCATGAGTTTTAACATCAAGACTTACCTTTTAAACTTCTCGCCCGCACGAGGTGGCTGGTAAATGACAGGCAGATTAGAGCGGCTAAGAGCGCGCTCGTGAATTTGATATTCATACTCGTCACCCTTCTAGATACGACAAAAAAAAGACTCATTCAGAACCAGCCATAGTATTTTTTTTGTTAAATCGACTATCATTAAGTTTTAATCATGAGGCTATTTCCTGGAGTGATCGTATTTCAAAATCTCCTTATAAAGAAAGTACGTTGTCAATCGGAACGCTTAGGAGATTTTGTGAAATATCAACCCGGAAAATATTGTGGCGAAATCTATGAATTTGAGGTCAAGCAGTATATTTGATGCTGGTGTTTAGATTTTTACTTTCTAAGACATAAGGGATTTAGATTTACAAGAGCACAGGGGAACAAAATCAAGTTAGAATCGCCAACAGGTGATTAGTAATTTCTTCTTCTAACATGTGGGTACAAAGTTAAGGTACAAATTAGTAGAACTGATGATCCGGCGTTTTCTAGTTTATGAGATTTCTTTGATAGACAGTCGGGGTGAAGAGAGCAGCGTATGTTCATGGCGTCTTGCCGAGCGATCTCCGTTATTAAACGTTTTGTTATTGACTTCAAGACTACTATTTATATGACGGACCATTAAACCGTGTGGCTCTCTGTCTAAATCGCTTCGTACGGTACCACGAGTAAGTTGCATTGAGACACAATACATTTACACATATATAATAACGAAATAAGAATAAAAACATCATACCTTTCCCCTTTTAGTCCAGCAGTAAAGAGGAGAGGAGAGTTGTTAACAAAATCACTTTTCCGAAAAATCCTTTTTTCGCTGAATTATTTATTTCGCTCAGCTGGTACTTGCCCCGCTCTCTGTAAACTACGCGTGCGCATTGACCTTGTGAGTCATCTGACGATAAGATCATTGACTAGATGAGAATCTGATCTCGTTTCTTGACCTCCTGAATATTCTCTAGCCAAATATGTTGAAAAAATTTTATGACGATCACTTTAAAGTTAATAAAAAAGAAAAAAAAATTACGATGAACTCTATTTGATTCCACATTTGAGAAATAACTGATTACCGCCTCACCTATATTGCCATGTTGTCCCTGGGGCCAGCCATATATGGGAGTGTTTAATCTTCACACTCCCAAGATTAAAAGAGCAATTCTCCCTTCCAGTTTCTTTACGTTAAACTGTACCTTAGTAAAGAGAAGTGGGATTTCTATTAAAATAACACCCTTAAGTTGATAAGTTGGCCCGTTTCTATCACCTCCCCCTTAGATAAGCCAAACACTGACAAACGTGACAATTTAATTTAACTGTGGGATATAAAGAGTTGAATGTGCAAAATCTGATTGAACGCATTATTGTTTTGATGCTCTTATTGTGCAACATTTTTTCTCAGTTAAGCTCTGCAACGCCAAGTTACTTCATGATGTCTTAAATGTCTACATATAGGCTTCAAATTTTATTAAGACATTTGACTCTAATCGTGAAGGGCACCTCTGGACTTAAATGTGCATGTTGTACTTTGGGCGACTCGTGTTCTTTGTCAAAGCTCCATCCAATGACGCATTCGTAGACTTTCAAAACAGTATAAAAAAGGATCTTTAACCCTCTAACTCCCAGTGCTGATTAACATGTAACTTCTTCCTTTAATATTCATACATTATTCAGAAAAGGGTGATGAGAATACTCAATATAATCAGATAGAAGTCGTTATCCTGATCTAACACCAAATTCCCCTAACTAATTTACAAGGAAATGTATAGCAGCTAGAGGAAAGAATTAAAAATAAGATCTTGGGAAGTAAAAGGTTAAAAGTATAAAACGTGACGGAAGGTGAGCCCGAGAGGCAATAAACTTCCTTTCCTCAGTTGGGATACACATTATTGTTGGATGGAAAGTCAGCTATATTTGGCAAAAGACATGTGGAGGATCATGATAACGGTGCTGATGATGTACTTGAGCTGGACTCACAGTGTATACCTCTTCCCTCCTCCCTCCCCTTGCCAGCAGGTAAATCAAATCCCTTATGTAGTAAGAGCAATTTTCTACTAAGTAGGGTAAATCCAAAACCAGTTCAGATAAAAATATTACAAAGAGCCAATGAGAATCCAAACTGGAAAAGCAAATTCCCCGATACGCGGGAAGATGCGGGTCACTAAGTCTTGAGTGGTTTTAAGTGGTTTTAAGTTTTGCATCAGTTATCGGTCAGGAGAGTGGAACGTGTTTTTGAGGCCAATTTCTCATCTGAGCCGTCTTTTGGGTTCACTTGGTCAGAAACCTGTACTAGAGAAAAACACACAACTCGGATTTGACTGAAACATTGTTTATTAAAACATGGCATGTTTAGAATTGAAATTGTGATACTTTCCCTAAACAGGGGTCATGGTATGTTCATGACAATTTATTTGGTGAAGACTTTCTAAAATTAATACTTTTTTTTACGGTGCTGTAGTTTCATTGACACAAGGCCACGAAAACCTTTTCACATTTCTGAGAATAAATACAAAACAAAAATGTACGACCAGAATGAAAAATAGACGCATGAGACATATAACGTAGTTGATATATTACCCGATCACAAGATCTTACTCTTTAAGAATATCGTAGAGGGCCTCGTAAGGATGCTTGTTACTTTTCATATATTGTGATGACAGCATTCTTTGCACAAACGGGTCTAGAAATGAGCATTTTACCGGTTATATAAATTCAATATCTATAGATGTCTGGCACTTTTTCTATGGCCAGGAATTATGTGAAGACTAATTTGCCCATGAGAGAGGTTAAGGACGACTCTTTCGGCAGGCAGCAAATGATAAAAGGCAAAAATGAAACTTCTGTTAGTCTTATTTCAGCTGTTTGTACACTTAATTTGAAAGGTTTGCATAAACTGGATATTTTCGATTATTTTTGATACAAATTTAATCTAAGAAGAACCAGGGACTGAGCAATGTCGAAATAAATTTTGGTGTTTTCCGTTTTTGCATACGTTTGATACTTAAACTAACCAATCTAATATCGCATAAAGGGCTCTAATGATGAAATAACTCTTAAAGCAAATAGTTTTTTTGTACATCACGTACCTAAGAACACAAGCCAAAAATCCACACAGGCGCTCCTATAGCTACACATTCTTTGAACGCCTCAGGCGTTACCCCGAAATCCAACGGTTTACCTTTCTTAGAAATATGATTCAATTCTTTTTCATTTTATTACTTTTTATGAGTGGATATTGTTGACGTCAAACAGAAATTCATCTGCGCCCTTTTGGGCAACACTGCTGCGGGCATTGAGCCTGTGGTGCACATCCACCGGGTGCAGCGGGTTGGCACGCTTGTGGGCATGCTTGTTGTGGCATTTGCTGTTGCATCTGAGGCATCGGAGGCATTTGGGGCATCATCGGTGGTTGCTGTGGATAAGGCATTGCCATTTGCATGCCCATGGAGGGGGAGCAGCAGCTTGGGAGACAAGAAGGAGCGCACGATTGAGAGCATGGTGAAGCACAGCTGGACGACTGGGTGTTGTTTGGTTTCTTTGGGGCGGGAGGAAGGACCAGAAAATTTGGTGCACTCATCGCTTGTTGAGCCGGCGGAGGGTACTGTGGCTGGGCACTGCAGCAGCTTTGTGGGCAGGCGCTAGGACATGGGATCACAGAGCACTGCTGTGGACACTGCTGTGCTGATGGTTGCTGAGGGTATTGGGGTGTCTGTGGAGCTGGGAGGGCCTGAGGAACCTGTGCTGCTTGTGCAGCCTGTGGTAGCTGACCATACTGGCTGTACTGTTGTTGAGCTGCGGCATATTGGTATGGGTCAGGTTGATAAGCACTAGGGTAAGGAGCTTGGGCTGCAGTTTGAGCCATAGGACTTGTCGTTGGATTGCAACAGGTCGAGATACATCCGGGTGCGCACACATCCGGGCATGTTCCAGGACAAGTTTGGCTCACTAGAAAACAATTAGGTTTTTGCCTTAGGTTTGTAAAAACAACGCGAAGGGTAGAAAATGAATTCTACAATTTTGGGCTCGGGGCTATCTAAAAATATGAACAACCGTCACGTAGTTGTAATGTCCCACGAAAGTAGTTCGATTTTGAATGAATGAATAAGTCAATATGTTAATGTCATTTTGGCCATGTGATATCTGATAAGTGGCTGTTCGTGACTAAATCAAATCTTATTGTTAATTTGTTTGATGGAAGAAAAAGGAGAATCTGAAGAGAAAGACGAGAACCAACAAAAAACTTAACCCATGAGTAATGCCACGTCACTCTCGGGAATCGAGCCTCGGCCACCCTAATGGATAGAGTACTCTTACGACTGGACGAAACCAGCTGGGGAAATGTTTGTAAGCATCGACTGAATAACCTGTAAATCACCTTTGTTTTTTCCTGTAGCGTCCAAGATAGCCTGAATCGCTTTTCCTGCCTTGGCAAGGTTTTCTGTAAGGGAACGATACAGGGTCAGCAAACTGGCTTTTTTTATAGCGAAAAGATGCAAAAATGTGAAAGCTAAATTGAAAAAAATATACCTATACTTGAGTCTAGAAGTTCCCTGAGAGATCCTTTATCGGCTTCGACTGGAAATAACATAGTATTTATTAAATGAGATTCCTTTGGACATTTTGAAATTGAGAGATAATGAAGCTAAGAGACAAAATACCCTTAAGAGAAAGCCTGATTCAAAATGTTACTTTCCAATTTTTATTTTCGCGCCACTCTCGATCACCTAGACGCAAAATTAGTAAAGCAATTGCGACACGTTCCGTTACATTTTCCTACTCTTCTGGTTGTTACTGTCTTTTTTTCAGGCTTTATCTTTTGGTGTTGTCTTAGCCTTATGTAACTAGTTTCCACGGAAAGAACGAATGAAAAGAAAACTTTGATACATTACTTTCATCGTGCAATTTTTTCTTGGACGTTCTCTCTGCTTCTTCCTTCTCTCTGGTTTCTTCTTCATCTCTCAAATTCTCTTCTCTGGTTTCCTCATCGTCTGCTAATGTTACATTTAAATTAAATAATAAAGTAACAAAAAATTCAGCAAATTTAATTTTAATGTAATCAGTTGTTCCTCATTGTTTTGTTAGAGGCCACAGAGCTACTCAAGAACAGACCGGAAAAAAGGACTTGACTATGACCCCTTCAGCAAACGATGATTCATCCATATGACTAATAAAAAGGAGCATGTAAATCTGTTGATTTTTCTTAATTAGTTACTGTTAGTTACTAGTTAAAAAACTAGTTACTGAAAAATCAATTATTTTTTTTCGAGTAGCCCATTTACACACCTTTATCATCTTCTTCAGAATCCGGCCCATCATCCTTTTCGATTCCACTTCCACTTGCATCTTCTTCTAAATAGATACATGAATGAGCTGCTTGGTTACATACATGTATTTCTTGAAACTTAAAATACAGGCGAGCTTTCAATTCATTATTCTTCAACATTTAAATGAAGCCTGAATGGTATGCTAGTCGATCACAGATCACTCCCAGCATATAGTGAGGTTTCGCTGAAGGTTCGGCGGAACCCAGTCACACTCCTTGATGCTGCTCAGTGTAATAACCGCTTGGTCATCATAGGATGGAAGATCGCTGACACTTTTACTCCCAATATCTCATGAGTAATTCTCCTTACTGTCTGCCATACAATTCTTATGATTTTAGTTCCGAGAATTTGTCATTGGATCTACTAAAAATCTCCTTAATGATATTTTTCTTAACTCTCATAATTTGTCTGCTTGATATTGTATCGATATTGTAAGGAGAGATTTTTTCCTGGTCACTCTTGGGTGTAAAAAGGTTATGATCCAATCAATGATTAGCCCGCTGAACTGCGGATAATGAAGTCCTGGTGTCAGACCTATCTTTGTTTTTTCGACACCAGGACTCTCTCCTTTCTCAGTATCTTTATCTCTCCTTAAGATAAATGGGTATCGGTGAGTTTTCAGGAAAATTTACTGGAAAAAACCTCCAATTATAAAAACGTAATGATGATTTACATTAAACACATACCGGGATTTATGAATAAATCAATATTACAAAATAATTAAAATAATTGAAGTCAATTAGATTTTCTATCTTTTCCAAGAACAAGGTAACATGATGTATGCGTTTTTTCATAATTCCCACCTGGTTTATCCTCTGCTTTATCTTCTGCTTTGGCTTTCACTTTCTTGTCCGTTTCGTGTTTTTGAATTTTGTGTCGAAGTATGTTTTTAAGATGGTGATGTCCTATTAAAGATACAGAGTGGAGTATTAAGCTTAACTTTTGCGAGACAACTATCATTTAAATAGAGAATGGTCGATAGAGACAAGCCTCACTTTTCGACAACAATTTTCAGTCTGTATCTTTATTGTTTTCATTTGAATTACGGGAGAAAACTACAGCCTAACACCAGAATGGTCGATAAGGGAAGCTTGCATTTTCTACAATATTTTTCCTTTAAATCTTTAATATTATTATTTGAGTTAGGTCCTCATAGCCTAAACTTGGTCTGAATTGTTATTTTTCAAAAGTCTTTAATCAAATTGTAAACTACATTCTAGAATGCACTCAGCTGTTGCTAGATGCTTGAACGACGTCAGTTTCGCTATATTTCATCACATTTAAACGGATACATTTGAAATTTTTATGAATCTGAGGTATGGGTATGTCATCGTAATTTCTTTAGCAACTGATTTCAAGAGGCATAAATTTTTATTGTTCGAATCGTTAGAAAACTAATCGTTGCTTATGGGGTAACATTCTCTAATTTCCATTACAGAACTGCGTAACGATTCCTGTTCAAAACACATGTAAAGTGCTATAACAGTTTTAAGGCTCTTTCAATAGAGCACCTAAACGAAATATAGAATCCACAAATTAATAATTCATTTAGTTTATTTAGTTTCTCGCTTAAGGTAACTATATTGATTTTCAGCCACTGTTAGAGCGAAACTATATCATCAGAATTATCGCGTTTACCACACAGTTATGTTTAAATGTCTGATGGAACATTGAATTGGCTTTGCTAATGTTGGATGAACTTGTAAGTGTCTTGGGTCAGAAAATTGTCCGAGCAGCACAAGTAATTATTTTCTTCCATAGGTCAGTATCTTATCAAAAGATCATTTGGTTCAGTGATCAGATCTTTGGTTCAGTGAATAACCAAAAAGCAAATATTAAACTACTTGAGAGAACTGTTGTCCTTCAGCTTTTTAAATGCCTGGTTACCTAAGTGGTGGCCAACTTCAATGGCCTCTGCTTATCTATTAGAATTATCAGCTCTGTAACTGATCGCTTTAACTAAACAAAAACTTTAATTGAGTCAACTCCAAAGGGAGTTAAAAAAAAAAAGGTTGGTAAGCGACAAAAATTAAGCGCTTTTCCCGTCTTGTGGCAAAATTAACATAATCAAGACTGGGGTTGGACTTGTAAAAGTTCGTATGCAAATTAAACATTTAACTTACTGTGATGTTTCGCTTCAGAAGTCCATGTTGAGAGGATAAAAACCAGTGCAAGAAGTAGCCCGATACTCAGCAGTCTCTTGTCCATCTGAAGAAAAAGAGGAAGTAATTCAAATGGGATTTCTGTTCTCAAATTTAAAAAAAATGAAATATAGTGTGATTTTCTTGCTAATTGTTGTGTTTCAATTTAAATCCAAAGTTGAGTGGTTAGAAGATTGTCTGTGAAACGTAGTCGAATAGAATCTGCGAATCGTGCATGGGCTTTTTTTTTTTTAATAAAACGAAGATATTGCAAAAATGATTCAATACTCGTATAAAAAATCGAGATTTTTAGGGCAAAATAACATTAGTTGACTTTTGTTCTAAAACCTTCAAGCGAGGCTGTTGAGGAACGCTTTAGGGGACTCTCCTTAGCCCAGTTAAATGTGGGTTAATCTAATTCACAGCATGGTGATGTTTTTGAATTTTTTTCAGAAACGCAAGAGATATTCTTACCCTTTTGCTTTCGGTAATATCCTTTCCTAAGGCGTCTCGATGTTGCCAACACGAAAGCTTTGGTATTCCTTTGTGATCCTTTGTTCAAGACAACTCATAACTTATTTACGAGCCATTGTTCTCGGTGATAAAGAAATGCTATTCGTTCTAACGGGTGTTTAAGTGATAAACGACCGAGAGGGACATGGAATTTTCAAATAAGTGTAAACAATGTTGCTGGGGTTGACCTGGGTGGATAAAGCGACAAAAATTTACATAAAGCGTCAAATGGTTGTCATGAGAAGGATGCAAATACATAATTGCTCCTTTCCATTGATTTTTGTGTTCCAGATTACAAGGACAAGGGGTGTAATCATATCATTCGTCTATTTGTCTGAGTGCGAGTTTTCTTCAAAGTGGATTTTGTGCTTTGTGTAACTGCTTTGTATTTGTAACCAAATACATCAAAGGTTTTGCCAAGTTTGTAATCGTGCTATTAATTGAGAGAAATAGTTGCCAATGATATTACAAGATAAACGCTTCACGGGCCTCTTATGTTACAGTTAATAATACATTGAAGTGTTTGATTGGGTGGTGCATGGAGGGGAAGTGCAGTGTAAAGGATAATCCATGTCACAAAATTCTGCCTGTGTCTATTCATGCCTCACAATGCACTGTACTGTGACTGCTTTAGAGTGCAGCACTATCTGAACTCTACTACCTTAATCATCGAAGGTCCTCTGACGGGCCGGTTGTAATCATGGGATGACCTTTGAGTCCTTCTCACAAAATCATCGAAGAAAACGACTTTCACCTTTTCCTTTGACAATAAATAACTGAAAGTGGTCATACCTAATCGAATCGTAATTGATTTTATTTGTAAGAGTTACAAACACTGCAGAATCCTACGGGGATTATTGTTCAATACTTAATGCTGGTAATACTTTATCAAGATTTCAAAACTTTCCTATTTACTCGTTGTAATCAATGTATACTAGATATGATTATACTTGCAAAACTAAGGTCAGGTAATGTAGAGTGGAGCTTGGAAGCAGAGCCAAAATCAAAGCACAGACCATCTAATCCTATCCAAAATTTCCTCCCCTACTTTCAAGTAAATTTCTACTAAACATTAAAAGTACCTAGTTTTTGTCTTAATTAGATTCATATTCTGATACTCATGAATACTCTTACTCACTATGACACAATTACCTTCCGACTTGACCAATTTATTATGCAGATATAGGTAGTCTATAGATCTTAAGTGTATTAATTTTATTTTTTCTCTTAGTTTTTAGCATTTTTAGTCCATAGTTGTATAGCTTATCGAACACTGATATCATGAGCTTCGCGCTCAAGAGATTGCGAGACCACTCCCTTTGTAATTGACGTTAAATAAATTATCTTATCCTAGTTGATTGCGATCGGTTTTCCCAGCGGCTGTGGTTGATTTGATGAGCTTACTTGGAGCTCTTTGATCTTAAGGGGTGCTCATAGTAATTAATTGGGTTGTTTTTTACACGTCGCCTGTTCGTAAAGCTCATTAATCGCACCATTCTATTATCTAATTTATTCATTCATCTATCGAGGCTATTTGCTTGGATTCAATACCGTAAACGTTGATTCTTACTTACTGATGATGAATTCCACTCAGGTTGTTGAATTGGCCACTCAAACCTTAGAACAAATGTCCTTTGCAAGGGTTCTCTCAACCTAACAATAAAATCACTCTTTTTACATGCATAAATGCTAGCCAAAATCGGATATGAATTACTCGCCTTATTCAATTTTTGGCAAAATTAACACACTCAGGCACGATTAATTAAATCAAACAATTTTCTGGGCATTGAAGGACAAAATTTCTCCTATTTCTCCTGGACGTGGCTTCACTCAAGTTTTCCTGTCAACACTCCGGTATCATTTTCACACTCATTCGTGGCGGGCGAGGAGCACTGTGGGGGAATAGCGTATCGCCTAAGAAGTCCAGACAAAAGTCCTCGGCAAGGAAATGAAAATAAAACTCAGCATTCTGAGTCCAGCATACAGAATTGGGGCAAGCTTTTCACTTTTTTTGCCATTCGAGATCGCATCAGCAAAGGAAACGTTGTCAAAAGAGAGTTTTCATAATATAAAGAGTTTATTTTTTAAAGAAATATCGTATTGATAGGTGCAACCATTTATGGTAATGTACAAGAATAGAATACGTTTGACATATAGAGCAAAATTCTTTTCAATATCTTCAGAACACACCTAAAATGTGAAAAGATTTCTCGATTCGTTGATATTTATATTTTGTATCTATAGCTTTAAATTTGTACTCAACAAACTTTTACGTTTTTAAATCTGTATTGGTGAGTCACAATATTTATTTCTAAAGCCTTGAAGCAGGCTTTTAAGAATAGAAAAAAAGGGGAAAAGGATGTATGATAACTTCTATGTTAAGTTTGTTTCTATGGAGTGTAGCAACTATCGTTTCTCATACACCCTCTTTGGCATTAATTTGCGGTACTTTTAAAAGTTCTTCGTCTTTTTAGGGATTTCCGCTGAACAGCATTTACATCTTCAATCCCGATCATTGTTTAAGATGAATGGATTTTAAATGCAATGTTTTTTCTTCTTTTCGTCACGAAACGATTCAGTCAGATCTTTTCTTTCTTTTCGACGAATCACAGCAGCCAGATCTTGCGCATGCTGGTGTACAGTGTGTGGCGCAGGATAATGCGCATCCATTTAAACTTGTGATTGGTCGCACCAGGTGAGTAATATGCAGTACTCTTTTTGTGGAGGAACGTGCCTCTGGGCTCAACTCTGCCTGATTTTCTTGGGGAAGGCCTAGAGCCGACGTACAGCAAGCCACAGTGCAGGAGGGGTAGCAACCACCAGGACAGGGACTCGGGCATGTCCCCATCGCAGGAGCGAGGTCTTGATAAGCCATAGCTTGTGGCGCTCCTATTGTGGTTGGAGATCCTATAGCGGGAGATGAAAGAGCTGAAGGTGCAAGAGCGGCAGCTTCATGAGCTTCTTCCTGAGCTAGCTCTTCCGGCTGACAGCAATCGCGGGGACAGTCGTAAGTACAAGAGAACTTGCAGGTTTCTTTGCAGGCATAGGCCTCGAGAGGAATGACTTTGGAGTGGGGATATGGAACGTTCGGGGTCAGACCAGGATGGGGTTGGTCACTAGCAGGGAGTCCTGGCGCAGGTGGTGACGCATATTTTCCAAAGGCGCAGCAGTCATCAGCACAAGCCGGAGCGCAGACCTAAAAGAAGGAGGGAGAGGGTGAAAAAAAAATAAAGGCAAGATGAAGTGAATACTTTCTTAGCAGAAACAGTTGTAAGAGCACCACCAGCAGCAGGAGCAGTAACGTTAACAGCCGCGAGATTTAGAGTAGCATGGTAACTATCTACAGCAACAGCACATGAAAACAAGAAA